TCATTCTCGGATCTCATCTTCGACCGTGCAGTTAAAAACAGCAACTGGTGAAAGAATAAAAACGCACGGAGAAATACAAATGTCTGTCACCATCGGAAAGACCACCATCAATCACCAGGTGCTAATTGCTGATATTTCTGATCAATTCATCTTGGGGATGGATCTTCTTAAGAAACTCGGAGCTGTGTTAGACGTGAAAAAGGGCGTGTTAAAGGTCGGCGATGAAGAACTCCCTTTCCATGAAGACAAAGAAGATGTTATCCGCCTGTTAACCACTCATGACGTCATTATACCCGGACTTAGTGAAAAAATTATAATGGCCACTTTAGATGGATATTGTCGCCAGGGAAGCCTACGGATAGTCGAAGCACTAAACGAAAAGGAATTTCTAGTGGCTAGGGCTCTGGTAAAAGTTCAAAATGGCGTTCCGATTCGAATTATGAATTTGAAAGATAGTCCTGTTAAGCTAAGCAAACGAACTGTAGTTGGACAGTGTGTGCCCATCTCGGCTATTCGCTCTGTAAAATCGGAAAATCTATCTAAAGGAAAGTATCCAAGAGAGCTGATAGATATGGTCATTAAAAACACCCCAGATTTGGACAATAGACAACGACAAAAGGTGAAAAATATGCTTGTGGAATTTCGGGATGTGTTCGCGGTAAACGACCAGGACAAGGGCAAGACAAGCATAGTCACCCATAAAATAAATACTGGCAATTCCCAACCGATTAGACAACAGCCAAGGCGACTCCCATTGGCTAAACGAGACGAAGCGGAAGAGATTATTAGAGACATGAGAAAACAAGGTGTCATCGAGCCATCGAATAGTCCTTGGTCATCACCGATAGTGCTTGTAAAGAAGAAGGATGGCTCCACAAGATTTTGCGTTGACTACCGTCTGTTAAATTCGGTCACCAAGAAAGATAGCTATCCACTGCCAAGAATAGACGACACCTTGGACACTTTATCTGGAGCCCAATGGTTTTCCACACTCGATCTAAAGAGTGGTTATTGGCAAGTGGGGATGGAATCGACAGACCGAGAGAAGACCGCGTTTTCTATAGGCTCTGGACTTTGGCAATTCACAGTAATGCCTTTCGGATTGTGTAATGCCCCCGCGACGTTTGAGAGACTTATGGAAGCAGTTCTAAGGGGACTAACGTGGCAGACATGTCTGGTATATTTGGATGATGTAATTGTCGTAGGAAAAACTTTTGAAGAACACCTAAAGAACCTGAGAGAGGTGTTTGGACGATTACGAGAGGCCAATTTAAAACTAAGTCCCAAGAAATGCTTTATGTTCCAAAAAGAAGTTAAATATTTGGGGCACATCGTATCTCGTGATGGTGTTACAGCTGACCCAGAGAAGATTATAGCGATTCAAGAGTGGCCGATTCCTGAGAACAAGCACGAGATTCGAAGTTTCCTCGGTTTGTGCACCTATTATAGACGATTCGTGAAAGGATTTGCCAACATTGCCAAACCATTAATAAAGTTGACAGAAGAGGGCAATGAGTACGAATGGAGTGAAGACTGTCAAAGAGCTTTCGAACATCTCCGGCAAGCTCTTACTAGCGCACCTATCCTTGGCTACCCCAGAAATGAAGGAAAGGTTGTGCTAGATACCGATGCCAGTAACACCGCCATTGGAGCTGTTCTCTCTCAATTGCAAGACGGACAGGAAAGAGTCATTGCCTATTTCAGCAAAGTACTGTCGAAACCCGAGAGGAATTATTGTGTGACTAGGCGAGAGCTCCTGGGTGTGGTAAAGGCATGCGAACATTTCCATAAGTACCTTTACGGCCGCAAGTTCCTGATAAGGACAGATCATGCAGCGCTAAAGTGGCTCTTGCAGTTCCGAAACCCAGAAGGACAGGTGGCAAGATGGTTAGAACGTCTTCAGGAATATGACTACGACATTGAACACAGGGCTGGAAAAGTTCACAATAATGCAGACGCTTTGTCAAGAAGACCGTGCAAGGACAACTGCACACATTGTTCTAAAATAGAAGACAAGATTGGCCATCTGCGGCGAACAACTGTAGAGAGTGAGGAATGGAAGCCAAGCGAAATCAAAACGGCCCAAGAAAACGACCCAAGTTTAAAAACTGTTCTGAATTGGATGCGCCACGGACAAAGACCAGACTGGCAAGACATTAGTGCCACAAGTCCTGAAGTAAAGAGTTATTGGGGCCAATGGAATAGCCTGACTCTGAAAGACAACCTGTTGTATAGGACCCTTGAAAGTGAAGATGGCACCGAATCGACGCTGCAATTAGTAGTACCTAGAAGCAAAGTGTCGGAAGTATTGCGAAAATTGCATGACGGCGCTTCCGGAGGACACTTTGGTATTACGAAAACGTTGCAAAGGGTACGTGAGCGATTCTATTGGGTCAACCGTAAAGAAGATGTCCGGCGATGGTGTCAAAAATGTGAGTTATGTGCTACTGGAAACGGACCAGTTTCCAAGAAGAAGGCACCCATGAGGCAGTATAACGTTGGTAGTCCGATGGAACGAGTTGCTATCGATATCGCAGGACCGTTTCCCGAGACAGATGGCGGAAATAAATATATCCTAGTCGCTATGGATTATTTCACAAAGTGGACTGAAGCTTACGCCATTCCAAACCAAGAGGCAGCAACAGTTGCAGAAGTGTTGGTAAAGGAGTTCTTTACACGTTTTGGTGTTCCTATAGAAATCCATTCAGACCAAGGAAGGAACTTTGAATCGGCTTTGTTCCAAGATGTTTGTCGATTGGTAGGAGCCAATAAAACCAGAACAACACCTTTGCATCCTCAGTCAGATGGAATGGTGGAGAGAATGAATCGAACGATGGGTAAATATCTTTCAAAGGTCGTGGCAGAACATCAGAAAAATTGGGACCAGTACCTCCACCTGTTCCTTATGGCATATCGATCAGCCGTCAACGAGACCACGGGTCAGACTCCTGCCTCCCTTATGTTGGGTCGTGAACTACGCCTTCCATGTGACCTCGAGTTTGGGCGTAAACCCCATGAAGAATATGTCGCAGGTGAAAATTATGTTGACCAACTAAAGGCGAATATGAACGAGATTCACGACTTGGCTAGAAGTCATATTCAGATTGCCAGCGATCGCATGAAAAATCAATACAACCTCCGCTCGGTCAATGAAACTTTTGAAGCTGGAGATCTGGTATGGCTGCACAATCCACAGAGACGAAGGGGTCTTTCTCCCAAGCTACAAAGACAATGGGAAGGTCCGTATGAGGTGATCAAGAAAATAAATGACGTGATATATCGTATCAGAATGAACCACCGAAAACCGAAAGTTGTCCACATTAATCGACTCGCACAATATGCCGGATCCAACAACAACGAAGAAGTTAGAGGTATTCGAGAAGAGGAACGCAGCTTTGGGATCGAGCCAAACTTTAACGATTTTATGTCAAATTACGCCCAGCGGAAGAAAGCTCGATTTGGCGTTACTCAGGAAATTTGTCAAAATATTTTTGAGCTTCCGGTTAACGTTTCCATCGCCCATTGTGTCGCCGAAGACCTTCGCATGGGTAGAGGTATAGCTTCCGTATTTCGGAAAAGATTTGGAAGAATGGACGAGTTGTTAAAGCAAAGACCACGAGTGGGTAAAGTACTGCGCTTGGAAGATAGTCAACGCTCTTTGTTCTACTTGGTTTCAAAGGAAACGTCAGAAGGCAAACCCACCTATGAAAACCTCTGGTCTGCTTTAAAAAGCTTAAAGAAACTCATGGCATACTATGACATAAATAGCTTGGCGATCCCGAAGATTGGCTGTGGTTTAGATGGGTTGGACTGGAAAATAGTGCGAACCATGATCGAAGTGATTTTTAGAAACACTAGCGTTCGAATTACAGTATGCTGCTTCAATCCACAGGGGACGACCCTCCGCAAAACTGTGGACTGTTACTTTTTCAAGAAAGGTGTTTGTCGAGCAGGCTCTGACTGCAGATTCCGACACGAGGCATTAAAAAGTAATACTAACGCAGTTTCTGAACGAGACGTCCAGAATTAAGAAGGGGGCAGTGTAACGGAAATGCTCCAGATATGACGTCGCCTTTGGCGCTCTGGAATTTTCTACGCGCGCGATAGTAGGAACATTCGAGAATGTACTGGACTTACATTGCTTGCGTGTATAAATGGTTGCGGACCGAACATCGCGGCAGTCTACTATCGAACGAGATCGAGCACGGAAATATAAATTGCGAAGTGTGTGTGATATAATAATCGATATAAATTGTACGGTTTTTATAGTGTTTTAGTTTTGTTTAATAAATCTTGATATAAATCGAACCCGAATTTATAAATAACGTTACAATAGTATAGGCTGGCCATGTGAAATTTGCGCCTATCAGACATAATTAACCATTTTATCTCGGCAAATTTTTCCTTAAGATGGTCATACTTCCTTAACCCTGTCACAAACCGTATGCACGAGTTTTGCAGCTTCTGCAATCTGTTTGAGTCCGTTACGGTGAGACATGGAGCATAAACCACATCACCGTAATCCACAATCGGTAGAACTACTAAACATGGTACCTTCAGATTTACATAATTTCAAATGAAAGCCTTCTAATTTTCATGTCTATATCTCAAACCCTGTACGAGTATATTTATTAGAATGCTCAAACGATTTGAGCATGAAAGCTTTGATTCCATCTTTAATAGCGACCCTGTATTGTATACCGTCCCTAAAGTGGGCGCCCTCCTTGATCCTCTCTGTGAGCGATAAACCGATCGGATGGTCTCTGGTTGTGTAAAAAGTATCATAGCTTTTGTTTTACTAATTTTTATCGAAAGAGTTCTTTTTGGATTACAGTGACTGCACCCACCAAGTGTGGTTTGGTAATTCTTTGATACCTACCTACTTTTACTAGTCCATCAGAATGTTAACCTGCACTTGAATTTTATTTGCTTACTTTACTTAACTTTTTTATTGAATAATCACCATGACCTTTAAAATAATTATCTTTTTTTTGTTTCAGGCTACATTTTCACAACTATGTGGTTCAAGATCGAGTCGAAGGTTTGATAGACATACCTACTCTTCATTATTACGTCAACAACAATCCATTAAGCATTTCAGAAATGCATCTCCTGATGCCGAGAACGACTCACCTAATTTACCGAATTTCCATTGTAGAGGTAGAATTGACTTACATAATCGAAACGTGCCGTTGGAGCAGGCCGACCATCTTTGCGCACCCAACGAACTGACTTTAAGCAGGCCGTGTCACCCCACCTTTCGACCGCGGGTCGCTTCTGACACAAGTCAGGTGACCGTGTTGAGCAACTTAAGTAGAAAATCGACGGTAAATGAACGTAAAGCCGAAAGAATATTAATGCAACGAAGTGTTAGTACTGTACACAAACCGCACTTCATGAAGAACTCATCCATCCAGTACCGACGAAATCAGAAACGAAACATTTTGACGTATGGAATGTTTAGATTATTTTCAAAGGAAAAGAGAAGAGAATGTAGTTCCTTTCTCAGGCAGGGAAGTGTAATGAGTACGCGTACAACGAACACGATTAGCAATTCTAGTTTACAGGATATGGACGAGAACGAATTTAACGCTTCCGACTTGAGTAACTATATGGAAGAAATTAACAAGGAGTTGACATAGCGTCATTCTGGAGTTTACTTACACACTATTGATGAATAATGTCTTGTGTTTGGTATTTGAGGCACATAAATATGTATTTACAATTCATTTAATAGTTTAACGCTCCATTTTGTTCACTTTGTTTAATTCCTTAGATATATGCATTTAGGTATAGGTTATTATTTGAACCGGACCACGTTTTAAGTCGAGTATAGCGTTTGAATATTTAAAATTCCTAAATAAATCTTACGTTAGATTTTTTCATTGTCTAATTTTTGTTTTTATATAAATCGTGTTTGTTATTGTTTGATACCTGCACAGACAAAATCTGTGATAGCCTGCTTTTGCGCCGTTTTAAATAATCATTTCTGCGTAGTCATTTTGTACAATAATCTTGATATTAAACAGATATTCAATAATATACCCTAACAATGATAAAATGATAACTTTACAAGACTTATACAATGAGACAAAAATCTTTTTTCAAATTGATTGTGAAGGAATGAATTCCTCATAAAAACCAAACAAATGGTGGCGTAATCACCACTATTGCATCAATTTATCTAACCCCTCACGAGTCACGACGTACCATGTACCTACACTAGTATGCCATTTAATTAACTGTGATCGAATGTTGATTCAAAACTCCGTAATGACTGGAGATCACCAGTTTAGAGTTGAGTTTGAAGAATATTAATGTCATTTAGTGTCATTATTGTTTGATTATGTAAAATCTGTAACTTTCCCTTTGCTTTCAAGAGGTGCTACTTAACGTCATACTTACCCAAGTTTAAAAGCTAGTGCCACCTACAATAAAGTGAAAGGGAGCCAAATTCACCATGACAAGACAATATTTCAATCGCGCGAAATCAGTACCTAAACAAAACTTTCTAATTTTACACGAAAAAGCAAATGGGTGGTTATAGGAACAATTTCTCCTTCAGGTAGAATGAAAGGGGTGGGTTGCTGCAACAATTATAACGCTATAAAGCTGACTCTGAAAGTAATGGAATATGGAATGCAGTTATGGTGCAGGTGCAGCCCAGAACGGATCATGTTCAATAGTGCTGCCAGGGTAGTAGTAAATCATCAACCATTCCACTTGTGCAAGGCAAGGTTATTCTTTGGCAATACATATGATGGTTAAATATTATGCTGTACAATTTATAATTTGGATTAATGCATCCGGGCGTTGGATAATGCCTATATTAAATTTTCTGACATTAATGCCCTCACAAGTTATTTACATCGAAGAGAAAACGCAATGAACGGCTTAAGAATTTTTCAATATGTGATTGTGTGTTATAATCTCAACGAATAACAATATTTTACATATATTAATCATTTTTTGTGCTATTATAACCTAAGACTTCATTACTATCACAGATTTAATAGTAAATTTAATGGCTGTTTGCACCGACAAATTTAAGCGGAGCTTAGCTTAAGCGTAGCTTAAAATCCATGGCAACCATTGTCTCAATAATCGTTGCCATGGATTGTAAGCTACGCTTAAGCTAAGCTCCACTTAAATTTGTCGGTGCAAACGGCCATTAGTGTTACTATGTATTGTTGTGTCAACTTCCTAAGCCTGAAAGATACCCACACAACTTACCCTTACTAGCTCAATCCCACACAAACTCTTAAAAACACAAATCTCAGGGCCCGTAAAATGAGTCCGACCACCCCTTTTCTTCGTCCGGACAAGGGGTAGCAACCTCGCCAGGTCGGTGGCTAATACCTCCCTTAAATTCCAATATGAAACTTCACCCCCAGATTTAATAAACTTGAAACAAAGTAAGAGACGCCGACAATTACCTCTCTTTGACTCTAATAAACAAAACCTGGATTGCAATGACTGGTTTAATTTCAGACAAAAAATTGCGTAAATTTCTGTTTTACAAATTGTTACAAATTTAAACAGATAAATGACACACAAAAAAAAAAACAAATTACTCAAACATTACAAACAAAACAAGACAAAACAAACCACTAACTACTACTTACTTTTAAAATTAGTCCGAATAACGTACTCCGATAAAAAGAGGTATCCGTAAACGATCACAACAACAAAATTTTCACACAACCAAACACTCAAACACCGACGTCTTCTCTCTTCGGGTACCCACAATTATTTTCAAACTTCCGTGTTTCCGCAAAATAAAAAAAAAACAGGACAGCGACAAACTTCTTAAACTTTTCAAAAATTCTTCTTAAACGGCAGACAAAAATTCTAACTAAACCTGGATCCACTACGCAAGAAACTTCCACAAACTTCAAAAATCACGTAACCGAAGAAGCGCCGGTTGGCTTTGTAACGACTAAAAAGCCCCGCTCTCTTCAAAAATTTTCTATTTAAGCCAAAAGCCCTTCTCCTTTCTTCAACATCCCGCCCGCCAATCACGCGAAGCGTCGATTTTTCAACTTCTTGATAAACGGCACGTACGCCCGGCAATTCTGCGAAGACAACCTTATCTCTACTTCGCGCTATACCTCGTTAACGGCAAATAAAATTTAAAAAGAAATTTACATCGAAAAAATTCTAGGAATAAAATAAAAACAGAACACTTCTAAGAAATTGAACCAAAACTATAACATGAAATTTACGCAATCCTGTGTCTCAAATTATTAATAACCCCCCGGTTAATTAATTGAACTAAACAAAATTGTCACATCCAGACGCTCTATAATTTCTTTCAAGTTACAACTAAAACAAAATAACACAACATTTTGTAAGAGTATGTTCCGTAACTACCTTGGTTACAACCAAGATTATGGTTGCGCGTTCCATATCGATAAACAACCGAAAATTTCAGTTGAAAATTTCAGTTATTTGCCAACTTCACATTGCTGAAACTTGTAACCAAAACGTCAATCAAACGACCGCCTTTTTTAGCGCGGTTTGTTATGGTTATGTTGCAACCAGGTTGCATTCCGTTACTTACCAGTTTTTCAGAAAACAGCTGATCAGTTTTGTCAACCACTGTCAACCACAACCAACCTTTTGGTTAAGTTAGGGAACATACTCTAAGTGAAAACCTTGTATCTATGAACTTTCATTCAATGTACAGTCATTGACAAAAGCAATGATCGCCTAATAGGTAATAAGTTAATAATTCTTGAGCATAGATAACCAACATGCATATCCCATCGGGCGCCGACGGTTTCTTCAAGGAAGAGATACCTTAATTTGTTAGTTCGCATTTCCAGGACTTTGTTTTAGCTTTAGCTTTCTTTTAATACCGACTGTTAAGGGTGGTTTGGCGGTATAATACGTACTTGCACAATAAGTTTCCTTGTTAGAACATAAGTATTTTATTTACACAAGTTATCCTAAGAGGGAAACCATTTATAAAAAAAATACATTGCAGCAACGCCCAAGCCTGGGCACACATATAGACACACGCGGCGCACGCAGCATCAGCCACAACCACACGGCACACATGCCCTCATTTATAACTCCATTTATAACGCCTTGATAGCCCTTGATAGCAACTCGGAAAACGAAGGAAGGATTTTCCCATTTTGTTCAAGTTAATGTTTAGGGTCGTAATATGTCTAAAGTTTGTCATTTTTTAGGTTGAATTGTGTGTTACCTACCTCATGTACACAAGAGCCTTAATAGTGTCTGCACAAATAAAACGTTAACCAGAATAAACACTGCCAGTATGCTTTACATTCAGCATTGAATAAAAATTGTATTCAATGCATTCAGTAACAATCTATTGTAAACAAAATTTAAAAAAAAATTTAATAAATCGACATTCTGTCAGAATAAATAAAAAGAGAGCATGCTATTAAATAATGAAGAACAGTAAATGCAGTTCATTACAAAAACGGTAGGTAGCAGGAAAAAGAACTAAACAAAATGTATCAAAAACAACATAAACTAACTTAAATGCTTTCATATAAAAATATACAGCTGCCTATGGTTTCTCACAATTAATCACAGAAATTTTGAGTCTGTGGGTAATTTTGACCGACTGCATAGCTGATAGAAACAAGACCATTTTTATATGTTTGAATAACTTTCTCACTTTCAGTAGGTGCCTGCATCTTCGTAGTCTGGTTCACATAACATGACGATAGGCAATATAAGGAACTTGGGGATGTACTCTGAGTAACTATGGTACGTATAGGTTTATCGCTAGATTGTTTTTTCCTTTTGGGATGTTTTGTTTGCCTAAAAAGTGAATATACTTAGTTATTTGTACGCACAAATGGCACTTCGGTCGGTACTTTCACACTTGGTTAGCTATAATTACGCGCCATCGTAGTTAATATCTTACATAACGACTATTGGAACAACTAGTTTTATTTTAGTTAGTGAAAGTACTAGCCGTTATATAATATATATTTATATATTCACTACGTTGTTTAAACAAAAACGACTCCTCTGTTAATAAACCAATCCAACATAAAATCGGTTTATACATCCTTAGGTAGTTCACTATCATTCCATCATTAAGAAATAACCAATGACAAAGGTTTATTTGTGCCTCGCTCGCCAACGAAACTATACCTTTGTTTCTAGTGTTGAAAAAGGATAGTGATCTAATAATGATTGTATAAACCCACCATTAGTTTTCCAATTGACATCGCTTTAAAAATGCATTATATTTTTTCCAATGTTTAGGATAGGAATCTAGGAAAGTAGCAGAGGTGCAGAGACGACTAAATGAGTAAAGAACGAGCACATCTAACTGCCCTTCTGATTATCGGAAACAATGCATGGATAACTAGATAAAGCAAAATTTATATGGTAGGTTTAATTATTAGTGCTTGTTCACAATGGACATAAGCGTTACAAAAACATAACAGATACATAAAACATAATATTGACATAAGACATCATTTTACGCAGGTGGAGAAAGTGTTCACAGTGACCGTAAGATTATAATTATCTGCGTAGGCGCAAATCAAAACGTCAAGAACATAACAATATTATTTGTGGTGTATATGTGTGTGCCACTGAGATGGAAATTTCAACAGTTTTATTGCTTTTACTGTTATGAAGACACAGAGACAAAGTTGTTACAAAACAAAAACGGCGTTGGTGGGTCAGACCTATAAATCGAGACCGAGAGAAAAGGGGAGAATTTAAGAATTTAAGCTTGTCTAGAAATGAAGCTGCATGATGAAGAATATGGTTTTTTTCATACACCAGGATTATTCGATCACCTATTAACCTTATATCTTTTGTCCCCTTTATTAAACAATTAGGGTTTTAATCGCACCAAACTAATTAATAATTCGACGTCTATACGTTTTCCATGTCGTGTTGGATATAATCAAAAAACAACACACGAAGGACCAAACCACACCAAACTATGAAATAATGCGCCAAAAACTATGTACCAATTTAAAAATAACCAGATTATGCTGGCAGAAGAGATGTCATCGACGTTAGACGTAGTAACTGAAATGTCAAACCAACAGCTGCGTCTTTGTACCCAACAGAAATACACCTAATTCCACTAGATTTTTCATAAAACCTACGTAAAGTTGAAACCGACCCAACTTTATGTATTTTTTATGTACCGTTTCGGTAGGACATAAAACATACGCAAACATTTACAAAAAAATAAAAATTATGTAATCATTGTGAACACATACGTTGGTTTGCTACTATTCAACATTATGAATTATGTATCTGTTATGTTTTTGTTATGCTTATGTCCATTGTGAACAAGCACTTAAGCATTTAAAGAGGCATTTAATTAGGTACGGGTACCTTTTCAATGAACTCATCTATAATAACACTTCATTCACTCTCTATATCTTCATTATTATTTACTTTGGAAAGTGTAAGGGAAAAAGTGGTAGGTAATTAACTAAATAATCATATACAGGGTGTCCATTTTTCTAGTGCCACTACCGGGATCGCGCTTATCGTAAGAGATACAAAGTTGGTTAAATGAGGACAAAATTGCAAATTTTCGTGCTGAATAATAATATAAATATGAAAAGAAATTTAAAACATCTTCAATGTTTTGAAAATTAGCAAAAAAACGAAAATTTCGGATTTTCGTTTTTATTTTTCATGATAAACTAATTGTACTAGACTACTAGACATTTCGAACCAAAACATTATTCAGACAATTTTTTATGGAGAATTCGTTTATGGTATCCCGTTTTTAATAATTTGCAAGATGACGGAGAAACAGGTGCTAACTTTATTTTTTCTTACCGACGCCATTTTGAATTTGCACATTTTGAGATTATGTCTTTTTAGCGCATTTTTGCAAACTTATTTGTAAAAATTATCAAAGTCCTCGTGTGAGATCGAAGGGACTTCAGCGCATTTTTGTGTGGCAGATTAGTATTCTATTAGCCACTTTCGACTCAACCATCAATAACAGATCTTGTCGAAGACTACTACATTCACTAACCGTTTCCCACTTTCCGCGTGCACCCGCAATTCGCTTTTAAAGTTAAAATCGTGTCGGGGGCTACCACATTCCCTTTGACGGTAGCCACTTCCGACGTCCCGTTCACCTACCCGCAATTCGCTTCTATTGGCGACACGAGAAAGAGAGACAGCGATTCGAGATTTACGAAACGTTAAACCGCGTGAGTTCGCAACGGAAGGTAAAAGGCGCCCGAAGTTGACTACTTCTCGAAGACGCGCGCGCGCTTCGCAAAAAGTCGTTAATTTCGCCCCTAGGACAAAAAACAAAATTCCGCCACGCAGGAGTTGTGCGCGTTTACAACATCTTTCCGACGACACCAATTTGAAAAGAATCGAACCAAAACTGTAGTAGAAGATAGGAAAAAACTGAAAAACCTTCACGTTAGTATACTACGCTCGAGGATGACGCCCAGATGTCGCCAACCCCACATCATGTAGCCATGTCCCTAAGGTTGACAAATTTCACGGCCCTGTAGATACACGTACACCCGTTGCCTTTCTACAAGAGTTCTTCTACGCGCCCACATTTGCTGCCAGCCAGCCAGCCAGCCAGCCAGCCAAAGTGAGATTAAAAGCTACTTTTTACAAAAAAAATTTTTTGCAAAAATGCGCTAAAAATGGAGTGTGTAATTAACTAATAGTCCAGTCAAATTAGCGCAATTTTGGACAAATAAAAACATTAATTGGTAAAGATCTGAATTTTGGTATACACATTTATTGGGACTTTCTATTGAACATATTAAAAGTCCCTGTCAAAATCTGTTGCGCTCGAGACGCCATCTTGGAAAAACGGTACACTTTTCCAGTTTTTTGCCCATGTCTCGGCAATTATTACTGACACGAAGAAATAGTTTACATGAAAAATATAGTTTACTAAATTCCCTATAAAAAAGAGTATTTACATTTTTTTTGTATCTCCAGTACTTTAGCTGTAATCTCACGTTGAATACGTCAGAACGCGTTTAGGCCCCGTATCGTAATATTATAGGAGGCCGTCTTTTTTATGACTACATCGATAGCTGTAATAGAGCCAAAAAATGAACAGAATCGTCGTGCGATAAAGCATTCTACCAATGACATAATGTTTGATGATACATCATGTTTTTTTCAAAAAGGTAAGCGAAAATGTGTAAAAGTGTTGGAGCAACGAAATGATTTCTGAAGCTGAAGAACGCCCTTATCTGCATAAGTATAACGTGCCTGCTAGTGAGAGATATTAAAACCGACATCGTTATCAGACCTTCAGAATGACCTTGACCCTGTTCGGACACTCAGTGCTCACATTGAAGATGAAAGTTCTATTGAGAGAGAGTTTTATGAGAAACCTTACTAAACGTGTCTCATACCAAGCTTGAGTGCGACGACTTCGCATATATAAGAAATACTGGTAGAATTTTCAATGAATTTTTAATGATTTGTAAAAAGTTGTAAAAAAATATCTGCGCGACTGTTTCGAGAGCTCAGGATACTTGATTCCCTATTCGATGTCGGATTATAGCTAAAGTATTGGGCATACAGAAAAATCTTAATATGCTTTTTTATGGGCAATTTAATAAACTATATTTTTTATCTGAACTATTTTTCCGTATCAATAATTGTTGCCGATATATAGGCAAGAAACTGAAAAAGTGCTCCTTTTTTCCAGGATGGCGCCTCGAGCGCAACAGATTTTGACGGGGACTTTTTTTATCTCACTGTGGCTGGTTGGCTGACCCGGCACGGCAGTAAATGCGAGCTCGTAGAAGAACGCTTGTAAAAAGACGAGGAGTGTACATGTACTAGTACTATTGGGGCCGTGCAATTAACAACTTTAGGGACAGGGCTATAAGATGTGGGACCGGCGACATCTGGGCGCCATCCCCAATCGTGTTATACCAAGCTGGAGATTTTTCAGACTTTTGGATCTTCTTCTACAGTTTTTCTCCATTTATTTTCAAGTAGGTGTCGTCGAAAAGATCTTGTCAACGCGCATAACTCCTGCGTGACGGAATTATGTTTTTTCCCCTATGGGCGAAATAAACCTCCTTTTGCACGGTGCGCTTCGAGGGTTAGTCGACTTTAGACGCCCAAAAGTTTCTTAATGCTCGAATCGCGGTTTGTCTTTCTCGTGTCGCCAATAGAAGCTCGAGCTATATAAGAAGTACTCAAAAACTAAGTACTATTTTGTGCCGATTTTTAGCGAAATCCACCAAAATGTGAATTGAAAAAAAAAGTTGAATGTGGTAGCCCCAGAGACTTGGTAGCCCTCGACAAGATCTTATTGATAGTGCTGTCAATACTGGCTAATGAAGCCCTAATCTGCCACGCAAAAATGCGCTGAAGTCCCTTCGATCTCACACGAGGACTTTGATAATTTTGTTCTATTATAACGATGTATTACACATGGTGCTTCAGTATCACTTATTTCCTAAAGATACAATTTTTCATTTTTTTGCGAAGAGTGCTTAGGAAAAACAAAACGTGCCTTGTTGTAAACAAAAGTTTGACAGTTTAATCCTATTTCAAGTAGTGTCATTTACGTTTGTGCTATAGTTTTATTGCAAAAATGTGTTTTTTAAGTGCTTAACAAAGAGATAGGTATGATACAAATGTAGGTAGGTACTACAATACGCATTGAAACGAGGGCATGACTACTGCAACTGCAACATATTTGCAGCGTTATCCAGAACGGAAACAACCTAATTTGAAGTAGGTAGGTATTTTTCTTTCGTGCATATAGTTCGTTTAAAAGATGTAGACGACAATATAGCCATAGGCCTTTACTCAAAAATTGTAAATTCAAAAAATATCGAGCGATTCAAAAAATTCATAGTCATAGTTGGCAATGGAAATCTAATTGTGAACATACCATGTTAAAACATTATTATAACATCCCGGTATGTATCATTGAATAAAAAATTAAGTTTTATACAATGTATGTAGGTATGTAGTTTGGTCGTGAATTTTTTTTGCCAAAAATCAAAAAGAGAATTGATAGGAGTTACAGTGCGATTCTTTCCTCATTTTTTAAACGGGTTCTCCATCTCTGCTAGTTTCCGATAGTACATCACATAGGTACCAGATCAGAATCTTCTGAAATAATAATGGCATATTTGGAGAAATTAACATGTAGCGAGCGTGGAACCCATCCATTTTACAATGCACAACCTACATACTATCATTTAATAGCATTTTCAACAGTCGAAATATCTTGAGAAATACTATTGGCATGTTATACAGGTATCTAAAGTGACTTACTTTGCAATTCTTCGATGGCCATTTTTCCAATGATACCTAATACCATTCGGATTTTTGTAAGCCTTGTTACAGCCCGGATAGGAGCATTTGTACTGCTTCGGTTTGAGATTCCTAAAATAATGTAACTTTAACAAACTCACGTAAACAGATATGGCGAATCGAATAAATACGAAGGTCGTTTGATAAGTCTCTTGTTTCGTAATGTTCAAATGGCAAAGTCTCATTTGCCATTCCCAAGGCTTCTCCAATTGCTTGGCCAAGCAATTCTAACAGGAGTCAGAACCAGCAGAAAGATGAGACCCGGATAACCAGCAGTTCATACTACACTTGCGGAAACCTTAAGTTACTCATAAATACCTATGTTTCAATTTGCTCTAATTTATAGATAACGCATATTAGCTTTAAATAAAAAACATATTGCTGTGTGCACTGGTCCGTAGGCCAGAAAGACCGTACACAAAACACCAAAACAAAAACCTAGCTAGCTCTTTACCTTCACTTATTAACACGGCTTCAAACGTCTCCTCAGCACAGAGGAGAGATTCGACTCTGCTCTCAGTTAACCTGTTAACTTCTAACAGATAGTGGGTCAGACCAAATTCCAAACTGAACTTCAAAATTTTGAATAATTAAAATTGACCTTGGGCAAGCGTCCAATTAAAACAACAGGTAAGTTAGAAAACACGTCGTTGAGAATGAAACACAAGGAAATTAATAGGAAAATCACAAAAATGCGATTTAATCTTAACACACAAAAGAAAAATGGTACAAAAACACAAACAATTATTCTTGTCCGGGAATTGTAATATCCAAATAAAATGGACACAGTACACAAAAACAATCACAATTTTCAACGAACGCACTTTACACTAACGACCGGGTAATAGCAGCATCTTCTCTCCGGGTAGTCAAAGATGTTCCAATAAAAAAACTCAACTTCAAAGTCACGTTGAAAACATACTTATAGGGGTGCCAACAAACACCTCTTCTTGCAGCACCTTTGATTGCCAAAACTTCAAAACGTAGAACATTAATTAGCCGCGAATTCGGCTTCCGGCTTCACACACGAAACTTCTTCAAACTTTAAACTCACATTAGACGAAACTTTCAGTGCTGGCTGTCGCTTCAACACAAATAATCGAAATAAGCGAAAAAAATCTCTAACAAAACGTAACTCGGTGCTGAACATAGCAAAAAGCTGATTCAAATTTTCAAACAAATGTAGTTCTGTGTTGACTGTGGCTACAAACGACGCTTTTCTTGTTAACGTCCTATTTACGGCGAAACCCTTCTTCCGAAAATCAAAATTATAACAACCAAATACACAGTTGACAACAAAGACTACCCCCTCAATGTACGTTAATAGACGAAAAAATAGAGGTCGAATAATTTTTCTAAATCAATTTGCTATCAGACATTAAGAGATAAATCCAAATTTAAATTCTAGGAAGAATAAAATTTCATCTCTCTACTGCACAGAAAAGGCGATAAATCACATACAATTAAGCATTTGATAACAGATAAAGGCCAAACAAAATTCCCAGAAATTCTACGTTAAATAAAATAAAAATGTAAACAAAAACAACCTTGACCGCTTTCTCGTATCACACAAATAATCCCCATGCCGTTATATAGACCAACGACAAATTAATAAAATTTAATTACAATGTTACTACACAAAAAGGAGACCGCCCTTGTCCATTTAAATTAAGATTTCCAAAAATTTCATCCTGCCAGACGAAACAATATGTATCAAAGGTAGTTTGGGAGAATTTGTTTTACTCATAAAAACCGAACGGACATTTCGTGACATTCTAATCACTTTCATTTTCAGACAACAACTGGAGTCGGATTTTTTCATGTCCGTTAACTTAGCGCGCCGACCATTGCAGTTTGTCAAATGTAATAGCACATAATAAAGTGCTTATTAATTGCTAATTTATTGCTGTAATGTGGAACTTAACATATGCTTCGCCCATTTGGTAAAATTTGTATATAAAATTGCGTGTACTAGTTTAACATTAGAACTTATTTGCTTAATAAACTACAAGTTTCGAATTAATTGCTGTGATAAATTGTGTATTAATTTACAATAGTAAAGATATGGCTTTGAGGTAACCCGCTTTCTACATTAATTGCTTACTAAATAGCAAGTTTGGAATTAATTACTCCATTCATAACCGTTCATAACTTGTTAATTAAATGAAAAAGATAGTGTGCCATCTACTTGCCTTAATTAAATCTATCTAGATAATTATTGCGTAGTATTTATTTAATATTTAAGTTATAAACAACAGTAGAATGTAAAGTCAAAAGTATAAGATAAATAATAAATATTGAGAGGGGACTATATCTGTGCGTAGGTATAGACCGATCTGTTAAAGACAGGGTTAAAGATTACACTTTACTGTTGTCGGTAACTGGCAAACCCATACATTTTCTATTTAATAAGAAGTTGTAACATGGAGCAATTAATGTCAACCTTACAATACAGGGTGTTCTATTTAAAATAGGAAAGTGTCTATCCATATCCAGTAAAACCGGAAGTGAAACGATAATGAAAAACTATGTTGGTATGAAAATTTTCAAATTCAAATTAACAATGAGAGCCTGAATACTTTTAGGTAACGGTTTGCGTGAAACAGCCTGTATAATAACAATTTTAAAAATAAAAAAAAGTAAACTTACTCAGAAAGTGTTGTGACCCAAAAGTTATCGTTATTGTTGGAGTCATAAATTAGATCAGATTTGACATCTACACAACGATCAGTATCGTTCGTCGATGGCTCCAAAGCTGAAAAAATACTATAAATGATACAAATGATCTTATTCCTAAAATATAGTGCTTGTTATTAAAATATATTTAAAAAATGTGTCAAACCCCACTCGTGAGTGTTGCCGCGTAACACAACTGTAAATAATGTAATGAGTAACGGGCAAATATAGACCATAGCAGCTATCTATTAGCGAAAACCCGAAGTCTCTATAGGTGACCCAGACAGATAGAGAAACGACGGAAAATCGAGCACATAAGCGTTACCTCAACTTTGTTGTGTTACGCTAATAAGTTTGGCCAAGCAAAACGATATAGAACAAATGAGTTTCTTCAAACCTTAACTTTTCCGCAAGGTAGCATCTGTTGAGACCCATCACATTCCTTTTATTGTATTTACTTCTCATACATGGCTTCATTTTTTATTGAGCGAAGTACCTAATCGAAGTACCAATTTTTGACATGGATATTCAATTTGATGCCGTTACTTTTCACAAAAATTAGTTCAAAAATAAGAAATTTACTAATACACATGCACGAAAGTGGCTTATGGCATGTACTCGTATAATCGACAAATTTGTTTTTATGAACAGCTGATTCTTCTGTTAAAATTTCAGTAAGATCTGTACACAAATATGAAATTTACCCTGCGCATTCTCGCGCGCAGCTTGTCACAATGTTAATATAATTGACCGATTTGCTTTTATCAAAAGGCACGTTAAAATTTAAGCAAGATCGGCCCATACACAAGAAAGTTACTTCTGCGCATACGCACGTAGCTTTTTATATGTTTACTATAGTCAATCGATTTGCCTCTATTAAAAGGTACCACTGTAAAAATTTCAGCAAGATCGGTTCATAAATACGAAAGTTAGGATATGCCTCGCCGGTCTGAAAATTAATAGGTGTCTACTCCAACCAGCAAGTAATACGACTGCAAAAATTTACGCAATTTGTCCCAGTAGATTTTGAGTTATAGTGATAACAAGCTTTACTCTGAGATGAAAACAATACTCTACCTACCCATATATGGTTGCGGAAAAGTAATATAACAGATGTATACGTATAATTCCCATATGTAGCCTTTCAAATGGACCACATCGAAGTATAATAGTACATTATATATCAAGGTAGAGAAGTCCACTATTATTGCCTGAGCACCAAGATTACATCTCGAGGCGCTTGCGCCGAGGGGTGTAAGGTGCGAAGGCAATAATAGACTTCTCTACCGTGGTATATATACTATTTTTTTCACTACTAGCACTTGAAATCCTCTAAATTAACATATTATATTGATAAGAAAGTGAACGGTTGGATAGAATTGTTTGTTTCTTAATTTAACATGTCAATCAAGTACGTGGAAGTACAAGTCAAACAGGCCGTATTTTGTTCTGTCATTGAGATTTTTCAAAGAGTAATTTCGTTCGAATGTTTTCAAAATGTGATAATTTTAGGTATGTAATTTCTCTGGAAATTGCGAATGGTGGCAATTATTCGTTTTAGAGAACTTGTCTAAACGTTCATTGAGCGAAATTTCGGGTTGTGTTTTCTAAAAGTGACAGCGTGACAGTTTTCATTATTGACTACTAGTTAATAATAAAAAATTATTAACCACTTTGAACAAATGCCGAGAAAGCCTACTTTACAAGTGGAAAAAAGGTTAATAATCATGTCATCAGACGCTAGTAGTGAAAAAAAGAATTTAAACAATTTAAATAGCATCTATTAACTACTTAATGACAGTTAACATTTTATTCAGCGCTTGGCATTTTGAGTAAAATATTCCTATATGCTAGAATGTGCACAAATGAATAAAAAAATTTCAAAACCCACTTGTGCATGTTGCCGTGTAACACAACTGTAAATGATGAGTAGCGGGAAATACAAAGCATAGCAGCTATCAATGAGTGAAAACCCGAAGTTTCTAGGTGGCCCAGGGGCTGAGATTTGGCTGGAACAGATATATAAAGACGACCGAAAATCGAGCACATAAGCTTAACTCAACTTCCTTGTATTACACTAAAAAGACTGATGGTAAATGGGTAATGGTTTAAGAAATGTACGTGACGTGTATAGCAGCACACACCAACTTGTAAATAAAATAAAAAATAAAATAAGTACCAAATTTTGAGCGGCATTGCGTTCTTTCCCACGTTCATATAGGCAATAAATTACCTAAACCCCAAATAAAACTGTCAAACGTAAAGTTGACTTAGGGTAAGTGAAACCATCCGTATTGTTAACTACGCGCCGAAATTAATTAATATTTCCACTACGATTCCTAAAGGGGAAATTTTGTTTAGTATGTTCTGTGTTTCGTTAAGTGCGCTCTCATGGAGAATACGTTCGTCCTGTAAATGTGTTGTTTGTTTGTGCAGACTGGGCGTCAAGACACGTTGGAAGGCCTCCCATTATGATCTCATCTGGAGTTGCGTTCGGAAGTAAGTGCTCCGGGACAATTTAAGGGTGCGTGAGGGTGAGGGCCTCCGTGTCGGATGCTCCGTACCCCTGGATTCGTACAAGCCAGCCGATTAGTGTAAGCATCCCGTGCATAACCGTTCGGAGCCCACCGCGTTGTAAGACTCCCGTTACACCCATTCATTGTGTGGGTGTGTTTTCGCACAAGAGGCTGCGTAGTTTCGCATCTGGACATGCAGTGTGTCTGTATAGAGAAGAGCCCTTGCAACTTTTATTGCGCATAAGGGTTACGTATTCTAGGTCCTGCAGACCCGATCGTCGTAAGACCCCCTTATTGGGTAATAAGTTTTCAGCGTGAATGCTTCCGGCACAAATTGGGCCCGGCTGACGTGGTAAGACCTGCGGACCGGCGTTTAATTCCACGCATGAGGGTAGGGATTGCACAGGAGATACGTTGCCGGGGGCATAAGACCTGGACGTGAGAAGATCCTCGGTTCTCATTCACCCAGTAAAGCATGTTTGAGTGTTGCTAAGGGAGCTAAACCTCTCGCCAGGAAAGAATGCCGGTCACAGAACACTTGATCCCGGTCTACAATCTATGTTTTTCTAAAGATGTGAGCGACTTCCGAGATAGGATCGTGTCAATGTTGAACAAAAAGACTTTTCGTTCAATATTGACGCGATCCTATTTCGAAAGTCGAGAAAAGTTAAAGTTAAAAGTAGTCGGAAAGTCAAGTCAGGAGTTTACCTGACAACTAATTTCCGTGTTACTGTAGTGTGGCGTTAGCGTAGAACATAGGGGTTAAGCTTAAGTACACTACAAGTGTTCTGCAACCAGTGGTGCAGTTTTGAATTTTTGGTCGATAAAAGATAAATCGAGTCCCCAAGATTAAAATATTGATTGCACTAAAGCAATTTATTGTTATGTTTTGATCATTCTTTGAAACATACAGAACTTATCGAATTGTTTGAAGTTTGATGTGTATATGGACTTGTTTGTAAGTTAAGATTTTCGCCATGAATGAGGCAGGGGTGGTAAATAACGGTCACCACGTTAGTTACGACACCTAGTGCCGGGACTGTTCTAGAATCAGAACTATGGGCTGGGAAATCCTGCCGATGGCCCATTGTTACCCGTCAATCAACCAAACCTCTTCAGTTTAGAATATGTGCGATACTATTATGAGTTGAGATTCACTATAATTTCCGCGATTCGTGCTACGTTGAATTTGCCTTCTAAAGTCATTGTAATTTTCTATGTTGCTTTTAACAAAAGGGATTTCTTGCACTAAAGATGGGTCACCTGTTGTACAGCTACCTCTTCTGTTTTCTACTTGTACCCCAACCAATTTCTTTGTTTTGAAACTTGCTTTTAACTTGTACCTATTTGCTATTATGTTTTGTGTATATGATTTACAGTTATTATGTTTTACCATCAACCATTTCACTATTACTCACTCGAGATTAGTGACTAGCGGACCCGGCGAACTTGGTGCCGCCTATCAGTCAATGTCCCGCTCACGAATGGGCCATAAGCTCGGTTTCGGCGGATGCCCCGCTTCACCTTGCCCAATCGTCCCGCTCCAGCGTAGGACTTAGATCTATTGCACACAGACGGTTAATCGGCTCACCCGCTGTTTCGTCGACTCGACTTCTGTAGGTATACGATGATACAGGACGACGACGGAAATATCCCCATTCGTGTGTCAACAGGCACAGACTTGAATATAATGAAACAAATGTGTCAGTTGATTCACTCACCGGCGGCCGTGCGTTCGACGCCGAAATTTTATTTTGTCTGGCAGCCGGTCGGCGGAACACCCTCCACCAGCAGGTGTGGTAAATTATAATTTGTATTTGAATCTACGTTAAAAAATTTCTCCCGATTAGTTTTCCTCGCCCACGTTAAATATCAGAAACCTTCGCCAGCATACGTAATTGATATGTTTAACCGTCTACTTTTTCGCCTCACGCCTCGGTATGGATTCTTCTAGAGACGTAGTATATCGCGCTTTGTCGCAATCTACTAGTTATATTGCGATTTAAAATCACGAAAAAGAGAAACAATTTTTTTGTTACTTTTTGCCATGCAATTTTTTGGAAATTATCTTTTATACAAATCTTGTTCTGATAATAGCAAACCCATCTACCAATTTATCTAATTTGATGCAGCCGTTCTAAAGTTATGTGCGTACATTCATTTCCGCGATTCAATAACTGATCAAAATGCAAAGATTTATTCAAAATACGAATTATACTATTGCACCATCTTAGTGTTTTATTTTTTGTTCTTTTCCTTCCCTATCGTACTTTCGGTGGCCATTTTTAAACGTAGCCGGGATGATTTATTTCCGTGTTATTTTAATGTAAGGTTAGCGAAGTACCTGGAGGTTTAGTACACTACCGTGACTGTATTAGGACAGTGGGGACAACTTGTCCTGCCTATCCGCCATATTGGGGCTAACTTAAACAAGGCAGCGTAGGAACAATGTACCATAAAAACTACAATATTGGTTGTGCTTCAGCAATAAATGTTAAAATTTAAACTAATTCAAGCGTATTTATAACCACAAGTGAGCAGCATAACCAAACTTTTCGTAATGAATTTCTCAAACTATGTCTTTATATAGAACCGAATGTCCACAATATAGATTTTACCTTAAGCAGCACTCTTATTCACAGAATTTCGCAAAAACACCAAAAAAACCTGTAAAGTCCTATACCAAAGTATAGCAATTTAGCCCTAATATGGTACCCGGAACCAACTACCAATCTAAAACAACATACCCGGTTGTCACCACTGTTCTAAATTGGGTCACTGTAAAGTATACTACAGTAAACGAGTTGCAAACAGTAAAAATCAGGAAGCACAATGCTAACTTTATTATTTACAGATTTAAAATTTTTAACCACAGATGGTTTTAGTAAAAACAAAAGTAGCGCGTATAGTGAAAATTGAATCCGCGCATGACTCGGGAATACCAAGATACCAAGTTTTTTTTTAAATTTAATCACAGATGCTTCTCTCACAAACGCAAAGGTAGCACCCATGTTTAAACTCAAATGCCGTGCGTAGATGCGCATCGTCAAATTTCCTAGGTAAGAAAGATGCTTGTGTTTTGCTTGTGTTCATATGACCTAAAAATTTGAATAAAGTTCAGCTTCTCCACATAGAATATAATGAAGTTTTTTTCTTGTTTTAGTATAATCCGTTTCAGTCCAATAAATATTGGAGTTATAGTCCATTTGTTATTACTGTTCCGATATGTAATTAACCCCACTAAATGCAGCGTAACTTTTAACCGTTTCGGAACCGTACTTTGTTCATTCTTACTCTGCACGTCAACAATAACGCGTTGCAGTTTGTTTGAGAGAATTATTTATATTAAATCGACGACGTGAAGTAAAAAAAAGTTAACGCTGCATTTAGTGGGGTTAATTACATATCGGAATAGTAATAACGGATGGACTATAAGTATTTTCCTCATTGTCTATCTCGACACGTCGGAATATAATAAACTAATGATTTCTCATTTTATAGTGTTTCGTCAGCATTGAAATTGTTTTGCACCCCCGTTTAGAGTTACGCCATCTTAACGTAAGAAATTTGCAAAATCAGAAAGAGCATAGCTCGGACCTATCCCAAAAACCTGCATATAGCCACGTTATAGCCAAGTTCTATTCTATCCGTTACCTATAGTTACTAACACACATAATATTTTAGGAACAAAACATTTTGAACCTTAAAGTAGTTAGAGCGCGTTCGGCTGAAGTCAAGTGATGTACTCGGCCTACCTATTACTTACGGTAAACGTCCCCAAAAAAATGTTGTTATGAAGGAAACATAATTAGAAATACGGTATGAGTGGTATTTTGTACCTCAGCACAATGCAAACGTCTTACATGATTTTTAAAAAGGTATATACAGTAGTCAACTTGACTAGTCTCCCTACTTTTCGACCCTGTTTCAAACCTTTGCACACTAAACTGTTGACGACACACCGCGACTAAATATTCACAGTGTAAGCGGTAAATCCTAAACGAATATATTTATTTTTAAACAAAACGTATGCGAGACGTATGTAAAAGTCGAGAAACTAAATAATTTGGCGTTTTACGTGAAGTCGGTGTAGTGGATTTGGTTTTTCGATGTTGGCGCCAGAGATCCCCAGCCGCTATCTTGATCTCGATCCGATCAGTGTGTCAACACGACGTGTGCAGGCCTTTATAAATATCGCTGGTTTTGGTGTTCTTTCTGAAAGACACCATGCCTTTTGTGAAGAAAAGTGCTCAGCAGAAGAAGGAAAAGATTGTCCTAGCTCAGCTATATACTAGACCTAGTGGAAAAGTCATCAGATTTAAATGCGTGCTGCATAGCGTGCCGCCGCATCCGAGCAGACGCCGCTCCGGCGGTAAATATCTTCCTTATTTCATCATGAACATGTACTTTTCCATGCATATTTAGATTCGTCACAAAATTTCGCTTCTAATGAGACCCATCTCGTTTAAGTCTTGTTACAAAAACCTTCGCTATCTCAGAAAAACTGAGTCTGTCCATAAGAGCCCATGTTAAAATACCCTGTTTTTACTGTCAAATATCTCAGAAACGGCACATAGGAACACTTTTTTCTTTTGACCATTAGAAAGTGCGTCTCTCAGAGAATAAGTGACCAAATTTTCACCAACTTCTTGTTACTTTTACCTAGGCGCTCTAACTACTTTAATTTTTTTGGAAAAACACTACCTACATCCAATGTTTCAGCACATATACTTGTTACACGCTGTTGGTAAGTAGTTTGTTTTGTTTTAAGCAGTTTGTGCTAATGCTTCAACCCCAATATCAACTCATCAAACTAAACATCACCTAAGATGCCTGAAGTTGAACCTACAATTTCCGTTTGAAATTACGTTGCATAGTTCAGTTTGCAACAAAGTTTTAAATGAATCCAACCATCGTTTAGATCAGTAAGCGTATGAAGTTTTTTGGAATAGATACTTCTTAACACGAATTAATTAATTTAGGGAAGGGTCTAATATACAGGGTGTTTTTTTGGGAGCTTTAGTTAAAAGTTTCTGGGAAAGTAAAATAGGTAGGTTTTTGAAAATTTGTACTTAGGAGTTACTCTGAAGGCCGAATCGATGTAAAATATTTTCAAAATGGCCGCACTTCCGGAAACACCGGAAGTAGATAGTAACTTCGTTATTTTAAATGGCAACCCCTATTTTTTATTGCATTTTTGGATTCTACGTGAAATTTCACTTCTTTTGATACCCATATGTCGATATCTACCATTTATGGTTTTTAAGTTATTTTGACTTTAAGAAAAAAAATGGCGGATGCAGATGGTACCTTGATAATTGATTACTTGCAAACGGTTGTAGTCATGGCAACCTATTTTTATCAGTGCATAGAGAATGAATAGGGCTTTCTTTTAGTGCACTTAAAAAAAAGTTAAGTTGCGTACGACCGCCCCTATGGATATCCAAATTTATGAAACTTCAAAGACTAAAAACTCAGTTTTTTTTTAATGGAATGACCATGTTCTTACTATTCCATGAGATAGAGAATCGAAATGGGCATATTTTGACAATACATGTTCCTATAGCTATCTTTAACAGTTTCTGACTTATTCCCATTTTATTGAATTGACACTATTTTTTTAGGATTTTCTTTTTAGTAGTCGGCCATGATTCTATAACAATTGAATTTTAAACAAATCTAGTGACACTAATCCATCACCCACTGTTATAGGTTAACATAAGTTTTTCAAAAATCGAAAAATGACTCGCAGTGGTTTCACCTATTTTGGAATTTAATTGTTATTTATGGTGAAATGGGCAGAATCGCGGCGCGTGCTTTCCGTACACATTCATTCGAAAACTAGAATGAAATTGTATGAATTTTTGAAATTTTGTACCCCTAATGCACTACAAACCGTTGAAGCACAAGTTATACAAAGCTCTACAAGAGAATATTTAAGAAAATGAATTGAATTGCAAATGCAAGATTAACAAAATAAATTCAATGCAAAATATAAAAAATTTTGTTGAAACATTTTTGGTATGGAATTGTTGCTAGAACAGATATCGCATTACCTCTCTTAATTTCCAGACTTATACGTTGTTTAAAAAATTCAGTTGAACGACTCTGTTTAGATTTTTCAAAAATTTTCTGTCCTATATCCTTATTAAATGAGTTATTTATTAATGAATTATTTAGACTAGAACTACAATCAGTGGTATTAAAGAATCCATTCCTTGATTTGTTTAAAATTCTATTGTTATAAAATCATGGCCAACTACTAAAAAGAAAATGCGAAAAAAAATGGAATCAATTCCGAGATCAATTCAATGAAATGGGAATAAATCAGAAACTGTTAAAGATAGCTATAGGAACATGTAATATCAAAATATGCCAATTTCGATTCTCTATCTCATGCAATATTAAGAACATGGTCATTCCATTTAAAAAACTGAGTTTATAGACTTTGAAGTTTCTTAAATTTGGATCTCCATAGGTGCGGTTGTACGCAACTTAACTTTGTTTTAAGTACAGTAAAAGAAAGCCCTATTCATTCTCTATGCACTGATAAAAATGGGTTGCCATGACTATAACCTTTTTCAAGTAATCAATTATCAAGGTACCATCTGCATCCGCCATTTTTTTTCTTGAAGTCAAAATAACTTAAAAACCATAAATGGCAGATATCGATATATGGATATCAAAAGAACTGAAATTTCACGTAGAATCAAAAAATGCAATAAAAAATAGGGGTTGCCATTTAAAATAACGAAGTTACTATCTACTTCCGGTGTTTCCGGAAGTGCGGCCATTTTGAAAATATTTTACATCGATTCGGCCATTCAGAGTAACTCCTAAGTACAAATTTTCAAAATCCTACCTATTTTACTTTCCCAGAAACTTTTAACTAAAGCTCCCAAAAAAACACCCTGTAGATCCTAGGTTTAATCAGTTTCAAACATGCAAGTTTGATTATGGTTAAACAAAACCTCAGATTAACATCTGATTTACCTACATCAATGTGTGCAACATGTAGGCGATATTTGTACAGTGTCAGTAACTGTGCAATACGGCACAGGTGCTACTTTTATTTTTGGATTAATGAACTCCCATCTGTTATACCCTTAGCCCAAGACACGATGTTCATCTAACCGGGTGACAAGCTTCCAAAATCCAGGGTCACACACCACTTTTAGTAATTCTGAGCCTACACAAAAATGCAGAAAAAAGAATACCTTTAAAAATTCAACATGAGATGTTAAATTAGAGTTGAACCACATTAACCAGGTTGGGAGAAATTACCATGAAAACAATTGTGTCACCATCATTTGCCCCCATAGCAAAATCACCCATCGGGTTAATTCGACTAAATTATCTACAATTTGAGCAAATGATTTTTAGTTTCCGCACTCAGTATCCCTTTGACGTTAAAAGGGAGACTGACTGTAGATATGAATGTAACAATGAGTGCAATTTTTCAATTCTCATGTAGGTAATATACATACAAATCTGATTTTCAGTTTGCGCGGAATGATTGAAAATGCCCTCACGATTTGCGACACTTGATAGATCCGGACATTCAAACGAAGAATACCTCAGTATGTAACTAAGAGGTACACATGAATCAGCTTGTATTTCACTCTCATATTCTTCCATTTCAATATCAAAATCTGTGAATGACATTATTGACAGCATCTGTATACGCAAAATGAGAACATACAAACCTAAATGTGTCGATTCTATGTGATGAATCAGGTACGATTTAGTAGGAAACGTTTTGCCGCAGCCATACGTGCAGTCATTATTAAAAAACACAGCCATTATTTTTAAATCCAATCGTTTGGTTATGTGCACTAACTTTTGCCGGTTTTTAAATGATCATGTGTTTTGTAGCGCCGGTTTAGTAGATCTCGCTAATACTCGAGTCGATGGCTCCTCAGCGCAAAAATCTGAAAACGGAACCGAACGAACACAAATCGTCCTCGTTCCTCTTATATGAATCCTATATGTACGATCTCAGTTGCCAGGTCCCCTTCAAAGCGACTCAGTAGTTACATTCCAGAGGTACGCCGGTTGTCCTCCTCCTGACACTGTTTCTTTAGGTAGGTGCCCGTACTTGTGTTTTAGTGAGTAATTCCAAAGTTATCTTAAATTAATTAAATCATCCGACATTGGAAATTTCTATAATCAATTATAGTGTCGTTCTTTTACTACGGATTTAAGTATTTATGGACGTTTCGTGAATATTTTGTGTTATGTAAAAGATTTCAATATCGGCCATTTTTGGTTGTCACCGGAGAATTGTCATTACATAAGAAAGTAGGATAATTTTACGAGTGGAACTGCAGTGATCCGTGTATTTTAGAATACCGAAACCTCATAATTGTATCGATTTTACTTTGTATGTCGCCGTCTTTCATTACGTAACCTACGAAAATCTTAAGATTAATTGATAAATGAAAAATAGTCACTCCCGTTAACCTACCTATTTCCAATTGTAATTCTTAGTGAAATAATAAACTCCTTTGTTCTAGGTTTGGTGTAAAGAAAAATCAAATTGCAGACATGTTTGCCTGTGCTAAAGTCATTGCACCCCTTGCACGAAGTGCAGTAAGTATCTTGCACGGCTATTGCTTTAAATTTATTTAAAATTAGTGACTTTTTAGTACAGTGTGCTTGTTACATAATAAAGATAATCAATGTGTATCCCTAGCATGTTACATAATCGCTCACTAAAACTATTTTTTCAGATAATTGCCAGTCCAAAGACCTTTTTACGGCCACTTAGCAGTACATTAAGTCAAAGTAGCCAATTGTTAGTTCAGTCGCCAGTTGTCCAACAACAGTCTCAGAAACCCACACTTTTACCTGCAATCCGCAGTTTTCAAACTACAGCTGTAACTAGGGATATCGATTCCGCTGCTAAGTTTATTGGTGCGGGTGCGGCTACAGTTGGTGTTGCTGGCTCAGGTTTGTATTGCCTTTTAGGTATAAATAATTTTAATTATCGGTAAATGTTAACGAATAACATTAGATTTGCATAGTGCATGACATTTTTACATAAAGGACGTTGTATGTGTAATTAATTTGAATTTCATAATTAAATTGAGCTTATGTTCAATGAGTTTAGGGGTTGCTTAGCATTTTTCTAAATTTGCTTTTTCCTATTCTAATCCATTTGCATGACTCCTGTGTGAAAGGTATTGTGATAATGCATTTTTTTCAGGCACCCTCAACTTTAGCAGCATTTAGGTGTAAAGATGTCCAATGGACAAAATTATATAGATGTCAAAATCTCGTATTACACATTAATTTTTTTCTTAATGGCTCTTTGGTATCAGGACACCATTACATATGTATTGATAATATGAAATTTGTTCATCATTACGGAAATACTAAAAAAAAATCATTTTCACAAAAAAATTGCTGCTCTTGTGCTTTATTTTTTTTTAGGGCAAAAAATACTGAATAGCAAAGGTTACTCGCTAGTCTTGGTAATAGGAATATGTTCAAAAATTACCAATACATTTTTGGTGTTTCATTACCTGAAACTTTTTTTTTTAATTGTAAAAATTACTGATAATAGTGCAGTCAAAGAATACATCCCATAATTGATCAGAATTTACTAGATTAGCGCCGACCAAAGTTTAAAATGGTATCAATTTAAATTTTGGCACTTAAAATGCATATTTCACAGGTCATAGTGATGGTCATGTGTATGCTTGTTTTAGTACAGCTAACATTATTTCTAGGTGTTGGAATTGGTGCAGTATTTGGATGCTTAATTATTGGTTACTCCCGAAATCCCTCCCTAAAACAGCAATTGTTTTCCTATGCTATCCTTGGTTTTGCTTTATCGGAAGCTATGGGTTTATTTTGTTTAATGATTGCGTTCCTTTTATTGTTTGCCCTTTAACTGTTTTTGTGTTTGAAATCCGTCTGCAAGTGGTATGTTTTCATTTAATTTCTCTAAATTGAGACTGATATGAAATACTAATTGCTTTTGTTACAGGAGCTGGTATTGGAACAGTGTTTGGATCACTAATTATTGGATATGCCCGAAATCCATCTTTAAAACAGCAACTTTTCTCATATGCTATCTTAGGTTTCGCCTTATCTGAAGCTATGGGATTGTTTTGTCTTATGATGTCCTTCCTACTGCTGTTCGCGTTTTAAAATTGCCAAGAAGGTTACGCTATCATACTCCATCATTTCGTTACAGTACCATCAAGTAGAGACATTCTTTTATTTAATATTGGCAATAGGACTTTTAAGTAGAAATATATAGACTCCTAATTAAATGTATGACAAAAATAATTGTAAATTTTTTTATTACACCAGAGATGAACTGACTGGGTTTATTATGTTCGCTAATTTTTCATATGTTTAATAGGGAGTAATTGTAATTTTTTGTGTACAATTAAATTAAGCACTATTGCATACTGTACAGGATTAGAAATTAATAAATTTCTTAGTTGTCATATTTGTCGATTAGATTTATTAAGTTTTATCTCTTTCGTTGTTGAATCCCAGTGATTTAGATTTTCATCTTTCTAAATTTCAGGATTATTTTTACAAAAAATGCGCTCTTATAAATTTTTCATTCCCATTATCTATGAAACCGTAACGATTTAGGGAGTATTCCAATAGGAACGTTCAATTGTTCATTAAAAATCATATGTATCATAACGAGAATAAAAAGTTGAATTGCGTACATTCTTTGAACTATGGACACAGAGTAACTACAACAGATAGCTCACCTCAATGCATTTTATGTGTAACCATATCCTTCACTCAACGGTGTAACAAAATTAAGGATAAAATAACCTTAAACGCGCCCTCTATTTGCAAAATAAAATAACCATTCTATTTCAGTTCTGTTGTACTAAAATCTAATTCATTTATGTTTGATCTAAAGCTCAATTTACATTATGTAATAAAGTTGTTGGTAGCACGGAATTTGTTCTAATTTGGTGCTAGTGCGTAAGTCACAAGTATGAAAGTTGGATGGAAAATGAGTCTGGACCTAGTTTCTAGATTAGAAACTTGGACGGAATTTTCTGATTTACATTGTCAAAATTTTAACAAGTTCATCTAGTCAAAGTTTCTAGACGAAAAAAGTATAACGTAAATTGAGCTTAAGGTAGTAGTTTGTTGGTATATAAATAATTTAGAGTTTGTCATTAGAAACCGATACAATAAAAAACGTTGTTCATATTGATGTTTAATAGCAGCTCTTATTCAATGTAATACCATCAACATGGTAGCAGAGCGTGGTTCTTTCTAAATATTCGTTGGTTCAAAGAAAATCTTGGTTGCTAGCGTGGAATAGAATAGAATTTTTTTGACAAGAGACGACACGAAAAATGGAAATTCAAGGAATAGAAAAACTACGAGGTATTGAAAATTGGAGTATTTGGAAATTTGTTACGAGGAAAAGCGGACGCGTATGAAGTTTGCATCGGGGAAATACTGAAGCCAGAGCAATTAGCTATTGAAGATAAGGACTTTAATCCGGCAGAATACGATGCAAAATTCAAGGTTTGGGACAGGGGAGATCGCGCAGCAAGTCAGATAATTATTAAATCTCTAGAATCAAAGGTTATGGCGTTGTTGGTTTCATGTGAAACGGCACGGGAAATTTGGCTCAAATTGCATTCTATTTTTGAGCAACAAACTAACAAGCTGCGCATACTGTTCAAACTGAATTTTTCAATTTTAGTAAAAATCCTGTTGAAAATATGGTGACTCACATTGCTCGATATGAGGAGCTGGTTCTGCGCATGCAGCAGCTGAATGTGAAACCGGACGAGTCTTCACTTGTAGTAAAGATGCTCGATTCTCTCTCAGATGACTACGAGGGCCTTCGACAAGCTTGGTGGGCGAGATCTGAACAACAGCAAACATTTGCGAATCTGATGGTTGAAGTGTTGACATCGGAAGAAAAACGTCGGCAGCAGAAAACAGGAGGAGTTAGTCGCACTTTTTTCTAGTAAGGCCTACATAAAAAAGAAATATGCCAATAATGGTGGCAATAATTTTAATAAAATTAAATGCTACCGGTGCGGATGTGTGGGGCACATCCGGAAAAATTGCAAAAAGGGAAAAGAAGACGGTGAAGAAAAATCGAAAGACGAGGCGTTCGTATGTGAGGCTCTCAGCGCGGAAGATGGCGATGTTTGGATTGTTGATTCCGGAGCTACAGATCACATAACTCGTCATCGTGAGTGGTTTTTGTCTTATGAGCAGTTTGCAGTTCCCTTAAAAATTTATGTCGGCGACAAATCAACAATGGACGCTCTCGGAAAGGAAGTAGGTATAAAATTTCAGGCTTATGTCGACAAAAAGAAAATAGAATGTCACATGGAAAATGTTCTTTTTGTGCCAGGGGCACGAACAAATCTTTTTTCGGTCACGGCTGCGTTGGACAAGGGTTCAGATCTTCCAGCGAAAGATGTGAATTCACTCGGGATGGAATTGTAAAAGCATACGGAGTTCGAATGGGTCAATTATTCAGGATGGTGATCCAAATAACATTTCCGAAAGATTACGTAAATGAGGCCAATCTAACGACGAAAATTACACTTCAAAATTGGCATGAAAAATTTGGACATCAGAACAAACAATATGTCAAGAAAATCTTGAAAACCCAGAAAATCGACTTCATCGAGGGCGACTCATTTTGCGGAGCTTGCGTGGAAGGAAAACAACACCGGAGTACTTTTGAATCAACAAATCAGCGTGCTACGACGACTGGAACAGTTCTACATGTTGATTTGTGCGGACCAATGGAATGCACTTCGTTGGGTGGCGCTAAATATTTTGCGTGTTTTACTTGTGATTCAAGAATGCGATTTGTTTATTTCCTCAAGGAAAAATCAGAAACTGCTGGAAAAATTGTGCAGGTGTTACAAATCATAAAAACTCAACTTGGTAGATCGATGAAAACCCTGCAGTGCGATGGAGGAAAAGAATTCAACAACAGCGAGGTTCGAAAAATATTGAAGGTGGACGGGGTAAATTTGACGGTGTCAAATCCTTATACACATGAACAAAATGGATGCGCTGAACGAACAAACAGAACGGTGGTTGATTTGGCTCGAACAATGCTTTTGGCTAAAAAAATTGCCAAAATATTTGTGGGCGGAAGCGGTCAATACTGCTGTTTACATTTTGAATCGCAGTGGACCAAGTGGAGTTGAAAATAAATCTCCTTACGAACGGGGAAGAAGGTGAATTTAAATCGTTTCTATGTTTTTGGCACAGATTGTTTCGTGCACATACCGAAAGAAAAGAGAAATTAATGGGACCCAAAAGGCAAACGAGGAATTTTTGTCGGATATTCTTACAATATTGACGGTTTTCGTCTCGGTTTTCGTATTTTGTATAAATCGGAAAATCGCATCTGTCAAGGTCTCGAAACATTTCAAGTAGAAGATTCGATCAAGGGAATTTGCAATTATCATGAAGAAGATTTTGTCGATCAAGAGACGAGCACACCAACTCAAGAAGAGGAATTGGAGTGTAAAGCATCGGAAGAAATCTTGGAAAAACGACATCTCAGAAATCGGAACGATCTCAAAGCACCAAACAGGTTGTTATATGCAATGCTTTCGGAAGTTGTAGAACCAAAAAGTTATAACGAGGCCATAAAATCGGTAGGAAAGCAGAATTGGGTGACCGCCATGAACGAAGAAATGGCATCATTGAAAGAAAATTCGACGCGGAAAATTGTTGAACTGCCGGACAAGCGAAAAACTATTTCTAATCGCTGGGTATATCGTGTGAAACGGGATTCTTACGGGAATATGTTTCTCGGTTTAAGGCACGTTTAGTTGTCAGAGGATTCAGTCAGCAAGAAGGTATTGATTATAATGAGACATTTAGTCCTGTGGCACAACTTGATTCAATTCGGATAGTTTTGAGTATTGCAGCGAAAGAAAAATTGAAGCTTGCTCAATTTGACGTCAAGACTGCATTTTTATATGGAAAAATTGATGAAGAAATTTACATGGATCAATCGGAAAGTTATCAAGATGGAAGTTAGCGTGTTTGTAAATTGGAAGTGAAGATCAAGTTGCGGATATTTTAACTAAGCCAATTCCAAAAATTCAATTTCAACATCTTAGAGAAAAATTGGGGATGTTTTCATTGTAACATAAATGAAAGTTTAAAGTTTGAGGGGAAGTGTTGTACTAAAATCTTTAAACTAAATAATTCATTTATGTTTGATCTAAGGTAGTAGTTTGTTGCTATATAAATAATTTAAGGTAAGTTCATAGCTCTCCGTTCATATACGTTTCCGTTTGTCCGTTAGCCAATCAGAAGACAGTAAATTTTTAAATCGTACGTCGTCCGTTTACGACGGAAAAGTTGGTTGAAGTTGAACATTTACGTTTCCGTTGGTCCGTTTTTAACAAGAGTGAGGTTATGTTTGGTATGTTAACAGTGTTCGCCTATTCGTTCTTCACGGTAATAATCAGATAGCAATGTGTTCTTACTTTCGTACCATTTTCACATACTGAAAATCACGGAGGGTACACTACAAAATAAAGTTTAGGTTATGGTTATACTTGCAAATGTACAATGTGGACGGATTGCTATGAACCTTAACAAAACGTACTATCCGTTTGACCATTGAATAAAAACACTATAAGAAGCCTAACGCTTATGGAAGAAAGCGCGACAAATCTCACAAATCCCCTTGCACCCGCATTGGTTGTGACCACCGAACTCTCTTTGCGGTAAATAGGAGGAAAGCAAATTCTCATTCTTCTCAGTTCAAGAATCGACTCTATTGACAGTGTTCCCATTATATTCTCAGTTCAAACTCTGTCGCGCTTTATTTCCACGGGGTTAGGCTTCTTATAGTGTTTTTATTCAATGGTTTGACGGATCAACGCAACGGATGAACGGAGAGCTATTATATTATTATATTAGAAACCGATACAATAAAAAACGTTGTTCATATTGATGTTTAATAGCAGCTCATATTCAATTTAATACCATCAACAAGTTCAACCATAATGTAAAAGTCTATTCTTACACTCTATGGTCACAGACAACATATACTAGTATATATGTTGTTCAACCAAAGATACTACCATCAGTGTTGTGAGATATATATTAAGACCTTTTCAAAATTTGTATCTGTATCTACAATTCAAATACTTTTTTTGTATCTAACATTTTAGGTACATTTTCGACTATTTTCTTTATTGTCCAATTCCATTAATCAATACTATAATGACGTATTAAAATTATATTTTCAAACGACAAAACGCTTTCTTTTTATTACTCGATAACTGTTTACCGGCATCAAGCATGGAAAATAAAGCGTATCTGTGTCTAGACCCTTTTTGTTTTTGGGTATCTTTTGGTATCTAGTTACAATTACTAAGTTGTATCTGTATCTTTGCCTAGATCCAAGAATGAAAGTATCTATTATTACAACACTGACTATCATGATGATAATACGTTCAACCATTGTTTAAATATTTAAACAATGGTTCAACTATTATTCGACTAAATTCGACCAAAGATAATACAATTATCATTGTAAGTATTTAAACAATGCTATTATCTTTGAGATGACACACAGCAGGGTTACAAACTTGCAAGGAATTTTTATTTATTCGCTTCTGCGGTATGTAAATATACGAAATATAACGCTGGCGGGTTTGACTTCGCACACGAAATCAAAATCTAGTTTGCGATTAAAGTTTGAACTTGAATTCCCATCTAAAATACGTTTACTAGGTAATTTTAACTACAGAGGTGTGCCGACCGGACTCCAATTCAGAAAAAACTGGCTGTCTACCGAATATTTTGAAATGCCTTGTATATATATAGAAACGCGACGATAGTGCATAAAACTTCTACAGATGTCGCGTAAGTAAAACTTCCTTTTCCTTCCATGTTGAACGTTTAAAGTACGTAAGAGAATAATATATATTTTAAATCATCTAAATTTACTTTATCAATCATATCAATATATTTATCTTTAATACGGAAATTGGCTTCTTTTTTAATTCATTAAAATGCATTAAGAATTATTTTTTAACTTCAATATAAAACAAAATTTCTTTTGAGGTTAAGTTATTTACATTGTAGATCGTGAAATATGGGGGCCTATAAGTATATGCAGGAAATTTATCGGAAGAAACAAAGCGATGTGCTTAGGTTTTTGTTGAGAATCCGTGTTTGGCAATATCGTCAACTAACAAAGTTGCATCGTGCTCCAAGACCATCACGTCCCGATAAGGCTCGTCGATTGGGATACAGAACTAAACAAGGTATAGTACTACAGCTTTTAACTTGTGCATTAAGTTTTTTTTACTTTAGGATACCTTATTTATCGTATCCGAGTTCGACGAGGAGGTCGTAAACGTCCAGTACCAAAGGGAGCAACTTATGGTAAACCTAAAACTCATGGTGTAAATGAATTGAAGCCTAAACGAAAACTGCAATCTGTTGCTGAGGTAGGTTTTGATTTTGAGTCAATATTTTGATATAATGTGATGATAAATATTACTGGTTGAAATCAACATGAAAATTAATCTTCCTTGGATGTCTGAATGATGTAAAATTTTAAGAATTGTTTTTAGTCTTTATGTGTTCTGTACTTATGTATTATTGTAGGAACGTGTTGGACGTAGATGCGGAGGTTTACGTGTATTAGGATCATACTGGGTTGGTCAAGACTCTTCACATAAATATTTTGAAGTTATTCTTGTTAACCCCGCACATAATGTAAGTGAATATGTCTAAAAGTTTATTGTCTTATTGATTTGTTACTTTAATAGACCATTCGACGTGATCCCAAGATCAATTGGATAGTCGATCCAGTACACAAGCATCGTGAATTGCGTGGCAAAACTTCATCGGGCAAATCATCTCGTGGATTAGGAAAAGGTCACAGATATTCTCAAACGATTGGCGGTTCACGCAGGGCTGCATGGCGTAGGAGAAATTCCCTTCAATTGCGAAGAAAGCGTTAATTTTTTAATATACATTTTACATGTATTAAACAATCAGATAAACTTAAATTTTATTTTATTCAAATTTCATTTCCAACTGAACCCAATGTTTTTATTATTTATACTTGCAAAAGGCGGAAAGCTATGCTCGATTATCTTTTTAAATGTTATGGTAATTTAGTGGCATGGTTCGTGTTATGGAAACTTTTTATAATGCAAGATAGAAACAAAGGATTCACTAATAAACTAAATTCTCAATACCCATTTATAAGGAAAAAACAAATTTAGTGGCGGGTATGTATAGAGTAAAATCGTTTCAGATAAATTTATATTTCAAAACACATTGACCGTTTTCCTTTTTGTAAAAAAGCTGGAGATACGAAATACGAATAAATTTCAAGAAACCAAAAATTTCCAAACAAATTTATTTTACAATCCACCAATTGCACACTGAATAAAAGTTCAGGGGTAGAAAGTGGAACATGGCCCCTAAAACAAGATTTTGAATTTGAGAGAAATGTCTCAAAAACTAGGAAAAACCTTCAAATTTTAACACCCTGTAAACCGATAAGTAAGCATTTGTGGACCTATACCTCAATTTGCGATTTCGTTATTTTTTTCAGATGTTATTTATACTGTATGTTGTTTTCAACAGGATGGTGCACCTGGGTACTATAGCATAATTGTACAAGAAAACCGATCGGTCAATTTTCCAGGAAATGGGAGTAGTTAGCCAGTCAGTTTCCACCTTGTATTAAATCCCTTAAATTTAACAGACATACAATTTCCATGGAGGGATTTGTATTCAGTCATCTCCATCTCTCTTACTCTTTGTTTTAAATTTAACAGAAGGAAAGGTAGCCAACCGTCTCCGTATTTAGCGGTCCCATAAGGGCAAATACAATCTCGGATTCTAAAAATTAATAAATACGCCCCGGAATTAAACCAGTGCGTCCCGTTTTTGTGTAGTGGTGTTGCCTGAATCCACGTAACCGACGGAACAACAACAAGCGCAGCAACGCTGCAAGCGGTTTCGTCTTTTAGTTGCTGTTACAGTTCGGCTTGTCAATGCTGTGACTGCATTGGTTTTATTCGAAGCGTTATTTGTGACTGACCACTGATCTGCATAGCTGTTACGTATATAAGTTCGCTTTTCATTGCGAAATAAAATAAAATCAGAAATGTACAAATAATTGTTTCTTTTCAAATATTAGGGATAACACGATTCTGTCCCGCATTACTAGACCGAGAGCCAGCGTAGAAAATACCTCGTCATAGGGTACAAACGGTTTTTTGTAACTAGGCAGTAGAATGTTACCGTGCGATTCCAAAATCGTCCATCTGGCCGCCCGCGCAGAGCTGGGAAGTAACTAAAATTTAAGTTACTTTCAAGTAACTAAGTTACCTGCAGTAACTAAGTTACTGTAACTTAGTTACTTTTGAAATAACACTAAAAGTAACTTGTAACTTATTACTTTCTAAAAGTAACATAACTTTTCCAGATTCAGAGGAACTAAGTTACTTTCTGGTAACTAAAGTTACCTAAAAAGAACTTAGTTACCTACCGAAAAGTTACTTTTTATTTATTGTAAAATTATTCCTCAAAATACCTTGCAGATCTCACATGCGTTTAAATAATGTCAATAAGGAAAAATAGTCCTACCAAAGACTATTGTAGGAGGATAGTCTTTGATCCTACTTGTAATTTAATATTGAGGAGATAGGCTCGTAACCTGAGTTTTAAATGATAAAAGGAAGTAGCGTAAAATGCAATTTTTTATTTCTGATAGTTGATATATTATGCAATGTAGGAGTATGACTCTATGAGTAAGATGTCGATGCACCCTACCATTGACGTTATAATTATATACTCAAAATTTCTTATCTGTACACTTCGAATTCGCGATTCGGCAACTGCACGACGCCCGGTGACGCATCGGCAGATATTTGTTCATGTGATCTGATGCTTATTATAAAGAAATTCGCCATTTACTTTGTTAGTTGTAAACGTGAGAATGTTGTGCTTGTGAACGCAATAATATGAAAATAAAACTTTTGGTTATTCAGTATGCAGCTGTTTCTTATTATTTGTTGAAATTTGAAGCAAGCATCTTGAAAGTATCTTTTTAAAAGAACTTTTTTAAAAGTAACTTAGTTACTAATAACTGTAACTAAGTTACTTTTGTTTCTAAGTATCTAGTTACTCAAGTAACTTAAGTTACCTTTTGGAAAGTAACTTATAGCGTTTTCCACTTGCTGCCCTCTGTCGAACTGAGATCGACTTTTTTACGTTTTAGCGTTTTCCACTCACGTAAATCAGTTCGCATTATATCAGAGCAGCGTTTTCCACTTGTCCGGTTGCTCCATGAAATTTCGCTTTAAATTCGCATTTTGTAGAACTACGTGTTAAAGCTTCAGAGCGCTATACATAACCTGAAAACTTTCTCTTTCAAAATAACATTTTTTTTCATTTTTTGCAATGGATGAAGTTATTTGTACTGTTGTATCAGAAATACTGACGGATTCTTCAGATACTGACGATGAAGAATTAATAGAAACATTAGGTTCAATTATTACAGAACACAATAGTGTTCCAAAAATTAGGAATTATGTACTTAGAAATAATTTCGCAATATAGTAATAATCAGCTAAAGGATTCTTTGAATTTGTGAAAGTAGGCATTACTTAACTAACCATACAACAATTACAGTTTTAAAAGAGTTTTCGGTTGTCTCACGATTTCCACTGCCCCAAAGTAGCGCAATTTTGTTTCCTGCTCCAAGAAAGTGTGCAGTCAGAATTAGGGCGGTACCATAATGCGCACTGCTAATCCATCAGTGGAAAACGCTATTAGTTACTTTATCAAAGTAACTTTCCCAGCTCTGCGCCCGCGGCGGTCAATTTAACGCGGGGGCGAATTTTGAAAACTGTTCCATATAATAATAATAGAGATTTATTGCCCAACAGAGCAGACATACCAATTACAGGAGAATACATATTTAATTGGGAAAATGATGAAACTCGATTGCTTGATGACCAAGAAATGATACATGGTCTATTTTTGGTGACCAAAATATTTTTATCCAAAGGATGTAAAAATCGTTATGTATGCATCGATTCTCTTGGGAAATTCAATTGCGCAATGCCCAAGAAGTGGTCCATGTGTATTTTTGTTCACAAACAATTTTAAAATCGTTATTTATGTACCGATTTTCTTAAGAAGAACTCGTATCGGCTTCTGGTTTTCCCTATAAGAAAGCTTATGGTTCCAGATGGACAATTATCAAGAATTAATTTTAGTATTCATCACTTTATTGCCAAATATCGATTTCAATCCTTATTTCTGCACCAATTTTTTTGGGAAAATGATTACTCGATGCCCATACCATAGTTACATGAATAATGTATATCAAACAGAAAATTTGTCATTAAATATTTATTTGTATTCAGCGATATTTAAATAACTTATCTATAAAAAACAGTTACTCAATTTAAAATGTGAAGACATATAAAAATTACAATATACCCCTTTTTATTCCCATTTTAATATAAATATACAATGCGGAACATATGCACACAATATAACTAGAACAAAGCAATTTACAATTTTTTTAAATTCCAGCCCAGTATAGCTTTCAAAAAAAGATAATTAACAATACATTATTGCCATATTAGAAAAAAGAAAGTTATACTGGGCCATAAGTCGAGCAACTTTGAAATAAATTGAAAGGTGAATAGCATTACACATTTTTAAGAAATCATAAGAATTGTGTCGTACATTGGCACAATATACAAAATAAATCATCTTTACAAAACTTTTACAAAGTTCAAATATACGTTGAAATAAATTTAAACAGTCCCTATGTCTATCGTCAATCTTCTTCTGGCAAAAAAGCGTATTTATTAGAAACGGCAAAATTGGGTGTCTCAGGTTCTTGCACTTTTGGCATTTCTCTTTCATGGTTTTCCCTGTTAAAAAAATGTCCATTAATACACAATACATACTAACAATATATGCCATATTACCAATTACTGTTAGCATTATTCATTTTTTTCGATCATAAATATTATGAAATTTTTAATTCATTGTAACATGGTGTCCGACTTGGCCCACATCCAAAACTAGATATATTGGACCAGCGAATATTACTATTCAAATTAACCCAATTAATTTTATTTCTACAATTTATTCAGCAATTATGAAACTATGGTGCCAAAAAAAACTATAAAATACAGGGTGTAACAATTTAATATGAAAATACATTTTGAAATCCTGGTTTATTTGGGAAAAATGTCTTGGCCCAACCTATTACCATTTATTTTAATAATAATAATATATTGTGCTGTTGTGTTGGTACACTTACACTTGTCACGGTAAAAAAATGTATATAACTCGTAAAACAAACAGTCAGACGTAAACGAAACTAACAAACATAAACTTCAACAATGTTACATCCAATTATCACAAAACTCCTCAAATTCTTCAAAGGAGTAAAAACAATACTGTAAAAGTTGATTTACTTTAGATTTAAAGGTCTTCAACGGTAAATGCTTTATATCTGCGAGTAACCGGTTATACAATGACTGTGACTGGAATGTTATGCCACTATGTGATTTGGCTAACCTACAAAACGACATTGAACATTATCTTTTAACCAGGTATTATAAGAATGCACTTCTGATTGCGGTTTCGCCAAAGTTATATTTTTTAATGTAACACAATGCCTCCTGAATGTAGAGGCATGGAAACGTGAGGATTTTAAGTTCAGTATATGATTTACTGCAATCATCACTGAACTGTAAATTGTTATCGATTCGAACAGGCCTTCCTTTAAAGTCGAAATATATCTCTCTAAGATGCAGTATATTCCCCAAGTCAATATTGCATATGAGAAATTAGTTGGAATTGAACTAATGCATAGTAACGCATCATAGGGATTTCAATGTAAAATTCATAACATGCGATTATTGGCTCCCCAAATTATTTTAGAGCAAAAATGTATTAAGGTTTTTTGTAGGAAAAAATTTTTTACGTCATTCAACGGTATTAGTTTCCAATTTTTTCATAATAAAGTCGAAAAATTGGAAAAATAAAACTCGTATCTTTTTCAATAATCTGTGATGCCATGGAATTTTATAATACAAAAACTACGCCAATATCCGTCATGCCATGGAATGTCTGCTATAAAACAAATCAAATTCTATCAAAAAGTTATATTTAGAACAGCAAATTCAACATAAAGAAAGACCAAATTTCAAAACGGTTTTCTAGTATAACAATTTATAATAAATGTTCGAATAAGTCACCATTAACTATACGACAGAAACCAAGTCGATCATACAATCCATTTCGAACTGCTGCTAATTGATAATTGGATATCTTATGACATTCTTCTTCATTACACCTTTCCATAATTTCGAAACAGAAAGCACAATCGCCTTTGATGGCATTGAAATTTGTAGGACAAATTTATTCTTTTGTAAAAATCTGAAAACACGGCTATGATGTAGACTCGCGTGGGGATCTACCGCAAATTTGAATTTGGATTTTCAACTAATGAAGTCAAAACATTGAAGGTGTTATCATTTGCATCATTTTTGTTGTTATTCTGAACAGCCCCCCTCTATTTTAAACATATTTACACTCGCTTTTCACAGGAAACACTAATTGATACATACTAATTATAACCATCTACTCCACTGTTCATATAAAAATTACGGTAATAAAGTCTTACAAGAACTTTGATTCAATAGTAACGATATACCTTGTAGTTTTCTCATCTTTCCTAGTTTTTTCTCTATCGTTCTTTTGAGATTTTTCATTCTTATTAGATCCCTTCTTGTCACGATCATCTGCAACAAAGTTATCACGTAACTATCACAATAAATTAAAACACTCTTTACCATTTTTCCGTTGATTTGCACGAGTAGATTTAGATCGGTCGGGTGATTTTTTCTTGCGCTCTGGGGAAATTTGCCTCTGTTCGGGAGAATCGGATCTATCGGCTGGTTCAGGTGACAGTGTTCTCTGTTCCCAGTTGTTTTTGGGTGACCGTCTCCGCTGTCTTGGCGGGCTATCCCTTCGAGTGGGCGAATCTCTTCTTAAATCGGAAGAATATGTTGAACGCTCTGCGGAATTTCCTCTGTAATCTGGAGAATTCCTACGATTATCTGGAGAGTTCCTTCGCTGGCGATCTGTAGAATGATTTCGTCTACGATCTAGCGAATTTCTTCTATGAATTGGAGAACTGTCTCTATAATCTGGAGACTTTCTGCGCCTTCTTTCAGGAGAATCTGGGGACCTCCTACGCCTATCTGGAGAATCTCTTCTGTATTCTGGCGACCACCGACGTCTTTCAGGGGAATCTCTTTTCATTTCTGGGGATCTTCTACGCCTCTCTGGAGAATATTTTCTTCTAGGAGAATCACCTCTTTGATTGTAGGAATTTCTATTTCGAACCGGCGAATGGTCATTTCTATAATCTGGAGAGGTCCTCCTTATGGGAGAGTCTTTTCTTTTATCACGTCCCCATCTTCCTTCGTCCTTTAAAAAAATATAGGTTAGCAAAATAAAACATAAAAATTAATCTAGCCGTACATCTCTTCTATTCCAGTCTCGTCTATCATCTCTTCTACTTTCCCTACTATCACTAGCATGCCTTTCAGATTGTTTTGCTAACAATTCTTCAATCTGCCTCTCTCTAATACTTGTATCAACTGGTTTTGCACCACCAAAAATACTACTACTGGTAGGCACTGTGTTTGATGTTTCCTGTGAACCATTTTGTTCAACGTCTGCTTGTGGAGGAATTGATCGTTGTTGTAACATAAGTTTAGGCCTAGTCCTCGGTTCGGCTAAAATTAAAAGAGTACAGCCTTTACACTAAAATTAATTTTGTTGGATAATAAATTGTATTATTATAATTACTATTATTATTACATATTATTGCCACTAACTGCACATTTTGGAAGTTTCAGGGAGAACTAGAACCAAATACTAATTAATACAGGAAACTAACGTTAAAAACCGATCGTAAATTACAATGCCACAAAGTTGCGGTAGGTAGTGCCAGTCATACTTGGTTTGAACTTTTTTGGTGGTTCTATGTGCTTTGGTATTGTTATTTTATGATATTATATGATTTTGTATAGTGAATATTGTTCGTCAATTATTATTATTAAAAAACGAACCTCTATCTATAGCCGAATCTCGCGAAAATTCTCTATCTTCATTTCTTCTCGGGCCAAAACCTCTTCTTTCTCCATCTTTATCACTAAACCTTCCTCTATCTCCAAATCCATCTTTGCCTCTATCCATCTCTTTAAAATTGGGGCGATCGCGATTGTCGCGCCAAGACCCTCCTTTATCTCTATCCATCGGAGCATTATCTCGATCACGACTAAATCCGCTATTGCGACTGCGACTCATTTCAGGGGGATCAACTCGCGGCCTCGAACGCCAATCGCCTGAAGTTATTTCCGATCTATCGGAACGATCTCGATTATTGTCCATACGACCACCACGCTTTCTGTCATTATCCGAATTATCGGCGACCTCAATTCTAATTCTTCTATTCTTTAATGTCTGAAAAATAAATGAGTACCTATAAATTGACATGAATATGATTACACAACCAGATAGATTCTTACGGACCAGATACAACATCGGTTTATTCTTATTTAAACGTTGTTAAAATCCCCCATCAGTAGCTACTATGAGCGAGTCAAAACAAAAATTTCTATTTAGCTTGTAGGACCTTAACATGTTTCTGAAACTACTTTAGAAACAACTACTTTCGTCTCTAAAAAGGGGAAGAGAAGAAAATTCAATTTTCCTCTCTAGTGAGAAAAGTAAAAAACAATTGCTGTGTTAATCTTAATAATGACATTTAACATTGAAACATACCCCTATCCCCTATCTAGATTGCTGTGTCAAACTTCATTATTGCATATGATAATTATTTATTTTGATTGTAGTGTCAGAAAAAATTATGTGTAAAACTTAAGAAGAAAGTGGAGTTTTTAAACTCTCGTTCAATTGACACACTCGTTACGCTCATAAGTCAAGTAAAATAACTATTTATACATTAATAGCGTGGTGCAGGGAGAGATTACGCTAAAAAATGAGGTTGTACAAAGTCACTTGACAATAGTTAAGTAAGTCTGCATCTGCATGCTGCTCCTATACTGATACATATTTGACCAGGTAGATACTTACACAGGCAGTAATATTTAACGCCCCAATTAAACTATCACGATCCGCAAATTCAACATATCCATAGCCCTTAAGTCTTTGTGGTTCTCCTGTGCGTTCTTCTCGAGGAATTCTCATGTTAGCAATCTATAAAAAAAAAATTGCGTTAAACTTACAATAATACTATAGCAAGTATCATAACAGGGATTAAGCTGTGGTCGCATTTTGCATTTACAGAGCTCCCTATAATAGACTACCTACTTTGATATTGAAACAAATTCCATGAGATACGTCAATACTTTTTAGCGCATTTTTGAAAAAAAAATACGCTATTATATTCGTTATGGCTGGCTGGCTGTTCGGCTAAGATCTCAGCAATTACAATTGCTAAAGACGTTAACTTTTCACTAAAAGCTTTCTGTTATAGTGTAGTTAGATTACTTGTGAAATCGATAATTTTAAACTTTGCTAATGAAATACAGATTTGCATTACCAAAAACGCGCTTTCATCATGCATATGCTGATTTCCAACTTGTTTTATATCATTATCTTCCACGGGTTTTTAATCATCGAGACTGAGAACTGTGATTAGTACAATATATATAATAATGGCTGCTCAATTATGATAAAATTGGGGTGCATTTTCTTTTAAAACCAGCCGTTTAAGCTAGGAAAAATGTAAACAAAATTTAACATTTTCAGTTTTTCAGTGATATCTTAGTTCTTCAAATGTTTTTCAAAAACTCCAAAAGCGTTTTTTTAGTTACAAAAAGGAGTAACCTTGCAACATTGTGCTGAGTAACGGCACAGATCTACACATACACAGATTGCTAACCTTATGCATTTTTTGGGAAACAAATTTAGGTATACTTAAAGGCGCCCTCTATTGTGGAGCAGTATAAACATGTATCGTTTAAAACTGTAATATGACGCTTATGGATTTATGCGTTAGATGTCGCTGACACAAAATTAAAGCGCTAATGTTTGCACAATTCGAATTCCTTAATATTCATATTATTACAGTGATATGATATGATAGGAGGGACGCTGAGCCATAATTGTTTAATTTAACACTGGAGTTACTCATTCGTCGTAAAGGGGTTATTAAGCGCGGGTATCTGTGGTCACAGATGTATACCACAGATGTATCTGTGGTCACAGATACACACGAACATAGGGCAGGTTCTTAAAGAATCGTGAAGGTTTTTTGAAGTTGGCGGAAATTATTTGCAGCTTTAAAGGTCTTGACAGATTGCTAACCGCAAAGGTTTACTTAAAAACTATGTATATCTCTGCCATAATTAACATTACACTCTTTACCTCGGCGATAAGATTTGGAATACGTATGTAGGTATACATATATGATCTCTTGAATACGTGTCTATAAACAAATCACAAAATAAATTCACAGATTACAAATATCAAATGCCAAAAATAACGAATTCGAATTATGCACACTTTACCGCTTTAAATTTTTTGCAGCGACATCTAATGCATAAATCCATAAGCGTCATATTACAGTTTTAAACGGTACATGTTTGTATTGCTCCGCAATAGAGGGCGCTTTTAAAGTATACCTAAATTTGTTTCCCAAAAAATGCATAAGGTTAGCAATCTGGGTATGTGTAGATCTGTGGTAACGGTAATCCACAATTACGCACCACCTTCACGTGAGGTGACCCTATCCTCAAATCGTTCGTGCAGAATTTCAGATCAATTTATCCACCACAGTGAGAATAGTCTTTTCAGTGGAACGCTTATGGTGACTGTACAATCGGCAAAGTGCAAGACACATTGTCCGAACAGAACATCCATTTTGATAAACCGATTTTATAATTTGAAGTGTTGTCAAAAGCTATATCCTTCTATGGTGATTTGACAAAATAGACTGAATAAATGCCAGCCAATTAGAGAGCTGTAGCTACGTTAATACAGCCGCTAATCGCTATCAACTATCAAGATTCGGAAGTCCCTATTGAAAGGACTGTTAGAAGAGGTTCTTCTTTAGTGCACTGTATTGATATTTTGACTTTAAATAAATACAGGGCGTTCAAAAACTACGATTACACATTTAATTTAAAAAATCCCAAAAACTTCTGGAATCTAGTGTCCATTTTCCAAACGAGACAAAATGAGCAACAGGAGAAGTAGCAATATACATATTTTTAATACAATTTAACATTTACTTAATCATCATCACTTATGAAAAACCCTAGAACTAAAAGAAGAATAATTACCTTAAGACCTCCAAAGAATTCTGCAATCTCTTCATCCCGCACATCATATGGTAAATTAGTAATGTATGCGTTAAATGGAGGATTTTGAGGGATCCTTTCGCTAAACTCATCAAATCCACGTGCCGACTTGGGTGCAGTCGGCAATATGACGTTGTCTTTCGGTCTGCTCTCATATTGATCTTAAACAGAATTTACGAATGATTTCACTGTTCAAACTACTAAATTAAAACTATTCAACCGCTATCATTAATCAGATATCTGTTATGGGCAAAAACAGGTTCACAATAGACTAGTCTGAATTGAGTTCTGGTAAAACCAGCTTACATATTGCACTCAAATAGCTAACCGTAGGAGATTTCAACAAACAAAACATCGCAACCTCCCATTTAAAAATGATCCCAGGCTAAAGATTTTGTTTGCATATTTCTGGTCCCCCTACTCTGCTTATACACAGACGCCCGGCTGGAGCGTAATAGTCTGACTCAGACCTTCCCGAGGCAAAATGGTGACTAGGCACCCGGTATGTAAGCCCCAAATGTAAGATTATTATGAACCTTATTTCTACTCGCATTACAAATATAACTTCATCATGTTAACAGACTCAATTGTAAAATCTAATAACCACAAGGCAATAAAATCAATACCTAATCGTAATTAATTACAAATTTGTATGGTACATTAACGAGATTGTCATTATCAAAGAGTGACTCACCATAATTATCTTCAACTTCATCAGCCCAATTACTTTTGCGAATGGTTGGTGTTGTTCCTGGGGTTTCCTGAAGAAAGTCATTTAACGCTAAGGTTTTGCCTTTAGTTTTTTTCCCCTTTTTACCTTGAAGAAAAATCGTAAATTATAGATTTGTTCGCAATATGAATACTAAACAAATTAATTGCATTTGGTTCTGAATATGGATGAAACCAAAAATAAATTGCACCACATTGCAGCCACGCGGTAACTTCATGGGCGATTACATTTTTAATTGTATGGTGGAGTTGTGGGTAAAATATATTTTCAAATAAATTCGAAAACGCGGCGCAAGTTTTTATTTGATTTCAAAAAATATATGCCAATAAAAAACGTTAGATCTAGAGATAATAAAGACAGAATCACAAAAAGTAACCATACTAACCTGACGAAGCCATGTTGGGACTTCCGAGAAAAAGAGCTGGCCACTACATGTGAACTAGTGCCACTATGATAGAAAGAAAATAACTAAACGTATGGTATAAAAAGTAAAGCCCGTTTTACACCTCCTATTTGTAACTCATGCCATGAAAGGCGCTTTCTTTCGGCTACTTCGCAATCATGATTGCAAGATCATGATTCGTAGGATCACATTTTAGGAAAGAACGCGCGAATTTAAATCAAAGTATGGTTAAGAATTGCCAAAAATGGGCTCACACACACACATTGAAATCGAAAAGTTAACCTCATCAACTCACCAAAATCCCATTTCGGACACTAAATGACAGATGTTCAATATTAACAGTCGATGTAGGTAATTTAATTATTGGCAGTTCCTTAGATCAATCAAATACATATAGGCATTGTAAAGTATTTAAACAATGATATAGGTACATATACACTCAGGAATGCTAATTACACTATAATTGAGCAAATTCCGAAACGACTATTATACCTTCAATTTAATGATATTATTGGCAAACTTTCACATTTTACGTAATTTGCATAGTGTTCCGGTATTACCCTGTTGAGCATAAGCTCCCACCCTTTTCCTTCTTTTTACTTGATTTTGAAAGAAAAGCATTCGTTTAACTCTCCATGCCTTTGTAAACTAAAAATGAAGAATATATAATAATCCAAATTATGAAAATTGTACATATATCTCGGCCCCCTTTAAAGGTTGGTAACGGTATACAAAGATGCTGTTTGGAAGGATGCAAATAAAGAAAAAACTGGATTTCATTTTGAAAAGATCTCACAAAACTGAACGATTCCAAAAGGAGCGGAGCGGAAGAAAAAGCGCAGAAGAAATTGTCCACTAAGCATTCTGTGGTACATACTTCAGATTAGTTTTTTTAGCGCATTTTTGCAAATTTATTTGTAAAAAGTAGCTTGTAATCTCACTTTGGCTGGCTGGCTGGCCGGCTGGATGGCTGCAAATGTGGCAAAGGCAACGGGTGTACGTGTATCTGCAAGGCCGTGAAATTTGTCAACCTTAGGGACATGGCTACATGATGTGGGGTTGGCGATATCTGGGCGTCATCCTCGAGCGTAGTATACTAACGTGAAAGTTTTTCAGTTTTTTCCTATCTTCTACTACAGTTTTGGTCCGATTCTTTTCAAATTGGTGTCGTCGGAAAGATGTTGTAAACGCGCACAACTCCTGCGTGGCGGAATTTTGTTTTTTGTCCTAGGGGCGAAATTAACGACTTTTTGCGAGGCGCGCGCGCGCGTCTTTGAAAAGTAGTCAACTTCGGGCGCCTTTTACCTTCCGTTGCGAACTCACACGGTTTAACGTTTCGTAAATCTCGAATCGCTGTCTCTCTTTCTCGTGTCGCCAATAGAAGCGAATTGCGGGTGAACGGGACGTCGGAAGTGGCTACCGTCAAAGGGAATGTGGTAGCCCCCGACACGATTTTAACCTTAAAAGCGAATTGCGGGTGCACGCGGAAAGTGGGAAACGGTTAGTGAATGTAGAAGCCTTCGACAAGATCTGTTATTGATGATTGAGTCGAAAGTGGCTAATAGAATACTGATCTGCCACACAAAAATGCGCTGAAGTCTCTTCGATCTCACACGAGGACTTTGCGATAATTTTTTTCAAATAGCAAAGATAATATTCAAATTTGAATATTCGTAGAATAATTCGAGAACATTACACTTTTGGAATGAAACCTATTGAATGTTCTTAGAAAAATCTCTTAAGAATGTATACCTATGGTATATTTATACAAAATGTTCTTGGCATAAACACATAAAAAAATTATCAAAGTCCTCGTGTGAGATCGAAGGGACTTCAGCGCATTTTTGTGTGGCAGATCAGATTCTATTAGCCACTTTTTACTCAACCATGAATAAAAGATCTTGTCAAAGGATACCACATTCCCTTTGACGGTACCCACTTCCGATGTCCCGTTCACCCGCAATTCGCGTTTGAAGATTTAACTACACCATCAGTAAGATCGTGTCGGAGGCTACCACATTTCCTTTTTCGGTGCATACTTATATTACACCCACATTTTGGTGGATCTCGCTAAAAACCTTCCACAAGATAGTACTTAATTTTTGGGGGGCACTTTCTCATTGCTCGAGCTTCTATTGGCGACACGAGAAAGAGAGACAGCCATTCGAGATTTACGAAACGTTAAAACGCGTGACAGAATTCGCAACGGAAGGTAAAAGGTGCCCGAAGTTGACTACCTCTCGAAGACGCGCGCGCGCCTTGCAAAAGGTCGTTAATTTCGCCCCTAGGCCAAAAAACAAAATTTCGCCACGCAAGAGTTGTGCGCGTTTACAACATCTTTCCGATGACACCAATTTGAAAAGAATCGGACTAAAACTGTAGTAGAAGATAGGAAAAAACTGAAAAACCTTCACGTTAGTATACTACGCTCGAGGACGACGCCCAGATGTCGCCAACCCCACATCATGTAGCCCTGTCCCCAAGGTTTACAAATTACACGGCCTTGTAGATACACGTACACCCGTTGCCTTTCTACAAGAGTTCTTCTACGCGCCCACATTTGCTGCCAGCCAGCCAAAGTGAGATTAAAAGCTACTTTTTACAAATAAATTTGCAAAAATGCGCTAAAAATGGACCTGTAACATAGTCACTTTACAACAATGTTATTTCAAACAAAAATCTTGTATAGTTTGGATATTAATCAAATAGTTGTCTCAATTTAGCTCTGCTTGCTGCAGTTTGAGATTAATTGTATATTGTAGCGTCACTTTTGCATTTGCCTTCCTGCAAGTAGGTACACCACAGACCTTCAACGAAGTACACGTCTTTCTGCTTAGTGTATCTATACAGGGTGTCAATTTTAAAGCTTGCAGTCGGCCATATTTTCCAAACTAAAGAAGATATCGAAAATCGCGCAAAACCGTTTCGGGGGAACCAGAATGACGTTATGAGTGACAACTCCCCCCCCCCACCTCTTCAAAAATCCTCAATGGCAACCCCATACTTGTGACACATCGTTGGAAAGGTACTGAAAAATGCTCTCCAGTGGTACCAATAAAGTCAATATTCATTAAGAAAATTAACAAAAATTTAATAATTAACAAAAAAAAACTAAATGTTGACATTGAGGGATTTATGGCAAATTGGCCAAGAACTTCAACCTGAGCTGCTTCGTTAAACAATCTTGGCCACTTACTTTTAGATTATAAAAATTAAATTGATTGGTGGAACATACAAGGTGGAACACAATACTGTTCAACCCTGGATATCACTGTCAGTTTACATGATTGTTCTTAACAGATTCCGAGCTCACTCACAAGCTAATTAAAGGTCTTCAAAGCCTCTAGAACACCCTTTGACTTTCGGAGACCCATGGAAACTCTTATAAGGGTTTTTTAGACAAGAATATTCATTAAGAAAATTAACAAAAATTTAATAATTAACAAAAAAAAACTAAATGTTGACATTGAGGGATTTATGGCAAATTGGCCAAGAACTTCAACCTGAGCTGCTTCGTTAAACAATCTTGGCCACTTACTTTTAGATTATAAAAATTAAATTGATTGGTGGAACATACAAGGTGGAACACAATACTGTTCAACCCTGGATATCACTGTCAGTTTACATGATTGTTCTTAACAGATTCCGAGCTCACTCACAAGCTAATTAAAGGTCTTCAAAGCCTCTAGAACACCCTTTGACTTTCGGAGACCCATGGAAACTCTTATAAGGGTTTTTTAGACAAGAAATTCTTCATTTATGGACAAAGCTACAGTAGTTTTATTAAAAAGGTTATTTTTCAACAGATCTCTATAATGATATACAAGGTGTGCTTTAAAGTAAGTAGGTACCGTTTTGAGATACTACAAAAACTAGTAACCTTTTGTAACTGTTTTATTTTTACATGGAAGTCTACACTTTAATCTACTTTTCCATATAATTTCTGCCATTATTATAAATGTTATATGTTTGCACCCTACATTACGCCGCTGATTTTTCTTTAAATCTGGACTTTCCATGAAGATATTCCCGAACAACTGTCATCGAGAGGCTACAGCCACATTTTCAAAGAGTTTCACAAAGTCCTCAAGAAGAAATCTTATATAGCGATTTCTGTCTAAAGACCACTCTAAGTACGGAACGGACTCAGATGTTCTCTCAGTAATCCATCCAAAACATTCAGTGACCATCTTTGCTGGTGATGTGCAATTCTCATGGCATGCGTTTCATCGGTGTAATAATGGAAGTTGAAGCATGTTTTTTAGTGTAGACATACATATTCAAAATACAAATATGCCATTAAATGTATCAAATTAAAAATTACTTTACTCTTTACTTTCTACATTTTAAGGTGGTAAATTATTCTCCTTTGTTTAGTGCGATTAAATTAAAAAACCTTGCGAGCAGTGGCGGTTTCTCAGTAAGTGCACATGAGCACGTGCACTCCCAAAAATCATTTAAAAAAAACGAAAACAATAACAATTCTATTTCTGTATTTAACATTCTTACACGTTCGTATCTCGCAATAAAAATAGTTCACTTATCTTATCTGAAATGCAAAACCTAACGGGTAAGGTACACTGACACACCGCTGAACGTGTATTAAGAATTATTCCCATTCCGCCTTCCCGTGCAGTGCACAATTAGCTACAATCTCTGACTCGTTCAATCGCTACATCGCCTTTCCCCGTGCGCCCCGCGAAGTCAAAGTTGTAAAGTATAGCAAGAGCACACTCTCATTATGAACCAATATTCGCCGGACTACGAAGTAGGGCTTGTTGATCGTTTCGGTTTTAAATGTAACGTTGCGAAGTTACCGTTCATTATTTAAAGACAATTATTAAATTTCGTTTACTAAAATTAGAAGAATTAGAGAATTAAAATAAAATATGCGGGTCGCCCAAAACCGAGTTTGGAAATACCGAAAATCAATAAAGGAAGTCGGGATTATAAACGATCGTTTAAAATAGACATGTATGAAAAACTGACTGGTTATGCGGTTGTACCTTTTAACAATAGTCTATTGTTTTCCGTGTTTGTTGTTTGGTTATGAGCTCGGTGATGAGGCATCAGAATGGACAAAGAATGGCGTTACAGACTTAGTGCATTTATCCGAAAAAATAAAAAATATCAATCTTCAAAGGCACATCATATATCTGCTAAATTGAGATTTAATTTATTAGGTAAGTAAGATATACGGCAACAGTTAAATAGTGCATACCGTTTTGAGTATCGAAAAACGTAATGAGGAAGTAAAAAAGAACAGGTATGTTTTATCCAAAATTATAGACCGTATAAAATTTTGTGGTACTTTGGAACTTGCTCTCCGCATCCATTGACAAAACGAGAAAATTCAATAAACCCTGGAGTATTTAGAGGTCTCATCAATAAGCTTTTTATGCCATTTAATAGGCCCAAAAAACTTCGTGTTGCGGTGGCACTCAAAAAATTTTCGCCTCCGGCGTTTTACCCGTTGCCTCATTTTTCCCCTTTTTTAAAAATTGTGCACCCCCAAGACACACCACTACGCGCCGCCACTGCTTGTGAGCAAATAAACAAAAAACCTAATGGGACTTGGCCATCATATAAAATTTACACATACATTATGACAATGTAGAGTATAATTTGCCATATTTCACTTTTGATTGTGTAAAATTTAGTTTGTTAAACTCCACTAGTACATCGACGATAAAACACCAATATTCCGGTCCTACTGTATGATCTGGAACTCCATGGGCCACTGCCAATGCTGAAACAAAAAATTAAAATTTAGGAGCCTTTAAACAAAAAGGACACACCAAATTTTAACAGGAAAACTCAGACATCCAAGGAAGATGAAGTCAGCACATATTTCAGTGATAATAAAACAAATTTCATCAAAAAGAAAGACGAAAAAAATAATGTATTTTGATCAGTTAAGAAACTTACCTGGTCTTTAATTTGACTTGGTTGTCAGGACATTCCAGTAAATATAGTCACTGCCAATGCTACAACAACAAAATTAAATCAGAGCGTTTAAACAAAAAAAAGAACGCCTCATTTTAACAGAAACAAAGCAGACATCCAAGGAAGAATAAGACAGCACATATTTCGGTGACAAAAAAAATTTCATTAGTACAAACTTCCAAAAGTTAGTATATTATTTCGGTCATAAATGTCAGCTTTGAAACCATTCATAAACTGCATCTTTTTTAAAGCAATAAATAGAAATGGCAAAAAATAAGAGCTTGAAAACTGAAAGTTCTTTTAAAATTATCCAACATCACTAAAACAAACCAAATATAAAGTAAACAATTTACCTTAAGGATTTTTCAGTCCTTCCAGCATTAGTTGTACTGCTTACTAAAAAAAATAAACATTAGATTGAAGTAAAAGGAAAGTTTCATATATAAAATCAAGCTTGCGTCAGTTGTTTGGCATAATTCTCAGCACTGATTTCTCTACGAGTGGTGCATGATGCCAATCATCATAATAAATTATAATCTTTTTTGAAATTGTGACTATTTTCCACCTACATTCAGATTGTACTGTTTTAGTAATTTGCAGCTGTCCAGCTGTGCAACCAACATGGCCTGTTACTGATGTGACCTAAACGTGTTTGCAAGGGGGTATGGTTATTTGTACACTTCGTACTTCGTGTGATAATTTTATGTATGTAATTGCTCTGGAAATGACGGATGGTGGCAATTATTCATTTTAGAGAACTTGTCGAAATCTTTAATAAGCATAATTTCGGGTTGTGATTTCTAAAAGTGACAGCGTGACAGTTCTCATTATTGACTACTAGTTAATAATGTCCACATTATTAACCACTTTGAACAATTGCTGAGAAAGCCTATTTTAAAAGCGGAAAAAAGGTTAACAATCATGTCAACAGACACTAGTAGTGAAAATGGTACTTTTTATCCTATACAAGGAGAAAAGTACATTTTCTCGCCTGTATGAAAACGCGAAAGAAGGCAATTGCAGGCACGAAGAGAGAAAATAAATACGCCTTATAAAGGGTGATCAAATAACAGCTTCCGAAAGTTTTTTTGAAATAAAATTGTGTTATATGTTATCAGAATGTGATAATTTATTTACTATTTAAATAAAGTCGCTTTTAATTATACGTAGGTACTCGTACTATACAAATTATTCCAGTAGCAGCGATATGGTCCCATATTGGTTGCCTAACACATAGCTGGACGTTACAAATGACCAAAATAGTACCTAAAATCTTCATAAAGAGAAGCAACCAATTCAGAAAAACTAACTAATTTTTAAAAATCAAGATTAAAATTTAAAGTTAAGTTACCTTTGTTCATAGAAATGTCCAATTATCCTCATAAAATAGTCATGCTAAACCCCAATTAGATCCGAACAATGCACTTGATTAACAAAGTTGTTGGCCAAGGGTCGTTATTTCCAAATTAAACTGCATTTAAATGCCAGTATCCGAATGCTGGCAGTTTTATTGACCGCGCATCTATAATTAACAATCCAAAATTACCTACTTATAGAACATAAAATTTATAAAAAGATCATTAGTCTCAATCAGTAATAACTGGCATAATTGTCAGCAGTGACTCTCCTAAGAGTGGTGCATGGTATGCCTATCATCATATAGACCTGCTCAATAATATAATCTAGACTAGTGCTGGGCGATAATTGAAATTGTTATCGATTTATCAATAAGTCTGTTTAGTCCAATAATTATCAATTAATCGTTAATCGATAACTTTTGATAATTAATAATAATCGTTAATTGTCGATAATAATAGATTATTGACATCTGTCGAAAATTGTCGATCTCTGATTGTTATTGATTAATCGAATAGCGATAATTATCGAGAGAAAACTATGGATATTTTTTCATAAATCTATCGATATAAATATTTTCTCAATGCATACACTCGTTAACAATTTTGGTTATTTGGTATTGCTAATTTAAATAAGAACAAGATGTTTTGAAAAATATTAAAACAACTATAGGAATTCCGTAGGTTTCTGAAATCAAAAATTTGGTACGTCCTTCAATAACCTCAAAATTATAAGTTTTTAACAAACAGTAATTTAAGCATAATAGTATCTAATTCACGTCAACCAGCCAAAAAATTAATCACAAATCGATAATTTTTCAGTAATTTTCGATAAATTATCAATTAGTCTACCAATTTTTTAAAAATTAATCGATGTTATCGATTAATCGTTTTTTTGCACAGTACTAATCTAGAGACAGATTCTAGAGTGTGATAATGAGATCATAATACTAACCGTAATGAACCTGAACGTTATTTCTCTCTTAATTAATTTTTTGGTAGCTCATTGTGTTCTCCTACACAATAGAGAAGTTACAGGTTATGTGTCCTCATCTACCTGTTAGGTTACTTTTGACTAATAAACTTCTTCCCTGCGCTGAAAAGAAAACAATTTACTATTCTTACATATGTCGTGAAGGTGATTGTAATACGTATTGGCTAAAGTTTATTTGCAGACTCTCAAAGACAAATTATTTTACTTATACATTCTCGTTTTAACCTCAGACCAAGTAGTAAAGATAGAGGATTTGCATATCCTACCATAAGACAGAAATAACTTTGCAACTTTGTAAAATAAAATAGGAGGTAAAATGTGTGTTGGCATTTGAAAACAGTGGAATTAAACGTATTTGGAAATTTCCAAATTTCCCATTTATTAGAATACAACCGTAACTATAAAACAAATTTCCTGGAAAATGAAAAATATGTTCTATATACACTTTCGCATGATTAGCGCGTTGTGGGCGGGTGCACCACCTTGCGCAAACCATATATGTTTACAACTTTTTTTGTGTGTGTCATACATCGTTGCATTAGTAATAAAAAATGCTACTCAAATACATTATCCACTTTTATACCTATATAAAAACCAGGAATTAATTGAGATGGTGGTAAGTGCATATGTTATGGAATATTTTTTATTATCAAATACCTACCTATGCTATTAATATTCACTTAAAAATCAACTCATGAAATGTGACAAATGCAGATCTTTAAATATTTGCAAACAAAAGTGATTTAAAGACTACAAGGAATCTCTATCTTTATATCTTGCTCTGAAAGTTTCACTGTAAAACATATTAAATACCTACATACCTCAACCATGCCTTAATAAAAAAAAAGATGTTGTCCATGGTCCACAATTGCTTCTTCTACTGAATGTATTCCTGTAAACCAAAGTTTAGTTCTCTATACGAGGTGACTAATGTAAACATTTAGCTACTGAAAACCTTGTCAGCAATTTGGCAAATCCTCAGCATTGATTTCTCTATGAGTGGTGCATGGAATGCCTATCATCATTAATTACGATGATTACCCTTGGGACCCATATTAAGGCTGATACATTTTATCGGTCACAGGTCTGTGCTGTGAATTATTGTACCCTGTGTTCCTTATGAACATCTTCTGACCGTAACCTGACCGATAATGTGAATCTGCCTTAAAGAATACATGCTATACTAAAACATTGGGGCTTTACGATAATTCAACAGGCTGGTGAAAATTACTTCAGAAACAAATGTATTTATTACTCGACCAGTCTGGTTAATGGCCGTTTGTATCGATAAATTTAAGCGGAGTTAGCTTAAACGTAGTTTAAAATCCATGGCAAAGATTAGGTAGTGAGACTAGGGATGTAACGGAGGTTCGATTCCGATTCTGAAAGAGCGGAACTTCCGACTGATTTTGCACTTTCGATTCCGACAAATTTTAATTGAATGTATATGGGCGGTTTATGGCGTTGGCGGTGCAGCCACAATCAGTGTGTTCACGTAGAAACACATTTATACTTGTCGCGAGGAACCTCTCTTACCCCACGCTTTGCGTTGATTACCGTTTCACTTGTTATTTTGTTTATTAAATATAATTAGCTTCTTAATTTTCGAGTAACTTGGTTTGATTTATTTACATATTAGGACTGTTCAAAATCTGGCATGTTTCTTTTGCCTGAGATTACGGTTCCGATTCCGATAAACCAAATTTAAAAATTCCGCTTCGGAATTCCGTTCCGATATAACCACTTCCGTTACATCCCTAATTGAGACAATGGGCCGTATGAATAAAAGTAAGCAAATGCTTATACTTGCAAAATTCAAAGTAAATACTCGTAAGTGCTCCTTCGCACTGGCACCGCTCCTAAGCAGAAGGACAGGACGCAGTGCAGCGCTGCTAAACCATGCTAAACAGACCAGTATGAAGGGGCAGTTACGAGTATTTACTTTGAGTTTTGCAAGTATAAGCATTTGCTTACTTTCATTCATACGGCCCAATGGTTGCCATGAATTGCTAAGCTTCCCTTAAATTTAATCATTGAATTATCATAAAGCTCCATATGCTTTTGATAAACTTTTATGGATACAAACCCCCAAAGAGTATACATAAGATTTTAATTTTTTTTTAAATTTGAATTATTATGGTTCAAAGAAATATCAATTGATACCTACTTTACTAGTGAATCTGTGATTTTCAACTCGCTGACCCACATGCAGAAAATCCTTAAGATTTCTTTAATTTTCGTTACAGAAAGTCTATGTTGTGTTGTGCTTTAATGTGCAAATAATAGTGAAAAGTAAGAATTGCTTACCTCGAATAGTTGTTTGGTAACAAATTTCGAAAAGCAGGAGCATGTGCATACCCACCATTGCGAACCATGTCTTGATGAGCATGTGCTAGTGCTACCAACCAAAACGAACGAAACGAAACCGGAAACAGGTTACAGGAAGCAGTTAAAAATTGTCGTGGTTAGCACGGTCACATGATTTGTGTGTGGCAATGAGCACGCTCTTGTGAAGGTAGTTTGGCAGTGTCAACTGTCAGTCAAGTTTTATGAAAATAGTATTTTACATTATTAGCCAGGTTAAGTGAGTTTTTACTGGCGATAGAAGTTGACTGGCGAGCCTGTCATCTCCTAGAGCCAGTAAAAACTATTACCTGGCGTATAATGTACAATATTTTATTTGTTACTCATTTGTAAACAAGTAAACGTAAAAAATTAGTTCTTAAATTGATCTTGAAGAAATGTCTAAAATATCATGTTATCCATATTAACAGAGACTTCGCATTAATTCTGGCCAATGAAATTACTAGATTACTAACTTTTTACAGGTCAGCTGTCAGTTTTACAAGTCAGTAGCGTTTAACATGACGTTTACCCGTTTGCGTTTTGTCTTGTTAATCAACGTTTACAACTGAGTAACAAATAAAAACAATTACAATTTTCAATAAATGCACTTTAAGGCAGAGACTTGTTATAACTAGACCGCGCGTAACGTAGATTTTACTATAAACGCCTGTTGTCAAGATAGGATAGGCAACCAACTGTTCATCGCGGGGCAGACGTACGTTCTGCAGCTTGCTTTAGCCATGTTTATTCTAAATTTTAGTAGCAAAAATATAACATATAGCTGTTAACTATTTAATCGAATTTGTTGGTATTTTATTTGAACTAAATGGTATATAACTGCCTTACTCTAGTCCTAATTTGATTTATATGTGTATTTTGGTGGTGAACACGTATGGGAAAATATACTCTTAAAACTAAAGATATAAGTAGTAAGATATGATTATTTAGCGGATTTTGTTTCAATATATGCCTATCCAAAAACCCAAATGGGCTGTAACTGTTATTTATTTTTCTTAGACTGCTAATAACCATTTTGTTTACAACGCGGTGTGGTGTGGATTGAATGAAAAACCTGAACACATTTTCAGCAAGTTGGCAAATTTTTAATGCATCGCTTGAACGTGCAACAATCCTCCACGATTTTTTCTAGTTAAAAGCTTTGAATGACTCTCTGATGCGAATATCGCATTTGCACATATGGAACATTTAACAGACTTAGCTATTTTTCTTGTAACAAAACCTGAAATATACTTAGTACCTACCAGTAAGTACTTAGTTACGTCTACACCTAATAGGCAAATAGGTATTGCCGTTGTCTTGCTAGTAAAGGATGTCGAATAATAGTTCTACGTTATTTTAAGTGAATGGGAAAGTCGAAAACGCTCGGTATTGCATTATTTTTTAACACCTTCGTAGGTATCTTTCTAAAATTGGCTTCATTCCCCGCAAATGCACTATGGTGGGAGTAAATTTTTCTCTTCGAATGGCTCTGATCCATTGGCCCTTTAAACTTTTATCCGTTGAAAATCAGCATATTATTTAAAAATTTATGGACAGAGTACATGTTGATAGGCACAAGTTAACCTAAGTTTATTGGTTTATTCTCAACAGAAATTTATCTGTTCACTAATTCGAGCTAATCACGAGAATGATTAATGAACGGAACATCTAAAGACTAAAATGGCTTATTTCATTGTATTGCATATCATCTCAGCGATTTTTGCCCCGCGGTGCATTGTGTGTTGCATACTGTGTCGACAACACCTTAGATATGTTAAGCGCAGTCTAGTTATAGCAAGTCTCTGCTTTAAGGGGTCGCCACACTGAACGCGGTCTGCTCGCCGCGGGCAATCGCTTGTGATCAGCCGCGCGGTTATGTCACACAGGATGCGGTCCATGCCGCGGTTCGCAACAAAATTTGATTAGTATAGTCTCGTTAGTTGCTTAGTAAGCATGAATGAATATGAAAGTTCTTCCTCTGACAAGGAATTACTGTTGCTCGCAGCTACCCTTGATAGTGAACCGCGAAGGCGCTGCTGGGTGCACAAGATTAATCAACAACGAAGACAGCTCGGCGACTGTAGCTTGCAGACAGACTAAACACTTTTACTGCCTCCTGAGTGTACCACTCTGATATCTCGTTTCTGATTGGACACCGCGCGCGATAGACCGCCATAAACTGTTGGCGAGGCGATCCAAATCTGCCCGCGCGACGGATCGCGAGTGGACAAGCGAGGCGTTTTCTTTCGGCTGCTGAGCAATCATGATTTCAAAATCGTGATTCGTAGGATCACGTTTTATGAAAGAACGCGCGAATTTAAGTCAAAATATGGTTAAGTTTGCGTAGTACACATTTGCATTCGAATTACCTATTTTTTGTTTGGATTGTGAAAATAATTTAAATACAAGTGGAAGTACTTGCACGATTATGCCCTTCTTCAGTTACAAATATTGACTAACCTAACATTTGAGCAAAAATATCCTTGCATTTATAGGTTAGGAATTCGTGATCATAAAACTTTTATGTTCACTTTGTTCACGATTTTAGCAATCATGATCATAAGATCACACTTCGAAAGAACGTGATTTGACAATCCAAACGCGTTTGGATCACCGAAAGAAAGCGCCTGCGGTCTACCGTGTCCTGTGTGACATGCTTCATAAGAAAAGCATTAAACAATTCAATGCGGCGGACCGCCAGCGGTTGCCCCGTGCCCGCGCGGCAGACCGTTTCGAGATCACTACGATTATACGTTTAGAATGTTCTGGCGTTACCGATAATGACTAATGAGTGGCAACGTCGCAATTTTGACTGTGTTTCCGGCCACGTTTGTTGTAGCAAATAATCAAATTATGCGGTTATAACTTTAAATGTAACACGTAACTATTTTAATAAATTATAACTGCAAATGAAATAGAAATATTGCCATCATGGATTATTGGTTTTCTCTGCTTGCTCTTTTCTCTATATATTTCAAGTTTACTACAGGTACAGAATTAACCTTTGAACTGCCAGATAGTGCTAAGGAATGCTTTCACGAAGAAATAAAGAAAAATACGTCGGTAACTGTTGAATTCCAGGTAAATAAGTAATTACGTAATATTTAATATGTCTAAACAGTGCATTTAGGTTGTAACGGGCGGTCAGTATGATGTCGATGTTACCGTTGAAGATCCGAAGAAGCAAGTCATTTACAAACAAATAAAGATGCAGTTCGATTCACATACATTTACTACTGAACATACAGGGGTTTACATAGTCTGCTTTAGTAATGAGTTTTCGACATTCTCGCACAAACTTGTTTATTTTGATCTCCAAGTGGGCGACGAACAGCCCTTGCCTGGTATTGGTGAACACGTTACTGTCATGACCCAGGTATGTGTGTGTGTGTGTTCCTCGGTCAACTTGACATTTATACCCTATATCATCTTTTTAGATGGAGACATCGGCGCAAGACATTCATAAATCTTTAAATTCTATAATAGATTTTCAAACCCATCATAGACTAAGGGAAACACAAGGAAGAAAACGTGCAGAAGATCTTAATGAGAGAGTGTTGTGGTGGTCAATCTTAGAGTCGTTAGCCGTGTTAGTAATTGGTTTTGGACAAGTTTTCATTCTCAAAAATTTCTTTACTGACAAGAAACCGTTTGGTGTGAAATGATCAGGAATAGGTAATACAATATTACCTTTAGGCTACTTTTTGTTAATTGACTTCCGTTATGTATTGTTATTATCTTAGTTTAAGTCGAAGTAGAACATTGATTATGGAAAACTAAATAGTTATACCTTTTAAAAGCATACGTATTGTTTTTAACGTTTAATGTAAATTTTTCTTTGAAGGTGTAGATAAAATACCTTGATGAAATGTTTGCATTACGATTAAGTCCTGAAATCCGCTTACTTAATCTCATTCCGTATTTTTCTTCCTATTGTAAAGATAAGATAAATTATTGTTACATCAGAATTCATTAGGCAAAATCATTTTTAGCACTAAGGAAGCAGGTAAGTGTAATTAAAATGCTGATATATCAATATAATTAATGGTCTACTTAAAATGGTCTCGTATAAAGTTATCTGGTTTGTTTTAATTTATGAATTATTGATGTGTGGAACCGTTTCATGTGCATTTGGAAATGCAACTACATCATTTCATCGGTAACACGAATGTTCTCTAAATTGCATTTCCAATCTTGCCTTTATCAATTTTATTTGTATAGCAAAGATGTCTTTGATTCAAAAACAGTATTTATCTTTAATAGGTTCAATTTAAATATACAGATGTACAAAATGAAGTTTTATAGGCTGTTATTAATTTCTAGCGTGTATAAAACTGTACTTTAATGAAGACATTAAAACCCCTTCAGTCTTTAATTTTTCTAATTAAAGACATTACCATTTAACTCGCCATTTAATAATTACCTACATGATATACATATATATTATCAGTCCAAAGACCCTAAAACGAAAGGGTTGAGAGTTTCTTATTGTTTTTCTAAGTTGAAGAGGCAGTTTAAAATAGCGATCTTAAAAATGTTCTTCTGGTTAATTATTGTTTATTATGCAATTTTGCCCAAGGGTCGTTTGCCAACAGGATTACGTTTTGAAGAAAAAGGAGATTTTGGTTTTTTTAAAGATTAAATTTGAATAAATTGTTATCTTTTAAAAAAAAAGAATTGTACATTTACGTATTCTTGGTATTTATGCATGACCAGACAAAACTGGAATAGTGCAAATGTAACCTATGTCTATATTGCCGTTGTAACGTATTATGGGTAGAAACATATTTGGCACAAAAAAGCATGAGGTACCACATGAACATCGAGCAATCGGGTTTATTCCTTTTGGTGTATAAGTATCGATTTTGGCATCTTTAGTGCGGTAATAATATTTTTGTGCTTAATAATAATAATTTATTGTATAAAGATTTTACATCTTATTACAAGAGCCTTCATAATCAAATGCAGTTACAAAAAAAGTCGTAATTTATATATTTTATTTTATTTTATAAACAAAAAAAACATATTATTTATGTATGTATTAAGATAAAGGTTACTCAATAACGATAAATGAACGCAACTTTAATGGGTACCTCAATAATAAAATGAAATATTGATTTTACAAGTAATGTGACAATTAATTGTGCTTAATTCAATTGTGACAATAAACCATTTTGTCTCTTCTTTATTTTTTTGAATCTACACCTTTTCCACTTTTATTCGAGAAACTATCAAGTTAATTTGAGAAAGTATCAATTGTATTTGAGAATAGTAAAATGTATTTGAGAAAACAACAAATGTAGTTCAGAATAGTGATTTGTATTTGAGAAGGCATCAAATGAATTTGAGAGTAGTAAATTGTATTCAAGAAATGGTAAAATTAAGTATTTGAGAATCAATAACAAAATCACATGTATAACATAGCCTGATGCTGCTGCTGCTGTGGCGGGACTACATACAGTAGCGGAATTATAAAAATTGGATTCTTAATTATAATTCATTAGGAATAATATTACATTCTGAAATACAATAAAATTAAATGATACTTTCTCAAATACAATAATTGACTATTCTCAAATACATTTGATGTTTTCTCAAATCCAACTGACTATTCTCATCTACTTTGACGTTTTCTCAAATACAAGTAACAATTCTCAAATACAATTTACAACTTCTCGAATAAAAGTGGAAAAGGTGTAGTTGATATCAGTTCACGTCTACTATCACGTACACCATGGTTCACGTTGAAAAAAATTGCCGTAGATACCATCTGTGCATGCGCGTTCTGCCCATAAGCTTTTCAACCGTTTCTTTTATATCGACTATCACTCGTCTTCTCAAGGGAAAATGCAAAAAAACTACGTAAGTAGGTACATAAATAAATGTAAAAGTGACATTATCTTTGAGTCCAGTGCTTAATCTTTTAAAAATAAAAAACTAAGAGAGTTAATGCAATCTGAACTAGAATTTTTTGTTAGTGAGTAAATTACGAATTTGATTACGGATATCAAGTATTAAACCAAAAATATATTATTATTTCAGATTACCTCGGAATTAATAATAAAACATTTAAATGCAGCACAAAGCTATCTCGAAGTGTCTACCGTTTTTATTTTTAAGCTGCGTCAGAATTAGCCTCGTGTCGTATTACGCATGTGCCGTGCAAAAAAAACCATTAATCGATAACATCGATTCTCTGTCGATAATTATCTATCTTCTTAGTTGAGTGGTGAGATTAATCGATAGATTATCAGTAATTATAGATTTATCGACCAATCCTTTAAAATTTTCGATAACACCGATTAATCGCCGGTCGCTAAAGAAAAAAAAATTATCGATAATCGATAACTTATCGATTAATAGATAGTCGATAAATTTAAAAAAGGTCGACTAATCAATAATTTATCGAAAATTTTGAATTGGTCGATAAATCTATAATTACCGATAATCTATCGATGAACCTCACAACTCAACTAAGAAGATAGATAATTATCGATAGAATTTTTAACGACATAAACTTAAGAAGTCAATTTTCAGTGTTTATGTCACTTTACTAATTACTTGAAACAAAAGCGATCAAGGAAGAGCGCAATATTGTGGGGAGTTGCCATGATCACAATTTACAATCTACTTCCTCTACTAATTTTTGAGGATTATCGTCCACTTGCTCACCTTTGATTTAAGAAAACTTCAGCATACTTACATACAGTTGTTTTAATATTTTTCAAAAGATCCTGTTTCTATTTAAATTAGCTCTCAAAATACCAAAATAGCAAAAATGTTAGCGAGTGCGTACGCATGGATGATGTAATATACCCATTGAGAATATATTTATATCGATAAAATTTATGAAAAAGTATTCTCTTGAATATTTACCCTCATATGTCATAAATGCCATATGAGGTGTGCAATTATCGCTCAATTACAGCGATAATTGCACTGTAGAAAGCGATAGAGCCCTGCGATAATTGCACTGTCCATATCCATGGCAACTGGCAACTCCACCTTCGGTGTCGGGCTCTTTCGCCAAAATATGAAAATAAACTCATGCAGTTTTTAGACAACATGCTTTCAAAAAAATTATCGGTAATTTTGATGCACTTGTGCAATTACCTACGATAATTATCGCTACTTATTTACGAGTATATTAATCCATAATTTATTATCAGTATCACAGATGGAGAATTTTCGAAGTGGCAATAATAATCGATTATTATGGACAGCTAACAATCATTATTGATTATTTTCATAAGTTATCGATAATTATAAATGTTATCGATAATTATCTACAGTTATCGATTAACGATGAATCGATAATTATCGGACTGAACAGACTTATCGATAAATCGATCGATATGTATAGCTTAAATCCATCACAACCATTGTCGCAATATACGGCAATAATGATTGTCATTGTTAAGCTACGCGTTTAAACTAAGCTCAGCTTAAATTTGTCTCTGCAAAAGGCCATTAAAGCAGAAAGCTGTAGTTTGGTGAAAACAGTGCGCGTTCCAGTATAAGTAAACTACATATATACTTTCAGTGCTTTGACCGCCATACCGAGGCGGGTGGCGCAGTGGGTACACTCACCGCCGATTGCTGTTCGGGAGGTTGTGGGTTCGAATCCTGCTTCCGACTGCTTAGTCTGGGGGTTTGTCAGGGTGTTTTCCTCAGACATACGTAACGTAGCTTCGCATAATGCTGGAGCAGTACTCCCTTCCCTGTTCCCTTTCAGCATCTCACCTCCATTCCTTCCGTTCACATCCCTAATTTTACCTATCATTCTTACATTCCTGTTCTCTGGCTGAAGAGGCTCTGGCATGCTTGAGCAGCCCGCCCGCCCTAGCGTTCCTATAGCCGAAGATGTCGGAGGAATGAAACACGATGACCTTTTGCTTCTTTTTCCTGGCCCCATGCGAGTAATGTGATCGCGCTCAAAATAGGAGGTGCACATCTTCGATATATACCGACTACAAGTTTTATCGTAATCATGGACGGAGAGACAGTACGGACGGATGAGACTGCCAGGACGAAGTTATAAGGTTATACTCAGGGACACGGACCGGACCGAAAAAAAACCGAAACCGGTATTTTTCAGGACCGAACCGAAACCGTTATTCCGTCATAAATGGAAACTTATTGAGAACCGGAATCCTTGTTATTTTTTTCGGTTTTTTACGGTGCTTAACAGGTTATTGGAAGGTGAAGGACGCGTCGGCAAACACGTCCTGAAAATTGATAAAATATTAACCCTATGATTGCCAAATTTAAATACGCATTTCCCTCTTCTTTATTCCCCATGTCGCTGTAAATTAGCTACATTGATGATACGTCACATTTTGGTATTCATGACTTTTTACTTCTTTTTCACACCTATTAATTAACAAGTTACGTTGTTATAATAAATGCTTTGAATGCCATATTTTCTAAAAGACTAGAACCGAAAAGAACCGTTATGGACCGAAAAAAATGTGCCGAGCCGAAACTTTACTTTTTTTAGAACCGAAACCGGACCCTGAACCGTTATAAGATTTTCGCTTAAATATAAACAGAACCGGAACCGATATTTCATTTTAGTCCGGGTCCTTGGATACTACGCATAACCTAATGTAATAAGGATCTCGCGTCATACCCAAAAAAAGAATGACGTTACTGTTCTGTGAACGACCATTGTATTTATAACAATTCGTTTATAAATACAATGGAATGACGTGCGAAAGTAGTTTTCATGAGACGATTATACCTACTGCGAAAATGCAGCGTTGTCAAATCCTCTAATAACGAAGCTTATAAAAAGATGATACTGCGGTGTTTCATTTAAAATGTTAAATCAGTAATGGTGGATTTATACAATCATTATCATTAGTAGATGATTAGAAAAATAGAAACAAATATATGGTGTCGTATTGGTTAGCAACGCACAATAAACGTATGTTTCTATTGGGTATTTCTTAATAAACTAATATGATAATGATTGTATGCACCTACCATAAAACGGTTGTCTGTACTTATAAATATTAATACATAGAATGAATTTTGCTTCCAGTCACTGCACTTTTCGGGCACCCAGTATATTATAGATTCAAGATTGTTGTATACATGCCTCGAAATCTCGTAAAGGTAGTTATGGTACAGCAGAGTAGTTCCGTTGAACTGAATGACTTGTATCTACCGGTTCCATTCGTTTCAAATAAAAATCCGTTAGCTGTTTTGACGGTTTCTTATGTTTGACGGTTAAACATTACTACTTATTATAAAATGGGCTTAGAACGTTGGGAAAATATTATCGTTGAATGGGTATGAGTTTAATTACGCTTTCTAAAAACTAATTATATAGTTGCAGGTTAACTGTTTAAAAATATCAACAACTGTAAGTAATTTGGACGATTTAAAGGATGGGTTGTTTTTGAGCAACTTATGCCAGCTTCTGTAAGTTTCACATCTTCACTATTTTATTCTTATTTATTTCCCTTCTGTGTTTAGTACCACATTTGAAAGTCCTGCTTCAACAATTTATCTCTCATCGATCATTTATTTCTTGAACAAGCAGTACCCGAACTTGATTTTAGATTGTGAAAATGATACTGATTTAGAAAAAATATCACAAAATGATCTTATGATGATATCCTCTTTGTTACTTCACTTTTCATGTATTCATGACAGGCGGGACGTGCTCACTTCACCATTATGCTATCAGTTGTCTAAGGCTACACAAATTTCTATTAAATACTATTTAGAAAATGTACATAGTGACATCAATAAAGAAAAATTGTTTAAAATTATTGAAGAAAGTATAAACATTAGACAATTCAAATCAAATCCACGTACACTGTCTTCAGAGTATTCATTTCACGGTAGCCCTTTACAACAGTTATTACACACACCCTTACCAAAATTGTCCCGGTTGCGAGAGAAAGATAAAGAGATAAACAAGTTACAAGTAGAAGTTGACCTAGAGCGCTTAGAAAAATTTGATTTACAAGACGAACTCGCAATACAAAAGGAATGCAACAAGAAGCTCTGTAAGTATTTCAAATTGCTCGATTGATTTGACTTTTTTATATAGCACAGCAGGTATCCATCAAGGCAGCTGAAATTTCCAAATTGAGAAATGAATTAATGGAGTTGGAGAATAAATCACTTTCTGATAGTAGTAATCTAGATTGGAAAGAACTACAGCAAAGGTATCGGAGTGACATAAATAATCTGGAACTGTATATTTCTCAACTTCAATCAGAGCAGGAACTGTTGCACAATGAAAGAGACGAGATGTTAAAGAAGGTAAGTGCATACCACTACCTAATTGTAATCTGAAAAGGCCACCCAATCGTAGGGCAGTTTTTGTATAGTATCCTTATTAATGAATTTATCCAATGTAATGTGTAATATAGTCTGTAAAAAAGTGTTAGAGGGACTGAAAAGAACATTTTCCTACGACTTTCATTGAAAATGACATATGTCGTACAATTATGTTTACTTGAAAATTGACAATTTCGCTCACTTATGGCAAAATGTAACGGAAAACAAAACGCACCCGTGTGATTTGCTTTCTCATAAGATTGACCATATAGTAGAAAGCAAATCGCATGTTACGTTTTGCTTTCGTAGTAGTCTAATCTTTTTGTAACATCAACGTAGTAGGCGTACGTCAAACTCTAAAATTGCGATTAGTTTATTCTTGAGTTTATTCCCTTGTGCTACACATTGAATTCCTTACTTATTTTTAATGGCGAAAAGTGATTCTTCCATGGATGTAGAGTGTACTCCACCCAACATCAGGGAAGAGGCAAAATCCACTACACTCGAATTACTACCAACTAAATTGCGGCCGATATGAAAAGTAGCGTACGTCTAATAATATTAGTAAATTTCTTGCAGAAGCTCCAAACGACAAGTACCTACCTCTTTAGTCTTTGCTAAAGTAATTATAACAATAGTTCGTTAAAGAGAAATTGAATCTATTTCGTATTTTTAGATAGTTTTAGTAGTTGGTTCGAAATAAAACAACTTTTGTTTCATTATGTAAGTAGATTTTTGGTTGTATGGAGAGTCGTAGGAAAAATAGTGTACATGACTCGTTTGAAAGCCACTTTTCACACTCGTGTGATTGCCACACTCGGCTTCGCCTCGTATGGCAAACTTCACATCTCGTGTGAAAAGTATTGCTTTCAACACTCGTTACGTAATATACTATTTCTACATAATAGGAATGTCTTTTGGAAACATTTTTTTGAAATTTCTACTTAATGATGTTGTCTCTGAAGATCCAGTAATGATAGTAGCACTTGATTCAAAGCTAATACTACACTAGGTACTTATTATTTATGTAACAATGTAACATAGCATACCCTTAAACTTGAAGCATTTCGCTGTTATACCTCTTTTCCTCAAAATTTGACCATTTTTTGAATTTACACTTTCAAGAGAAACTAAATCACGCCGGCGATTAAATTTTGAATTGAGGCCTCTTCCCTTTCACATACCGGGTGAATGGTTAATATTACAAAACCAAACATAGGCAATTAACATGGGAAAAATGTTTTTTGCAGATTATTCCTCCCCGTGTTAACTTAAGAGGGTTTATAATTGCACCAATCGAAAGAAGATTTTTTCTAATGATATGCGAATTAGTTCATGTTCAGTTGTATTTCTCATAATTTCATACAAAATTCAGCAATAAAGTCAATTTATTTCTGGTCTTGTTATTTTTCTCATACAGGCGATATACGGACCAAATAGTAAACAAAGCATGTACCTACTCCGATATATTTTCAGATGAAGGTCAAATCGAAGGTCAAATAGTAGTAAGTCCGCGTGTGAGATCGAAGGGACTTCAGCGCATTTTTGTGTGGCGGATCAGTGTTTTAATAGCCAGTGTTGACTCCACCATCAATAAAATCTTGTCAGGGGCTACCATATTCCCTTTGTCAGTATCCACTTCCGGCATTCATATCGAATTTTTTTATTTATTTATTTTGCAGTTAAAACGCCTTGTTATGGATATTTTAGTGACAATATTTTAATGTTTACAGGTGACCAAATTAGAGGCGCAGTGTCTGGAATGGCAGAAGAGAGCAATACTATCTGAAAATAATTATGACCAAATATTAGAAAAGCATGAGCGACAGGAAGACGAATTAAAAGATCTTCATACTCACTGTTCCGAATTAAGTGATCTCCTCGAAGAATTACGAACAAGTAAGGAACCAAATGAAAGTTGTGTAGAGTTGGATACGTCCTCAACTGATAGTGATCGTAATACCCGCGAAAATTGCATAGAGAATCTTGCGTGTTATGTAATCGAGGTACAGTTGAAAGATGCACTAACGGAAAATGTGGATCTCAAGAATTCACTCCAACAAACCCAAAATGATATTTCAAAATTACGTGGACAGATGGAAGAAATTACTGTTAATTATCAACAGGTTAATACAGAAAAGGAAGAATTGCTGAAAAAGGTAGTTTCATTGTGACTGTCTTCTTACTGTACAATACCTTCAAACCAATTTATTTGTCTTTTAGGTTGATTTACTTCACGAAACAAAGAGCAAGCTACAAGAAATACAATCCCAATTAAGCAGTAATAGTTCAAAACTTGAAGAAGTACTAAAAGTGAACACATCCCTAAAAACTGCTATAGAGAGTAAGGACCATGAAATAGAACAGGTAAATGAAGTATTACAATCGTTGTCAAAAGAGTACAGCACACAAAATGAAAATATTCGATTACTAAGAGCTGATTATGACAGATTGCAAATAATACTGCAAGAGAAAGAAAACAAATGTTCCGTCATAGAAAAACACAATATCACTCTCAACAATGAACTAGATTCATTACGCATCGATTATAATAAAGCAATTGGTGAGTTGAAGGTTCAAAAAGATTTATTATCTGAAACAAAAGAGACTGTGGATTGCAATCTACGAAAACTTCACGAATTTGTATTTGGAGTTAGCATTTTACACGTAGACAGTTATGAAGCTACCTTCACTTCACTACTGAAACATTTGCAAACTGAACACGAGAGTCAGAAGTCAAATTTGGAAATTTATACCAGTGCTTTAGAACACCTTGAACAGTTAGTTGCAGAACAAAAAACAGAGATTTCGTGTTTAAGTGAGCAAAATATAACAAATCAGAAAGAGTCTGAAATAGTGTCCGATAAGTTACTGCAAGCGGAAAAACAAATATTTAATTATAAAAATGAAATTTTGCAGAATAGTGATAAGATCGCACAATTAGAGTTTACAATTGACGAAATGTCGGCAAGTGTAGGCGAACTGGAAGTACTAAAAACTGAAATGAGCCAATTACAATCTACTTACGATAATGTAATGTTGATGCTTCAAGAAAATAGAAGTGAACTGGAAAGATATAAAGCTATAATTCAAGAGTTGAGTACTTCATTAAGTCTTACCGAACAAAGTAAGGCGGATTTTCAGTCTCAGGTTGTCCAGATGGAGCTAACTTTGCAAAGTAACATACAAAATGAAATGCAACTTAGAAAAGAATTGTCCAGTTTACACGATCAGCTACATGACAAGAGCAATGAGTTAGAAATGTATATTTTTAAGGAGGGGAATTTGCTAAAGGATGTTGACATTTTGAAACAAAATTTAAACGAAGTTGATGGGATGATATTTGACGAGAGGGCGAAAAAGGAGAAGTATATTGAGCAAGTGACTACTTTAGAAGCTTCAGTTGAACATTACCAAACCTACATTAAAAGTGTAGAAGCAGAATTGGCCAATGTGAAAACAAATTACTTAACAAGCGAGAAAGAATTACAAAATGCGCTATGTTGTAAACAATCTATTGAGCGGGATTTTGAGTTAACTAAAATTAATTTGGCGCACTACATTTCTACATTAGATGAAGCAAAAGTTGCACTGGATTGGAAACTAAAACAGGCACAAAACGCTGAAGCTCTGCTTACTGAACAGCTTTTGCAAAAAACTGAAAGGTGCGACTCTTTAATCGAAGAAGTTAAGATTTGTACAGAAGGATACATGAAACTTGAGGTACAATATGAAAGTGTTTTGCAAAAGTTAGAACTACAAGAGAAAGAAAGCGAGAGACTGCACAATAGTTTAGCTAAAAGTAACGAACAGCTTGCATATTATCAGCGTCAACACAAGGAGGGAGAAGAACGTATTGCTGTGTTAGGAACTCAAGTTGATGATAGAGATGCGCAGGTTAACGAATACAAAAGCCAGATTGCAAAGTTAGAAATTGATGGAGAACATTTCAGGTTAGTGCTTTTATTTTTCTCAATGGTTGTATGATAATGTATCTTGTCCACCTTATTATTCATTCAAAACTGAGGCAATGCTGGTTTTGTTTCGATCTGATATTGTAATTGAAAGAGAGACTTCTACATTAACGACAACATGAAAAAAAATGCATGAAATTAATTTCTTGGGTATTGAGGCAACGAATTTGCACATTTTCTTTAATTAAATTTGAGCAAAAACAAATTTTACTTATACTAAATCAAATATGACACGAAAAATGTGAAGAAATGTGCCCAATTCTTGCCAGAACGGCTTCCTAGCTCAAACAAAAAAGCGCGCTTTGGGAGAGTGTTCAAAAACTGGTAAGTGTGGGGAAGAAACGTTTCTCACTATATTTAATTATTAGAATAAGAATTTAAGAATATTCAATGAAGGTTTCTATTTGAAAAATTTGGGTTGCCCTACACTTGACCTTTACGGTGAAAATGTGCATAGCCTTATAAAATGGGCCCCTCCATATGAAGAATATCTTATATAAATTTTTTGATATCCACGCTACTTTGCGCAATAATCAACTCTCAAGTTAAATGGGACGTCCTGTATACAGGGTATTAGTTCAGGGGGTGATAGTACCCCTCAAAATAGGAAAAAAAATGCAAAAACATATATGCATGGTCTAAAGGCCGTCGTTTTCATTATACAGGGTGGCAAAGTTTCAATTTTTAGCATAACACAACAAAATTGAGGTAACGCTTATGTGCTCAATTTTCCGTCATATGTCTGTTCCAATGAGCTCTCGGCCCCTGGGCCACCTAGAGGCTTACGAAGTAGCTGCGGTACTGAAACATCTCGTTTTTAAATAGCAACGCAAATTTTTTGGTATGAGTATGAGACTTTCTTTTTCTGTGTAAAACTTACCAAAATGTAAAGTTAAAAAATTAAGTTTTTTTTATTCAATTTTTAATTTGATTTCGTTAAAATTTTGCCTTTTTGTAAATATTTAATCTTTTTTTTAATATCTGGTTTGAGCTAGGAGGCTGTTCTATCAAGAATTTGGCACCTGGTTTTTGTTTGTGTAGAGAAAAGATTCGATACCATGTCCGTAACACTGTCGTCAGACGTTCTCTATTGCGGAGCAGCGAATTTTGACCAGTGAGGACGACGTATGCAGATTGAGTTTTATTATTTAATGTATGATAGATAGAATGAAAATATAATAACATTCATATAATTTGCGGTGGTTGAAGCTTTCCGTTCCTGATTTAAGCAAATCGTTAATTAACGTAAGCAATTGTAGAAAATCAAATAGAGCTTACTAAGACCTGGTATGAAAAAAATGATTGAATCACGGGACATTTATGATTTAAGTAACGGGGCTAAAATTGTCGTTAATTGTCAAATAAATTTAAGGGTAGAATTAGAAAACGTTTGTAAAAGGTAACTTACGAATTGACAAAGAGAATTTATGTGCGCTGTGATTTTCTTTACTAGAGGCATACATGGTTAAAATTTCAACGAAATATCTTGATAAATAAACAAGTTGGCACTGACTGCGCATGCGCACATCTAATTTTTGCAATATCAGTTAAGTTTGCCTTTAACAGAAGCATCTGTGGTTAAAATTTCAAAAAGATATCTCGATAAATAACAGTTGACATTGCGCATCCTGCGCATGCGCGCATTAATCTGATGTTTACAATATGCGATAGGTTTGCTTACACTAAAAGCAACCTTGGTTAACATTTCAAAGAAATACCTCCATAAATAAGAAAGTTGCCATTGCGCAGTTCGCGCAATTGATTTTTACTATATGTGGTATATTTGCCTTCACCAGAAGTATCTGTGGTTAAAATTTCAACAAAATATTGCTGTGGCCCCACGTTGGGCGCCAATTAAAAAATGCTGTGTGCACGGGTCCGGAGGCCAAAAAGACCGTACACAAAACACCTAAACAAACCTAGCTAGCTCAAACTTTTATCTTCCTCGGAACAAAACTTCTCCCTAGCACAGAGGAGGAATTCGACTCTTTTCTCAGTTAAACCATTAACTTCTACCAGATAGTGGGTTAGACCAAATACCTTAAATTCCAAATCGATCTTAAGAATTTTGATTAAATAAAATGGACCTTGGCCCAGTATCCAAAGAAAACAGTAAATTAAAGGAAATGAAATCGTTCGAAAGACAAACACAGAAATTAATGTGAGAATTACAAATTTCAGTTTTAATGGTTACACAATAAAAAAACAACAAGGTAAACAAACAATTATTACAAAGAAAAAAACTAAAATTAAAACTTAATCTTACTTACATTCGGTACATGTCCAAAACTGCTAATCCCAAATACGGTAGACAAAAAAAACAACAAAATTCAAAATTACACAAAAAAAACTCAAGTCGGCGCCGACCACACCTTAGTGACGCACTTTACTGAAGGTCCAAACTTCCAAAACGGCTGCAACTCCGCTTGCCACTCTGTAAAACGGAAACTCCACCAACTTCCAATGCTGCTGGCCTCTACACAATCCAAACTACTGCGGTAATTCGCCGAAGCGAAAATAAACAATCTTCACTCAACTCAAAAACTGCCCTGACTGGCAACAAAACTGACGATTCAAACTTCAAAACTCCCAAAACAAAACTTCAAACTTCAGCAAATGTGGATCTGCTTTCAAACTCGCAAAACGCTTATTTCAAATCTCCTACAAACGTAGTTCCGCTTTGAACTTGGCAAAAAGCCCTTCCTCTTCTCCGTCCGTTCTATTTAAGGTGGAAACCCTTTTTCCAAAATTACAAATTAAAACAGCCAATGATAAGCAATTGACAACAGAAAATTTCCCCACTAACGTAAGTTAAACTAGAGGTAGAAGTTATTTTTATAATCAATTTTTAACCGACATTAAGAGATAACACAAAATTAAAATACTAGGAAAAATAGAATTTTCTATCTTTTAAATACAAAGAAAAGGCGATAAATAACATCCACTTGTCAATTAAATTAAGCGTTTACAATGATAACAGAATAAAAGCGATATAAAATTCTCAGAAATCTACGTTAAATAAAATCAAAGATGAGATTAAAATGTAAACAATACAAACCTTGACCTCTTTTTCGTAACAATAATTTCTGTTGAAGTACTTAACGAACGACACAAAACAAAAATTTAAATTAAGAAAATTAATTACATTGAAACCGCCCTTGTCCATTCTAGTTAAGAATCCCAAAATTTCGTCCTGCCAGACAAAATAACACAGCAATATATTAATAAATGAGGAAGTTGACATTTGCGCATGCGCAGTTTAATTGTCAAGATTTTCCTTGACTCAGTGCTAGAGCTATACGCTACCGAATGCAAAAAGAACGAATTAAGTAGGTATATTGAAAACTATAGGAGTAGTTAACGCCTCGCACAGACCGACGAACAGAGAAAGTGGCTGCAATAGCGCACCCAACTTCGTTGGAAAATGGGCTAAAAAAATGTGAGTTGCTATTAGAAAAAACAGTTGTATGACGCCACAGCATTAAAAACTCAAATATTAAAAAAAAAATTTACATCCTGTATAGTCCGGTCAGGTTAGCATGAAAAATAGGGGTACCCTTCCATAAATTTCGAAGAAGCTGAAAATTCACATGAACGTTAGGGACCATTATAATGAAATTGTGAAAAGTCCCCATCCATCCCATGTGTGCAAAAATTTTTATTCAAGGTCAAAAGTTCACAAAAATGGGTTGTCTGGATCTTTAGCGAAACGGTTAGTTTTATAATAAAAATAGCCCAGACAAAACTTGTAGATCATGCAATTATATACAAAAAATGTCCTTATCCTTTTTCTCCTAAGATACAGTGCATCTGAGAAAAAGCGATTCCAAAATTTACCAAAGTTGTATTCTCTATACTATGCACACGTTTCCACGCCACATGTGAGGTAGCTTACTTGACGCGTTTTTTTAACGTGGTTTCCCCTACTCCACGGTCTATTTTATTTAATCCTCGTAGAATAATAGGTCTTCTCATTCAATTTATCCTTCTTTTGCGTCTTCTCATAAACTTCTTGTTTTTCTTCGTCTTCTTCTTCCTAAGTCGACGTATATTGTTCAAACAGTGATACATCAGGTGTTTCGTCGTCGATGTAAGGATCAATGTAATTAATTTATTAATGTAAATCAAGCCTCTGCTCACAAATACATACACAAACATTATGTATTGTTGTGCAGTATTTGATACTGTTATACTTACTGCACTTACTTATTTTAAATTCTGTACTCTAATGTGGTTTAAAACTAGGCATGACAGTATTGTATAAGTATAATCTAAGTCATTTTACTACACCATTTATTTAATTGAAAACATAATAGAGTTGATTCAAATTTACACTCATTTTTTTTCATCCTGTTTCATACAGGATTGTACCTATTTTGAAACTACTGTTTGATTATCCGAAGCACTACCTAATGTATTATGGCCGTTTGCACTGACAAATTTAAGCGGGGCTTAAGGGCCCCATTCACATGCGGATATGTACGGCGGATCTGTACGGCGGACAGATCCGCCTTGAGCTACACACAGGCGGATATGTCTGTACACAGATCATGGACAAATCTTAATAGACGAGCAGGCGGCGTTCTCTCACTATTTCAGTTCTGTAGTGCTAGCCCCTGGGTTGTGTGGTTTTGAGTGCTGTGGTAATTGCTATGGATCATAAGAAGAAACTGACAATAATTGCAGGATATATGGTTTTATTTGAAGATAGGAAACAGAAGAGACTGTGGTCAAAACAGTGGTTCTTGAATCGAAAAAGTACTCTTCATATGACTTTACTTAGAGAATTGGAAACGCCTCATGATTTGCACAATTTTTTGGCAGAATATGCTCGGAAATGGCATAAAATTATTTCATTAGTAGTTAGGTGTACTTGGTTGGTGGAGTAAGGCACTACAGTCTTTACCAGTATTTAAATTGTTCCCCAAAAATGCACATTTTGTTCTGGAATGTTAATATCACCGTAGTCTTCAAATTTCACTTTTAAAATATCACCAAAAACCAAAAGGTAACTGATCGGATTGTATTCGACTAATAGTCGGTCACCATTAGTGCGGTGTTGTTCCGCAATTTTGTTTGTAAAGTTACCCAAAAGATCATTCAAATCTTTAGCACAGTTTGCGCCTGCATTATATTCAAAAGTAATTTAAACAAAATATTTTTTTTTATTATACCTGAATCACAATCTCCGTTTTAAACACTCAAATGCGTGCGAAAAAGGCCCTTTAAAACACACGTGCTTTAAAGTTGCTAAGTAACGATACTTCAAGTATGACTTTTGAAACTGTCATCTGGATGAAATAAAAAATCCTCTTAGGTCGCTTTCTGTAAATGCAGAATATTTCTTTGGCTTTTGTACCTATCCTTTGGTTGAAGCTTTCACAAACGCGCGTAATTTAGGGTATGCTTCCAAATCTGTTCCACTTTTTAATCGCAGTATTGCTTTAAAGTTTTGAATGAATGCACCAAAATATAGAAGATTTAAATACCTTTGACATTTCCTTCATATATGCCAGCATTATGGATGCATTTAAGACTGTATTTGTAAGTAACTTCCTATTCATCCATGGAAACAACTTTTCATATTCTTTATAATAGGCTTTACTGGAGTTGGATTTTACACCTACCAACGTTTGTTTAGATTTTACAACAATAGATTTAATGGGCGGTGTATTATCTTTTTCAACGGAAATCGTTTAATTCACAAAGACGATGATTTTTATAAGCAAACGTCAAGTGACATTTCCATGGCAATCGTGAAATTGCGAACACCCAGCCCACTTAATTAGACATGTATTCGAGTATAACGTCAATATGACTTCATTGTATTTCCTATTTTTAAATTATACTGCAGGTATAATAAAAAATACTATAAGATACACGTGTATAATTAGTCTTTAAAGCACTTACAACGTTAAAGGCACTCCGCTTTGCGTCGTGCCCTTAAACTCGTTGCGCGTGCTTTAAAGACTTGATTATACACTTGTATCTTAATATACTATTTAATGACTGTTTAATTGGAGTAGGATTAGTCGCATTTCCATTTTGATTTCTTAAATTTCCAAACATATTTTCAAGAAGTTCCTATTTTTTGATTCTATGTCCGGCAAACAAATCCGTGAAACGACTACACACGTGCGGATTTGTCGGGCTCGCTGTCAGTGCTCGTCATCCTGATCGACGGATGGCGAGCAGGATATGTACGCCGAACACGCGGATACACACATACGAATTGATACGGATCTGTCCCGCGTACATGTCCGCCGTACAGATCCGCCGTACATATCCGCATGTGAATGGTACCTATTAGCTTAATCGTATCTTAAAATCCATGACAACCATTGTCGTGTTAATGGTTACCATGGATTTTAAGTTGCGCTTTAGCTTAAATTTGTCGATGCAAACGGCCATTTAGTAATACCTAGTTTGACTTATATTATTCGTCCAATGATGTGCATATAGTGCGGTCGAGATAGTAAGTCCCGTGCGTTTTCTGTGGGGACCTTTTTTTTATTACTGATACTCGCTTTTAACACGATTTTAATTATTTTAAAGATGGGAGCCTCGTAAAAAAAATTGTCGTTTGGCCGCCATATTGAATTTCATCCCGAAAAACAAAAAAATGGTTAAACTAACTTACCTATTTGAAAAATATTGTTATTTTAAACTTTTAGGTTTAAATTAAAGACCTGTAAATATTTAGAACATATATTGCAGAAATTGGATTATTATACAGGGTGATTAAAAAATATAACATTTAGCTACGCACTTAAAAGAAACAAAATATTAATATTTATTCATCACCCGTGTCGCTGTCTTCCACTGCTGAATCATTGACAATGAATGGTTCATCGGCTTCTCGTTCTTCTACCTCTTCGTTATTTTGGTGTTGAAGAATCATTTGGGCAACCCTGGGTAATGCAGGTTCTGTATACATAACAGGCCGCAATCTGGTCTCTTCTGACTTCCACCCAAAGCATATTCGAAACCGCCTGCAGGATTTTCACGAAAATTTGTAAAATCGTCGAGTACGTCGACGACATGAAAATAAGTAAAAACGAAGCAAATCGTTCGACCGGTTTTCCCCCCGCGCCACCCCCCTATTCGTGTTTTTCCCCATAAAACCCCCTCCGGAGGACCAAAGGTAAGTGTCGCGCGGAAGCCGCCGCGGCCCGGGGGGTACCGAGGACGGCCGCGTCGAATCGCGTACGGTGAAATTTTTTATCGCCCTCCGGCGGGGGGGCTGCCGTAAGACGTGAAAAAAACGCGAAAAAACACCTTTTCGGACCTGGAGGAGAAGTTATTCGACCTACGGGCTCGGTACTTTGGAATCCGTAGCCGTTAAGGGTGCCCACTTTTACAATTTTTTTCTGGTGTTCGTTGGTACAACTTAATATGGCGGCCGAACGACAATATTTTGGAAATGGCTCCCGTCGTAAATTTAATCTTTAATACCTAATGAACTAATTACAACAATAAAAAAAAGGTCCACTATCAAAAACGCACGGTATGTGATCTATCGACCGGACTAATAGGCACGCGTGTTATGGGGAGTACATCTTTAGCCAATTTTAGAATCCCTTTTTCTCACAAATACTGAATCTTACTGGAATAATTGTAAGAACAATTTTTGTAGATAATTGCATGATCTACAATTTTTGTCTGACCTATTTTTATCATAAAACGAACCGTTCCTCTAAAAAATCCAAAAAACCCATTTTTATGAACTACTATACTATAAAAATGTATACACGTGTTCAGAGAGGCAGGAAAATATCTACAAAAATGATCAGAATGTGTTTAATTTATTTTTCAGTTAGTTAAGTAATACGTTTACCTAACGAAATTGATGAATTAATAATAGTCATTTTGATATTTCTTGGTCAAAAGACATGTGATCATCCAGTAAATCAGCTTTTAATCAAAATTTGGGTGCTTAGGATTAAGCAACCGCCAAGATTTTTCTTATCGCCAATTTAGCCCAGTCTGGATTGGTATAGTTTTAATATGCAGGTATTTTATGTATTTTGCTCGTTGCAAAGTTGTTTATTTATAGTATCGTTTCTTTTTAGGGAAAAAGTCAAGGAATTACAAGAAGATTGCTGTAATCTACAAAACGGGAAGATATTCTTAGAGGGAAAGTGTCGAGAACTTGAATCAAAGGTGGACAGTCTCACGTATGATTTATCTGATAAAAGTAAGGAACTGGATAAGAATAAACAAAATGAAGAAAAAATGAAAGCTCAATTAATATGCCTCGGGGAGGAGTTACTAAAGCAAAGTATGGACTTGGAGAATTTAACAGAGCAATATGACACAAAAGTTATTCAATTACGTTTTCTTGAAGAAGAAGCACTTGCACTTAAAAGTGATGTCCAATTATTAGTCGATAAGGAGAATTTTTATGTTGAAGAATTGGCTAGTGTAAGAGAGGAGTTAAGTTTAATGACTTTCAAATATACAGAATCACTACAAACTCACCACGAATGTGTACAAGAAAACAATGCTCAAATTAATAGTTTAACAGAAAATTTACATGAGATTGTGGAGAAATATAACATTTTGGATAAATGCAATTCGGAAACTAATCACACACTCAGTCATGTACAAGAACAGTTAAGAGAAGCAAAGCATTCTCTTATGGAAAGGACGTTGCTTGAAGATGAATATAAAAAACGCATAAGTGATTTAAATTCTACAATAGGGCAACAAATTTTGATCGAGTCTGCATTAAAATCAAAATTGGAAGACTCTTTAAATAGGTTGTCATATTCTGAAAGCAAGAATGAAACAAGTTTTAATAACTTTAAAGGACTGTGTGTATTGTTTGCACAAGTGAATGTGAACAAAATTAATTTAAGCAACAAACTTGGAAAAATGATGAAACAACGTCTACACCTGAAGGAGTCGTTTGATATTCTTAAAGCTGATTATATAAAAATGTGGGATGTAGTTACTCAAAATCTTAAGCTGTTGGAAATGCAATTACTGTGGTCTTTAAAATCAGTTTCCTCAGAAAATGAAAACCTTAAAACAGTCATTTCACAACTTGAAACCGAAAGGTTGAACAGTCATGTAGAGAGCTTGGCACTAATTGACAGTCTTAAAAAGGGAATTGAAGCGGAGCAGGGTAAACTTGCAGATAATACAAAGGCATTAGATGATCAAGCAAAAGTGGTGGAGGACTACCAGTACAGAATTAAGGAATTGTCTGCAAACGAGACGGCCTACAGGAACGAAATCCAGCATATGTTCCAAAGTTTAAAGGATGTAATTGAAAATGTGAATGACTGCAAAAATCAATGTGGAGAAGATGGAATCCAGGTTGACACAAATAGCAACGTTGGTAACATAAGTACTGCTAATAGGACACTACTGAGTTCAATATCCGAAATATGTACCCATATGAAAGAGGTAGGTAGATTTTTAATTGATATGCTTAGTCAGGTTCAAACACATTTGTTTATAAAATTTCAAAAATAATCTTGTCTGGTTTGTTTAGCTATATTTTGGGACAATTTTCTTTACTTCACAGATATGTTTTTTCGTGATGTATTGTAGCGATTTTTATTCTTAATGTCCCGCCATCAAAGCTTTTCTGGCACAGATATTATTTCCACAAATTTCGTTGGGATTCAATTGGCCATTCATCCACCAGGGACCGTATGTTCGAGTTATGAGTATACTCAATAAATTTCGAACATGATATATTTCGAATGAAAATATCTCATGCGATAACCGTATCCTTCGAATTGGTATTCTAGACGTGAAGTGATATCGAGCGAACTCAAGCATACGGCCCTAGGTCTTTTGTTATGAACTCTGAAAGAGGAGAGGCTATCTTTTTTTGTTTAGTTATTTAGGCAAAGAACAGACCTACAGACAGCCATGAGCACTTTAACAAGTGACGGTGCTTGTGTTTAGGAAAACTTATTTGATAATTTTAACAAAATTTTGATGTTGGCGTTAAAAATTATGTTGTTATTTAAGTGTTGATGTGAACTATTTTTGTAGGTAATTTCTAAAGAAAAGGAGAATTTTAAAAACCACCTTGAGCAGCAGAAACTGTCAGAAGCAGAAACTGCAAGTAAAATAAACCATTTGCACAAAGAAAACGATTTATTGCAGCAAGAAATTCGTATTGCTAAACAGGAAATTGAGAATCATAAGGAAAAAATAAAAACTGTTTTCGTAGAACGCCAAGCTTTAGAATTGGAAGTGAAAGTTGCAAATGAAAAAATTTTTGGTCAAGAATCTATCGTACGAAGTCAAGAAAATGTGATCAGCGACGCGAATTTTAAACTGGTCGACAAATTGGAAGAAATACTGCAATTGGAAAAAGCGAAACAAACACTTCAACTTCAAGTTGATCAGTTAACTGCACAATTAAACGATAATAATGTTAAACCTGAGGTAATAGAACATAGTAATGTTCAAGGAATTCAAAGCAACGTACTGAAACAGATCGAAACGTTACGGCAATATTCTATGACTCACAAGACTTCTGTTGACAAGTTGATTACTGAACGTAATTTTCTTGAAAGTGTCATTAATAATGTGAAACATTCGTTATTTACTCTCCAAACAAAAACCTCGAATTTGAACGATGATAGGGAAGCTGCAAAATTAAGAGATCAGATTGAATCATTTGAATTTATAGTTGAAGATCTGCAAAAACAATTTGCGCGAATATCGAAAAAAATTCACGAAATTGTGTTAAATGTCGTACAAATTCCCGCACAGTTTTGTAATACTGTCATTACCGATTGCGAGGTGGTTCCAAGTATATTTGAGGTAGCCAACTTTGATCAAGAACTTGAGCAAATTACCGATTGTCGAAGTTCTGCCAATAACTTGCTAGAGCAACTTACTTCCTTCGAAAATGGCATTGCATTGGTATGTATTAGATTTTATAAATGTGAATGTAATTTTTTTAATTCGAATTTTATTGTTGGATACTTACGAAGGTGTAGAAGGGCCATCTACATAAAAAAATACGACTCAAAATTCGGACTTGAAATGCAGAAATCTGACTTTAAACTCAGAATCTGACTTTAAACTCATGTGACCCCAAAGTCAAAATTTTGAGTTTAACCTCAAACTTCTGAGATCAAAAGTTAGAATTCTGAATTTGAAGTCAGAATTCTGCATTTAAAGTTACAATTCTGAGTTGAAAGTTAGAATTCTAAGTTTAAAGCTAGAATTCTGAGTTTAAACTCATCATTCTGGGATCGAAAGTTAGAATTCTGAGTTTAAAGTCAGAATTGTGAGTTGGAAGTTGGAATTGTAGTCGTATTTATTTTTTTTGTATAGATGCCCCTTTTACGCCTTCGTAGTTACTCACCTTTATTTTGAGAGTACTGATATTACTTATTCAGGTTTACTCTCTATCTAAACAAATTGGCCATTGGTTATCAAGATATTCAACAATAAAAATAAAAATTTTTGAATTGTTCATTTTATGCATTTTGAAACATAATTCATTTTGGTATAAAAAAATCCATAACAGATATTCATTATCAGCAAAGCATTAAACATTCAACGTAAATTACCACGTTTTCTATAAAAAATGCGGAAAATTGTAACAATAATAAACTTAGTTAAACAAACTAACATCAACATATTAATTGGCAAAATTTTCAAAATATGTAAACATACCTGTTTCATTTAAAAGATTGTTATCTTATGCAATGTCTCGTTAACCTGATGATCAACCTATTTTCTTGACGTGTTCAACATTATAATCCTGGGAAAAATGTTTGATATTTGTTATTTTTAATGGACTTCATGGCTCCAATATTTTTTTTATGTGAAAGAAAAGTACAGTGCTTCGGGTCTTCTAAATCGTTTAAAAATTAATTAAAATTAGGTAGGTACCAGGTTTCTATTTTATTCAACAAACAAATTAGTTGATACAATAAGAATAAGAAAAACGCTACCTACTCATTTGTATATTTTTCTGTTGAATGCACCTTCCGTAAGACATTGGATGATCTTGGAGATATTTATAAAATTCGAGGCAATCCATTTCAAAATTATGTTTTGTTATTAAAAGTCCCTTTAAGTTTCCTACCGTAAGGTTTGTTTTTTAGCTGGTCCAAATTTTATTCATGTAGGTAATATTTTTTAAATTCTTTCTAAACAACAAACGTCAGAAATGGGACAAATACGGGACTTCTTTATATATACGGAACATTTACGTAATTTATTAAAATAATTACATATACGAAACAATGCGGTCAAAAAAGGGACTGTCCCTTATTAAATGGTCGCCTTACTCCAATAATATGTTACTGTTTGTAGCCAACGGCACAAACTAATGATTTTCCATGTTTCAGAGAGTTTCAAAATTACAAAAAGAAAACATATTACGCAGTACTAACAATGTTATGGCCGATGTTAAAGTCAAAGATGAGGACCTGAAAAAGAAAAACACAATGTTAAAACAACGCCTTACATTATCGGAAAATGCTAAAAGTAATCTTGAAAAGAAAGTGAAGCAATTGCGACAGGAAAACAAAATCCTAAACGAAAAGGCTGATGGTGTCTTGGAGCAGAGTTATAAGCAGTTACTTCAACAACAAATTGCTCAAAAGGAAGAATACGAAAGCAAAATAAGCGAATCTTTGGAGAAATATAGGAAGTTGCAGCAAGAGTATGCGGAGTATAAAGCCAAACAGAACTTCATACCAGAGCAAATCCAATTTGATCAAGATCATAAAACAGAACAAGATGTTAAACTAGGAAAGGAGGTTTTGAAATTGAGAGACGCTTATGGTAACGTAATGAGCGAAAACTCCAAGTTGGAACTCGAAAATGCGACCATGCGTAAGTTACTGGATGGTAGGACTGCTCAACTAAGTGAAGTGAGACTAGTTCAAGAAGCGTATGAAAAACTTTTGGAAGAAAACAACACCCTTCGAATGGAGTTGGACACAGTGAAGTATAAACGAAGTAAAGATAGAGAGGCGTTATTAGAAGCACTCAGTAAAGATAAAAGTGACAGTAAAAAAATTCAAGATGTAAGAATTGAGTATGAAGCCAAGTTTGAAAAAATGAAAGAAAAAATGGTAAGGAACTTTATGATTTAATAAATTTGCATAATTTTTTAGCTTTTATGTTGGAAAAACTTTTTGCTGAGAATGTAATTGTTTTATGCTTTGCCAAACATATTTATTCTACCTAGTAGGTAGGTATTAAAGAGGAAATAACTGATCTGCGTTATGATGCTAGCTATACAAAGGTCCGCATGTGTGATAAAAAAAAGTGGCACACATTCAAAATCATGTTACATTCATCCCTCTGTCAACGGCAAAGTCACATATAAGGGGTGTAGGCTGTACCGAATGAAATTTTTGTGTTTCTGTTTTGTCTTATGGTGTGGTAGGTAGCTTGTAATAAATCATTAGCAATGACACTGCACGGATGGGCGTAACCAGTGAGGTTTTAAACTTGTTGCATTATAAATAGATGCATAGATAAATCACACGCCACGGTTCTTGTCAGCCCAGCGAGGGCGCCATCTTGGCTTAAAAAAATGAGTCAAATTCTTGACAGAAAAACTTCCTAGCTCACCTCAGACCACTTTTGTTTGTGTTTATTACTAATATCACAGATTTAAATATACTATAAATCTGTGCTAATATAGGGCCAGCCATCGGAAACGCAGGAAGTTAAATGCTTGCTGTAATTGAACGCTTCTTTTTTTTTCACCAAATTTGACATTTGAGCAGTACAATGTAGTACAATATAGTTGACAGTCACGATGGAACGCTATACAATAGCGAAACGTGTGAAAATTATCGAGGTATATTACCAAAATTCTAAATGGCCGCCTAATTTCTTGCAATCATCAGCCAGTTGGGTGCCTAGCTCATGCGATTTAACACCGCCCGATTTTTTCTTTGGGGCTACGTGAAGGAGAAGGTCTATGCTAATAATCCACAAACAATTGAAGACCTTAAGAACAAGATTTGGGTTGGTATCGCTGAGATTTCGCTATCAATGTGCGAAAACGTGATGAAAAATTTTAATAGAAGAGTCATCGCCTGCAGCAGGAGCCGTGGCGGCCATTTGGCCGATATATTATTCAAATAAAATTGCACTACCTTCTACTACACAAATATAAAATCTAAGTCAATTTGGCCAGAAATTGTGTGTTGTATTTACGTTTGACTTCCTGCGCTTCCGATTGGTGGGCCTATACTTATTACCAATAATTCATTTATTATCTAAAGTCAGTAAACACAAAGCTCCTTATTCAATTGAATCGGCACGTAACAATAAGAATGACATTTTACAACTTATCCCTTAACATGGCACTACACCCTCATTAAGTTGTCAATGTTTGTCGTCGGTCTGGTGCAGATGTTATTATAGATGGGTCAGGTTCTACTTTTCTTTACTTCTTTACTCAGATTACAGTGTTTAAATCTGTGATATTAATTAATCTTTCTAAAAACTGCAGTATTTATACATGTACTTGTACACAGATATGTTAACATAGGTTTGATGTTTTACCTTAGTTTTTTGGATTAAAATCAAAAAGAATGCAACGAACGAACTTCTGCAATCGTTCATCGTTCATTGAAAAAAAGTTTTATGACGTCACGGCGCTAAAAACTTAGATATTAAAAAAAAATTTTTACAGTACATCATTTATAATGCCTAATGTCCATTCTCAAAATTTTAACGAAACCATAGTAACCGTTTTGGCGAAAAATTTTGTTTAGTTTTTTAACTTTGACATTTTTTTTTCTGTTTTTTTGTAATAAAACCTTGCACAATATTTGTAGGTTGTATAAAGAAAAATATGGTCTTTCAAATAACTTAATAAAAATTTTAGGTTGCTATTTGAAAAAAAAAAGTTCGATGCCGTTACGGCGCTCCAAAATTTTTTTTCAAAAATCCAGCTCGTTATTTTGCGTTTTCGTTTCAGTATGCCCAATATACATATCCAAAATTTGAACAAAATCCGTCGAGCCGTTACCTCGGAAAATTGCCAACGTATGCACGTACGAATGTACGCACATACATACAGACGGAAAAACATTTTATTCCTTAAAAGTTGCTTAAAATGATCTAAAACGTCGACATTTGATGAAATTTTATGATGTCCAAAAAACGGTGATAGCAATAGCCACCTAGCTGACGCTAGGAAGCTAAAAATTGAATGACAGGTAGCTTTGGTGAAACTATAATAATAATATAATTATTTCGGTGATGCCAGACAGTCTGATTTTCTATATTTTGTTGATATACTCGTACCAATATGAGTTACCTACACTTTTATTGGATTAAAACTCAAAATATTCAAGGAAATTCAAAAATGTTTATTCAATATTGAAATAGAAACATCTTAAATAGAAACATCTTAATTATCTCACTTGATGAAATTCAGCATAATATTCTAGCAGATTTCTCTCGGAATTTCGCCGATGACATGTTCGATTTCGAGTTTAAATTGCTGAATATTCTGCGGATGGTTAGCGCAGATCTTTCCCTTCACACATCTCCACAAAAATCTAGCGGCGTCCAATCACAGGAACGCGGCCAATTCATATCGCCGTTTCGGCTAGGGAATTTCGTTCGCAGCAAATCCAGTGTAGCATGCGTCGTGTGGCTTCTTGAACCGTCCTGCTGGAACCAAATGGTCCATGCGAAGCAAACAAGGCCATAAAAACTGATTAATCATGGCGCGTGATCTTTCACCACACATTGTAATCTCTCGTCCTTCATCATTCTCGAAAAAGAAAGGACCAATGATGCCTCAACTCTAAAATGCACGCCAGACAGTAACACATTCTGGATGCAGCAGTTTCTCAACAATCTCATGTGGATTCTTTAGTCCTCAAAATTGGGAGTTTTGTTTAGTAACGGATCCATGGAGATCATAATGTGCCTCATCACTCAGCATGAGTTTTTGATGAAAATTGGGTTCTGTTCTTACTTCCGTCACAGAACAATGTATGTGTATATCTATGGTTGCGCTAATATCCATGCAACAAACGCACGACGCTGGCCATGGTCTGGGGGCTTCAATTTCTGTGTGAATTTTATCGGGATGGAGAGATAAATTCTGATAATTTCTGAGAGGCTGCTGCGAAAGACAAGGAACTGAGAGCATCAGGTCCTCGGCCACACTCTGGCTGATAGCAGTGATGTTTTCAAGCAACCGGGCAGAACGAGTACGTACATATGGCCATTGAATTTATAACTATCAGAAGCGCAGGTTAAATGGCAGGATATGTGACTGTTTTCAATAGTTTAAATTACAAGACGTAGATGTCTCTACCATTGAGAAAGATGAATAATAATGTCAGTTTTTTACCTTTGTTAATTATTATACAGGAATCTGTAATGAACCCACTATCTCGATTTGTAATTGTTGTATACAGAATTCTAGATACCCAAGAAACGTACTTATAAGGCATTTATGTGGCACACAGGATGTTGAATGACGTAAGATAAACATTCTTCCTTTCATGAATCGTGACCTTACTTAACATTCCTTAAGGAAGATTGAATTACATTTGAACAGGAAAGCAAAAAATACGCAGGCATCCTTGATCACTGTAACAGAAATTAAATGTACCTACCTATCTATTCTTAATTTTTGTGTGTGTCGGTTAAACCGTTGCCACCGGTTAAACTACCTAAGACAGGGGTCGGCAACCTATTGAAACGGAAGAGCCAAAAATTACAATTTACAAAATTTCCCAGTTCTTAAAGAGCCACAAATAATTTTTGATTCAATATTATAGTTTTTGGCTATATACAGGGTCCTGCAACAGTCCGTCGGTTTTTCCTACATAGCTGATAGATACCTGGTAAAAATATTGGTGGTTGCGGATCTACAGAAATTATTTTTGAATGTACAGGGTGTTCCATTTTTACGATGTCAATTGACTGATCTTTTTAAATAGAACATCCTGAATATTTGGTTGTTTCAATGCCGTTTGTTCAAAGTGCTATAACTATTCTTTTTCAAATGGAACTACCACTATTTTATTTAGCTATTCCCTTTTGTCTTCTCTTAAATGTTTATAAGGGGTGCCCTGTACTTAAACTCCGCAGTGTTTAGGTTATTCAATATTTTTCACAAAAGTACCTACTCATTAATTAATTACGTGTTTATACATCGGAGTAGGCTGGCTATAATAAAAAAAACAAAAGAATACCAGAAAGTAAACAAGTGTCAAAAATTAGATAATTATTTGCTGCAAGTATACTTTTGATACAAAATAAGATTAATTAAAAAGGCGAATTTCGAACAAATGAACTAATTTCTTTAGATAAATACGGAGAGCCGCAACTTTATAGGTATCAAAAGAGCCGCAGGTTGCCGACCCCTGATCTAGGATCACACGTCACACCTGGCAATTTTGATACAAAATAAAAAGGTCGTTAACCTCTTTTCTTTTAAATTCTGACGTTTGAAATTTGTTCTCAATGGTTAATCGATAACTTATCGATAATTATCGATTAATAGATAGTCAATCGATAAATTTAAAAAAAATGGTCGACCGGTCAACAAAAAAAAGAATTTTTTGCGCATGGGATTTACACAATATATATTCTGACTATAATAAGCAAAAATAAATAAAAAGTGCGATTAAGACATCGAAAATATTTGCTTTTACAAAAGTTACAGCGATTTGATTGAAAGCTTTCAGGGGCGAAAATTAAAGCTGGAATCTTTGTTTTCCCTAAAAAAAAAGAAAAATGGAGGGTGATATTTTTCCGCGGTTACTTAGCAAAGAGGAAAAAAAATCCTGGAACAGTTTTAAGGCAATAGTCCATGGTTTCCCGTTCAGTGTTTCCTGGGAAACCATAGAGCTGAAAATTATGACGAGCTGACAGGATTTGGTTTTGTATCATGGGGTATAGAATGTCTCTAAAGAATAAAGATGCACAGGTTACATTCTCATTTAGATCAATTTAAGGATAATATGGGAGCTTATTCGGAATAAGGACAACACTTTCTCGAGACAATGGAACTTAGGCACCTTCCCAAGGCCAGGAAGTTGGAAGCATGATGGAAGATCAGATTCAGTTGAACATGACAAAAACAGCAAAACTGTTCCATTTTTAAACATTTAGACTCTAAGATAAACAAATTATAAATGTAGAAACGTTACCATTTAATAAATCATGCCTATGTAAGTAGGATTCTATAGGTATTTTTATTTTTTGGTTTTTTGCATTTTTTTCACACAAAATCAAATACATAACCATTTTTTGTTCTAATTCTTATTTGTGGCTATAGAAGCAATAAAAATAAGGTATATATGTCCCGTGCGCAAAAATGCTGTAGACCGGTGTAATTTATCGAAAATGTTAAAGGATTGGTCGATAAACCTATAATTTCCGATAATCTATCGATTAATCTCACAACTAAACTATTAAGATAGATAATTATCAAATTATCGAGAGAATTTTTAACGACATAAACTTTTCAATGTTTAGGTATACCAGTTTACTTCCAACAAAAGCGATGTAAGAGCATTGTTGAGTTGTCATATGATCACAATTCACAACCTACTGCTGTACTCATTTTTGAGGATTATCGTCCACTTGATCACCTTTGATTTCAGACAACTTGAGCATCAAAAGATCCTGTTTTATTTAAATTATCTCTCGCAATATCAATACCAAAAAAACAAAAATGTTTGCGAGTGTACGCATGGATGATGTAATATATCGATTGAGAATATATTATATCGATGAGATTTATGAAAAAGTATCGATAGTTTTCTCTTGATAATTTCCGCTACTTATTTATTAATCGATAAATATCAGAGATAGACAATTTTCGTGGCAATAATAATCGATTATTATCAGCAGCTAACAATCATTATTAATTATTTTCAAAAGTTATCGATAATTATAAAAAGTTATCGATATTTATCAAACGTTATCGATCATTATCGAAAATTAACCTTACGATTTATCGATAATTGTCGATTATTATCGAAAGTTAACGATAAGTGATTAAAGTTATCGATAATTATCGATAGTTATCAATTAATGATTAATCGATAATTATCAGACTGAACAGACTTATCGATAAATCGATAACAGTTTCATTTATCGCTCAGCTCTAGTAGGTATACGAATTCACGTAAACTGGGACCGATTTATTTGTGCACAATGCTGCATGGTTATAAAAAAGCTGATTCGCGAAATTTAGTTATCAAATGTGAATGTGGAAATGATGTAGCTGCCTGCTTGCAACGGACAATATTTTGCCTTAAAAAATTTTGTGATCGTTTTTTAATAACAAAATCTCCCGCTTTCAGTAAAAATGTGGAACCTGCCTATTTTACTGCCTGTGAATAGAATGTATGAAATTGCATTCCTTCAGGGACAAGGACTGCAAGCTTCGTTCGTCTAAATGTATTATTATTTACATTACAAATTTACGCAATGCTTCTTAAGGGATCTATTTTTAGAACATTCCAATCCTATTTATAAAACCATTTCAATGATAACACAAAAAACATCCGGAGTTCCTGACATCTGACGATTAAAAAGGAAAATATTCGAATGGTCGAAATAAATGGTTTGTAATGCTGCCATCTAATGTCAATGTAACGCTCCACTTTCGATCGCCCACGGACTTTCAAACGATCGAACTGCTCCTAGCGGCGGCCAGTTGGCACATGGTCACAAACTGTTATATGGGATCCGCGCTTCTGATAGTTATAAATTCAATGATATGGCCTTTGGTCCATCAGCGACCCGGTAGTTGTGAATTTCTCGATAATCTTTTGAATTGTCTGTGTGATGTGTAGCACACACAGATGAAGCCTGATATTTTTGTACAAGTGTAACTCGCTGTTCTGTACTGTACGACGCCATGATGACAGTTGAGTAAGTTGACAGATTGAGAATAATGCTTTGTTTTCCGCAAAGATAGTGGGATCTGGTAGCTACGAGTCCTCAAAAAACCCTGGCCTATCCCCTATTGGTAAACTCTTTACATAGAGTGGTTGTTTTTTTTTTGTGAAAAAACGGAATACTAATTCAACTAATTTAAAGGGACAGTTAAGTAGGTACTATGATATTCTAATCTAGTGGCGGCTGGTGGGTCTTGTATTTGGAGGGGCGCTGAGGTAAAGTTCGACATTTATAAATAACAACAGTCAACAGTTTATTTTTACATGCTTATAATTTAGTCTTTTTGAAATCAAATTCCATCCTTCTGTTTTCAGAGCCCTCCTGCACGAGCCGCCACTGTTCTAATCGTTCTTAAAGTCACCGCAATCAGATGAAGATGCAGTGTGCATTGTGGAATGGCATGAGTTCATTACACCACTCAATTGACACTTACCTATACTGCATTCATTATAAGAAGGTAGTAGATGGCGCTGTGTTTGAAGATAAGCACACACAGGGAAAATATAAAACAGCACCAAATTATCGTAAAGTAGAAATATCCAGCACTGCGAACAGAAACAAACGACTGCACGCTTGGACCTTTGACACAGTTAATGACAATTTGATGGTTTAGTTGACACCAGCAACTACCACCGTACAAAAATGGTCACTCGTTTTATTTTTCAGCGTAATACTGACTCGCGTTTTAACCAATCACAGTGAAGGTCAAAGCTTGCCTATGCTTTCTACCACTACCTTCTTAAAATGAATAGAGTATAGCTAGCTACAATTACACAAATTAAAACTTGTAACAAACCCATCTTCCAATAAATTTTATTTTTAATAATGAAAGAAAAATTGAATCTCAGGGTCCAGCTGGGTTCCGAAACGGTGGAGAATCTCAATAATTTCGTAATTCAAAAGAAACAGCATTATTAAACTTTAACTTATACTGGAAATGACCATTAGTTAATCCGAAACAAGAGAAATTTTCCATTGAACAAACAAAAATAAACTTTATCTGAATTTTCTCTACTTTTACTGGAATTTAAATCGACACATAATTTTGTATCGCATCAAAGAAAATCTTCATTTTAACACACATTATCGCAACACAATGACATACAAAAAATAAAATGAGCAATGCTAAAAAGAAAAACCAGTTATCTTAGGGCTAACAGTGCCTTGTTAAAACATTTTACCCCGTTGCAAACGGTCGAATACAAAAAAATAAGTCTCAAATGTACTATCTACTATGTAGTAATTATCCAAATTTTCTTTCTGATGATGGTGAATTTCTTGTCACCCAAACCTTGGTTAAGCTGGTCGCCCCCACAGCCACACCTATTTTAAAATCCACATAATCTGCAAAAAATGCTTAACAATAAACAAATCTTTCTAGCACATTTTTTGTAAAAATTGAACATGGGTGGTACCAACTTCATAGATGTCATTCATGATCAAAGCCTTTTCGAGTCTTCATGTTGTGTTCTGTAGAGTACAAATTGTATGAACATTTTATATCTCAGCAAAATGTTATTTTCAATGAATCATTATTGTTTTATTTTTATTTATACTAGAAAATACTTACAGGTGCAGCTCTGTAGAGAAGAGATGAATAAAGAAACCCAAAAACTTCGAAATGAAAATGTATGCATTTCCATTTCCATATGAAAGCATTAATAGATTTGTTAACAGGTAATACTGTACAAAAAAAATAAACGATTGAACGAAATTATCATGGAACACAAGATGGGAATGCGGAGTGATCGAGATACGTTAGATACCGGATCGCATACCTCAAGTGAACTATTCTTTGGTTTATCCGAAGCCTTGCAAAGCACCGGAATTCATTCGAATCAGAAAAGTTCCGATGATTTACTTCATACTGGTAATTTTGTGACAACTAGGAGACCAGTTGATAATCGTAAGTGTGCAACATTGCCTAAAGTAAATGCAGCAAATGGTATTCAGGAGGATAAAGAATTCCAGAGGAACACTTTGAAAGCAGTACGGCCATCTTTAGGTATGACAATATTAGCAATACCTGTATCGCCAATACCATTAATATTTTTAGCACAAAATTTAGAAATGGAGGATGAAGAAGAGGATCTTTTCAATAATAAGTACCTTGTTGATTTAAAATCAGGTAGATGCTTCCTTCCTAATGAACAAGAAAATAACGTGAGCAGGTTATCAGAATTAAAATGGCGTAATTCATTGTGTCCCCCACATTTAAAATCTTCTTATCCCGCCGAAACACAGTTTAACAGTCCAACACAATTTAAAGAAGAAGAGCTTAAGGTATCTTACGTTATGTGTTAATATTCATTTTAATATAAGTTTGTAATAGCTGGGCGATCTTGATGATAGTATGAGTACAAAACTATTACCTGGAGAGAAACCTCGAAAGAAGGATATCGGAACCACTTCGTATAAAAGGCCAGGACCACCAACTCCGAGCAAAAATGGGGGGCGCGTTTCACTTCAAGGTGGTGAAATTCAGCCGAGGGATGTCTTGCGTGAATGCAATGATGGACCGAAAACTCCAAAACGGAATACTCCTAGTCGTTTAAAAAGTCTTTTTAAGGGGCGCAATTTGAGTACAAAAGATAGTAGTGAAGTAAGTAGAGCTTTAACATTTTTTCTTCTTACTTCACGTGGGTGTTTCTGTAGTGTGGTTGTTATTTCTATTGTAACTCTTTTCTTTCTGATTTTGACTGTCGATATATCCTCATAATGTTTGCACACATTCCAATATACCGGGTGGTGCCTAGCGCGACGCAGCATAGGGATTTCAATGGTAATTTCTTTATAGTCAATTACTAGCTCCCCTAATTATTTTAGAGCAAAAGTCTAAATAAGTTTTTTTTAGAGAAAAAAATACTGAATCTGTTCATGCTATTACTCATAATTTTCCGTTTTTCAAAACCGTAGAAATCGACAAAATAAAAAGGTTCATTTTACAATAAATCAAATATGCCTTGGAATTACCTAAAAAAACAGCGATCACGTTTCATTATTTGCCTTTGACGTTTATTAAATTTATACTTGTTTATAAATTAGTTAAAGAACTGCAAGTGCAATAACGTTCAAAATGTCCGTCAAAACGATCAGGAAAACGACAATACATTCAACGTTTTGGCTGCAGTAGCGGAAAATCCGAATATAAGTTTAGGAACAAATCTGCTTCAAATCAGTTTTTTTTCTTCGATTATGTAGGTACTCTGATTCTCTCTGATAAACAAATAGTATCTGATGCAGATGCAGCATACATTCTCTAAAAAAACATTACCCAATTGCCGCTTTTTCTTGCATCGGATAGTTGTAACAGAATTAAATATGAAAATCGTTCGACGTCAAACAACGATAACTTACATGCGATGCGCTTGTAGTTTGTTAAAAGATTCCAAAGCATCACTGATTTATAAAAATGTAATTTTTTATTTTGTCGATTTCTACGGTTTTGAAAAATGGAAAATTATAACTAAAAGTATGAACAGATGCAGTATTTTTTTTCTCTAAAAAAAACTTATTTATACTTTTGCTCTAAAATAATTAGAGGAGCTAGTAATTGACTATAAAGAAATTAACATTGAAATCCCTATGCTGCGTTGCGCTAGGCACCACCCTGTATACTACTGGTGAATGGGTTTATGTAAAATAAATCTTGTAATTGTTATGTTTGAAGTAGTGTAATTACTAAGTCATGAATGTGATATACTTGTGTTTTTGAATTTATAGTTTGGAAAAGCAAAATTTTTATTTGAAGTACCTATATGTCATCAAATGTTCCATTCCTAATATAACCAGGAGGTATATTAACACTGAATTTATCAATTAAGCAACTGACTGAAGGAATCCTAACATACTTGACTTGCTTGTAGTAGACTCCTATTCCTTAAAAACACAACTCTCCGAGTCTAAAGAGCATGTGCACTGGAAAGAGCCACTACCCCTAAGAAGAGCTGTATTATTACACTGTTAAGGGATTACTACACAATACACACTGCTTGACTATGGAATGTATTATTGTAGAGTGAGAGTAAGATACTTATACCTATAGTGTGATTCACACTTAAAGAGTTTAGGCATTGTCAAATGGGTTGCTGTCTCACAAAAGACCTGAGTTGGAGAAACCTGTTAGCATAACAAGTACAGATCATAAATTAGAACAATACATCTATTTCAAGGAAAGAAGCAATTTCGTTAAAAGTTGGGTAGTTCAACTTCAACAATTTTTGTGACAACACTGTGTAATTTACGTCCATAAGAATAACATTGCCCTATGATTAACATAGGTTAATTTATCAGACTCAGTTTTGCAAGTACCAGTACAAATGTACTGAATTAAATACTTTTTATTAGAATTTAGTATGTCATGCTTAAAAGTAATACAATTTTTAACGTTTATAACGGAAAATTGTTTGTAAACAACATTTTTTTTACTGTCTGCACATTGGGGAAATAGGCTTGCCACATTAATGTGTCTTTTTTCTTAATCAAAGGGGTGACAAGGCCTTGAGGAAAAACTGTATGTCTGTGCCTACCTTAAAGGAACGTAAGGTCCAAGATAAATATTTTGTACATATGTATTCATTAGAGATGGGATGGAGATGGATGCCAAAGTGTTGATACTTACAGGGTTTTTTCATCCTGTTAAATGCATAATTAATAATTATTAATCTTTGATGTCATTGTATGACACTTAAATTGGGCGTTCTAAGAGATGTCATCAATCTAATTGGTAATTTTTTTTTAATTTACCCCCATAATCTGGCAATGTTTGTCTAAAAATACTCTTATTTTCTTGATATTTTATGTTTGGTTTTGTGACCTCATAATGCGTTAGTTTATTTCTTCTTTTAATTTAATTTTGATTTTAATTGTGTACTTGCAGTTTAATGTTAAATACGCCCCCACTACCATACCCACTACCCAGGCAATATCTCTCGGCATTTGGGAGTTTTCCATATTATATATTTTTGACATCAGAAAGAAAAGATTATTCAATTTTTGAAAAATATACAGGGCGTGCTATTAAAAATTTACCAAATTTGCATTTTTTACTAACTGTGGTATTCATTTGGTTTTTTACTTTACATTTTCTGGCGATTTATGGTAAACTCCATAACTTTTGTGTTTAAAGTGTGGAATAACCCTGTACATGTGCTGTTGCCATAATACCTCTGGCACCTCAACCAAGAAAACTCTTGACGATTAATGTACGCATGCGCAGTCTGCGCAATGTCGACTTTCTTATTTATGGAGATATTTCTTGAAAATGTTAACCACAGATGCTTCTAGTACAGATAAATATATTGCATATTGTAAAAATCAGATGTGCGCATGCGCAAACTGCGCAATGTCGAGTTTTTTATTTATGGAGATATTTCTTTGAAATTTTAACCACGGATGCTTCTAGTAAAGACAAGCATATCACATGCTGTAAAAATCAGATTTGCGCACTACGCAATGTCAGGTTTCTTATTTATAGGGATATTTTTTAAAATTTATTTATATTTGTATTTATAATTTAATAAAAGATTCTTGTAGTAAATGCAAACATATCGCATATTTTACACATGCGCAACGCTAAATTTCGTATTTATAAAAATATTTATGCCATAACTTATTTTCCTTTGCACAAATAAATAGTCTGTCATAAGAACTTTCGGGAAGTACCTACCTACTGATCAATTCATGGAAAATGCATTAATGAGGTGAAAACGTGTTTTCATTTTTTAACTATACAAGCGAAACAGTAGCAATAAAACTTAAGTAAGAAATTAGTACCTATTCATATTTTTTCTGATTCGCAGCTGTATGTGTACCCTAATTATTAAAGGCATAGGAGCAAGTCGAGTAAAATGATGAAGTTAGGATAATTGTCTAATAGTGTTATTTAAGCAAATATCATACTGTCCATCTAGTTTTGAGAAGTGATAGATGAATAGTGTAAACATGAAACAGCATTCTTGAGATTGTGCTTTCACTGTCAACGGCCAATGCTGACCAAAGCAAGGGTATGGAAGTCAAGTTGTGTACGTTGGATTTAAATTATTATTTTCAAAAAAGTATGTCTCTACAAAATTTGTAACTAAGACAAGTTAGATGAGCTTTTAAATATTTGTTTGTGAAGTTAACTTCAGTGCAGATCTAATAAAATTATACTTAACGTATTGGAATCATCAAGAAAGACAAGACGCCAGGTAGGTTATCTGCATTTATTAATTGAAAACAAAATTTTTACTTCCTAATCATGGGGTCGTAAGGAAATATAAGTACCATTTCTCTTCTCAGCCTGATGTTATTAATATAATTTTTTGGGAGCAATGATAGCAAGTGGAAGTGTACCAACTTCTTCATCTATATACCCTCTCTGCTAAACGCGCATGATCTTGACGCTCTATTATTGTCAGTTGGATACAGATTGTAATAAACAAAACTTTAGCATTTAGGTTGAACACATGCTATATATTTTCCAATTCGCACCAATTATACTGAAATTGAATTTGTGGTGTTTTGACTTTTCATGTACCTACTTGTAGTGTTAAATGTCTGCATTTTATCTATACATTACCAAACGTAAATGCTTTATTTTCTAACTAACTCTTTAGACTTGATGTTTTAATTCTGATGAGCATGTTTGTAAATTGCAACTTCTACAGTTTCGCCTAATTATAATTGTTTTATTTCAGAATCAACATGGAACACCAAGAAGTAAACGTTTAAGTATATTCCGTAAGCAAAAATAATATGGTCTATCAGTATTACCCTTTTCTTAAAATAGTTTCGTTCTAATATATCATAGTATTATTTTTTTAACAAATAAATCTATTTTTGTAAGTTTTTAATAAACGGTCATTACCTTTGAGTTTTGCATTAAATTTTACCAGAAAACGTATTTTAATATAAAATTTCTATTTTTATATAGAACTTTTGATTAATGTCAATCAGTCAGTGATGACAGGAGTCATTATATGCGACCGGTAAAGTGACGATGCGGCCGGTAAAGTGACAAGCGGCAGGAATTGTAGCCTGTTCTGCCTCTGTCATGCAAACCAGAGAATGAGTACCTTAGACCATATAGTACATGGACTGCTAATTGTAACTAAAATATGGTCAAGGACATCGCCTGGGTATGTGAGTTTCAGGGTAAACGAGTCTGTCCGAAGTTGTCCGATGAGACGCGATTTGAGACTGTCAACGAAGCTGTCAACCTATAAATTAACAAACTTCACTTAATTAACCGCCTAGATATGCCAAAAAAGCAAACTTGTGGACTGATAGAAGATAATCAAGAGTATTTAAAGCTTCCCGTACTACGCAGTTACTATAACAGCTACTCTTTAGTTTACCCTGAGATTCACATCCCCACGACTACGGTGCCCTCTATCCGTGACCATCCATTCTGTATTGAAAGCATTGGGATAATAGCAGTCCATGTACTATATGGTCTAAGGTGGGTACTCTTTGATGGAAATCAAAATTTCCTGACAGAAAGTAGGCATGAAAATGAAGGTTTCAGGACGATTTTGGGTAAACAAAATTAAAACACACAAAGCTCAATCCCTCGGCTCCTAGAGGAAATAAGTAAATTCAGAAACTACGGTTTCTTAGTAACGATGCGTCCAACTATTCGTTTCGTATATATACAGGGTGGACATCATATAAGACGGGTATACTTCAAGACTGGAAACGGGTGCTTTGTTACGCTAACACAAAAATAAAGTGAATAATAAATTCAAATAACGTGTTAACGGATGCCGAACAATTTATTTTGAAAGCAAAATGCTAATTATTGTAAACATTAAAAAAATAATAAATAAAAAGTGCTAAATATAGTTATGAGTAGAATATTCTTCGAAAGAAAATTAAACGCTGTCTGAATATACAGTGGGCTTGGATGTTGATCTAGCAAATTAACAATAATAATGGTCATAGTTCCGAATGAGGATTAACTGTCATTGATCTCTCATTGAAGGTTCCAGCAATTTTTGATTGGGTTTTTCAGGAAGTGCTTTATTGAGAGGTACAAATTGGTGAACCACAAACTAGTTATTTTAACTAGATATCTCGAAACACAATTTATGTTTAAGACCAAAATTAGTGAGTGTTATAGAATATAACAGAAGAAAACTTAGATGTGATTATAGAGAGCACAATAAACAGTGAAATCGGGGACAAAGGAGAGTTGATGTCATCGATGAAAAATGTTGATGAATTTGTGGTCTAGTACGTATTTGTGCTCCATCAGTAATCCATTTTTGTCAGTTCAAATGTTGAAGTAGACCAGCTCGTGAGGCCGTTACGTGTTTAAGAACACAGTAAATTTTAAAAACTAAACTCCTTTTTTAGTTGTTTGAGATTTTAAATACACTCTATTATGCAAACAAGTAATTGAGTAAATATACCATTTTACTTGTTTTATTATAACGTTAGTTCGGTTTACAGAATTTTTTAAAAGGCTAAAAGTGCTAAGACTTATTTATTGCTAGGTATAGTATAGGTGATCTGTTGGGTTTCAAGTCAACAGTTTCACTTGTACAAACAGAGAAAAATATGCTAGAAATGATCCAATCTACCAATATTAATTTATTTCACAAAATTACAAATGTTAAAAGCAGTGATTATACAGTAGAAAATTTGGATCTCACTTAAAATACTACTAACAAAGCAAAAACACCACATACCAAAGCACAAGGGTATGCTATAAGGGGCCTTTGATCTTTATCTCCTGAAATTGCAATAAAAAAACGTGACGCAGAAAAACTGGCCCATAATACGGATGTTAGAGCCATTGCAATTCCAGCAGGCCCACGTAACGACACAAAAACACCAAGTAATGACAATCCCACAATAGGTAGCAAGCTATATCCCAGAATACTAGTTACACAAGTTAAAGTAAATGCACTATTAGTCGTCATTAATGATAACAAAAAGTACATCATTATGCAAGACATAGCAGATAGTCCGTAAATATAACCAAAATAAACTTTACTACCCGAAACAAACAATGATATTGCCAATATAATACAAAAACATAATGGTCCAGCCAAATCTGTTCCTTTAGTTAAAAACTCTGAATCGTCCGCCAAACTGTGACCCCGAAAAGGATTTAATACAGCAATCATCTTTTCAAGAATGCGATCTGGAAAAATTTCTAATTCTTCTAATAATGGTGGTTCATTAAATTCGTTTGAATCCGCATAGTTAACATCAGTGTAACCGTAATCCATAGAACTTGGTTCTAAAATTGAAGTAACTTTGCTTGCTGCATATGAATCATTGTAGTACTGTTGTTGTTGACTGTCAAACGACTGAAAATCTACATGAAGACTTTTGGTTTTATGTTACGCACTTAAACTTTAATAGACTTTACCTAGTTGTTGTTGTTGCAGTGAATTATATTCTGAATCGTAATATGAATCGTTTGGTCTTTGGTCAGTCCAGTACATGTTACTTTCGTTCACGTTTGAGTATCCAGACATATTTTTGATTTTTTATAAATAGAGATGATGATGTGTAAGTTTCACGTAAAAAATTTTAATTCTTTAGTCTTTTATCGAAATAATTTTTAGAGGTTAGGATCGATTAATAAACAAAAGTGACGTGACGTGCCAGAATCATAGAACACGTTTAAGCTCAGAAAATATACACTATTAATGTATACAGGGTGAAGGATATTTCATGTTGCTACTAAAGTCACTAGATATAGAAAGTACCGCAATCATCCGCCATTTTTGGGCAAATTTGCTGCCAACTTAAAAAATTGACAAATAAAATCTATCAATCGATCAATAATAATATTTCGTTTCGTGGCTGTGCAATGAAACAAGCACAAAATAAACATTACTTCCAAATTCCAAGAAGGATTAAAAACTGTGCTGTAAACAGTAATGCCTGCACCTTATTGTATATGTTGTAATCTTTAAATGAGTGTAGGTATCTATAACCAATTTTTTTGTACAGCAGTGTATGTAATTGCTTCTTCGCGAACAGAACAAGATATAACCATTGCTTACCTGGTGCAATAGCTGTTTGTTTCAAGACACCGAGGCTTAGTATGAACATATTTGCAGAGTGGTTTACTTTGTGCAATTTGTAATTTGTGGACTCCGAGTCCACAAGGTGCATTTCAAGATAAGGAGTCCCTGTACAAAATCAACAACGCCAGTCGCTGTATGAGGATGTTGTGCTTACTGTACTTTTTGTATAATGTAGCAAATAGACAACATTTCTTCAATAAATGTTTGTTAGTTTTTACTTTCATATGTATTAAACTACTGTGGAGTGTCTGCGAGTCCGCAGCGAGTGTATGTATGTTCCAAAATAGAGCGTATGTTCGGGAACGATATTGAAGTTAAACCATAATTGTTTCCTTTTCGCATTTCTTTCACCACTTGATAAAGGAAACAACTTCACACCTTTAACATTACTTTTTTTACAACCTGAAACACAACAACCCCCTATATATTTGATTTATTAGGAAAAGAAAATTCAAATTTCATATACTTGACAGATATCTCCAAACAGGTGGAACAATCCCTAACATTAAAGTTACTAGAATCTGGTAACTTCCGCCATTTTTGGTCAAAAATCATGCGTTCTTTCTCTAACACACGAACGCAATGGATTGCGGTACTTTCTATATTTAGTTGCTACGCTACGCCCATTGATTATACAGTGTGTATAATCAATTCTACGACACACTGCCGGAAAGTGGGTTTAAGCATTGTATTGGTTTGAGTATTTGGAAACATTAGGCGCTTTCTTTTGATGATCCAAAGATCATGATCTTTGTACGTTTGAAACAAATTAACGGTATGCAACCAACATTACACGAATACGCGAAAATCTATAAGCGTTATACTTCTTTCTATGATTACTTATTCAATCCTTGCAAGCAATTCAGTATCCAGTTATTTTTTCATCCAAGGTTTAATATATCAATTATTAAAGTATGGGAGTCCGGAGCAAGGTTGTTTTATTAGAAAGGTTGTCTGGTGGTCTAAACCAATAGAATGCTTGCATTTTGAAGGCGGGAAAACGTCATCCAGAATTCACATTTAAAATTGCTCATAGGTTACAATGCTAATAAAAGGGGTAAAAAATTTAGTTTTTGCAGTATATTTTTGGATTTATATGGGTATATGTATATAAGGGTGGATCTTATATTGGAAATCTTGGAAGTTTATCTACTTCCACCTTTGAAAGCAATCAAAGTATTGCAAAAATGAGTGTGGTGCGTAAGCTGTTTTACATTGCACGAGGATTTGTGAAAATGTAATCAAATTAATTTTAGAGGTGGAAATGGATAAAATTCCGCGTTCTACAAAATAGGAACCACCCCTATATACCAATACCTAGCCTTTGGCAATTAAAACTCTAAACATTCTTTAGCGGATGACGCCAAGTAAAATGCTGTTGCGTTTTATGGAAAATGTATATTTATATTATGTACAAAATGGTAACCGAGGTGCACACGGCGAGCTCTGTCGTTGGGGTGAGCCCAGATGCAGGTCTTCTGACTGATGGAGTGTGGCGCGAGGTCGAGCTGGCAAGACGACCTGGTTCTGCAGGTGGAGAGCTTTTTGTTTCTTGAAGTGCAGTCGAAGCAGAAATTGCGTTGCACTTTGCAGAGTTCGTGGCTCCGCTTTTAAACGTTTGCGGCCAGGGACGCTACGCTTTCATCGGTTGACCGTTTTGACCAATGAGGGCGCAGCACATTTTAGTTTGCTGCCGGATGTGAAACATTTTCTTATCCATTCTTTAAGAACGGTAGGGTCCTTGGGAAACGTAAAAACCGAGATTTTATTTACACCAGGATGAGCAATTTTAGTGTTACCGCCACTCATCTAACAAAATACTTAATTATAACATACAAAAGTGCATATAATTGATAAACTAACCTTTCAATCACGGCTATGAAAACCCACAAAATTCACAAACTAAATGTATTTATATTGCACCAAACAGGTATCTACAGCTAATATATGTCCTTATGCACTTCAAAATTCAACAAATTTTAAACAAATAAACTATAACACAAGAAAAATAAGCACTCGCGCGACTACAAACAACCGTTGAACGTCGATGTCTGAATTCTCGATGACGTATACATTCCGTCCCTCCCGCTTCCGCCCACATAGTTACCAGGTAACCTTTGAAATAAAATAACCTTGAGTCCGGAGTAGAAAAGTTTACATGAAACAGTTGAATACAAAACTGAATTGCCGACATATACAGGGTGATTCCTATAGTACCTGCCACCGTTTGGGAGCGTATAGGGGGTGCCTAGGGGAGTATTTTGATATAGGACACTTGGGGTCGGAAATCTAAAATAAGGGCGCCAGAACCAAATTTATCTTCTGGAATTTCACGCCTGTATGTAGGCAACCCAACCGACCGACGTTTCGCGCGGAGCGATGCAGAGCGAGTTAGCGCGAGGAAGCGACATGGGAGGGAAGGAGGGAAAACGACAGTCAAAAGCAATAACGTTTACAAGTGTTCAACGTGGCCACCGTTGTTCTCAATGCACTTCCTACATCTAGCCAACTATTATTATACTATTGCCATAGTGTTTATTCACTTGATACGCGTCGTTGCAGACGGGATTTCGTGGGTTTAAACAAAATTCTGATCAAGTGTCAGCCACACATCGCCGCCTGAGATCGCTCCGTGTGCACCGCCGGCCGGTTGGGTTGCCTACCTACAGGCGCGAAATTCCAGAAGGTAAATTTGGCTCTGGCACCCTTATTTTAGATTTCCGACCCCAAATGTCCTATATCAAAATACTCCCCTACGCACCACCTACACGCTCCCAAACGGTGGCAGGTACTATAGGAATCACCCTGTATGTATAAAAGACACTACATATATGATTGCGAACATAACCTCTCAATATAAATATAATCTACTTTTTTATTTATCAATAAAAATGGTAATGTATTTGATCACATTCAAAATGTAATATAGGTATTGTTCCAGTATTCATTACTGCATAAGAAGGAGTCTGCTCATAACGACAGTATATGGAGTTGTGCATGGGGCCGATACTCGAAAGAGAAAACTTCGAATGATCAAGATGGGGATCACTCAAGGTAGATATAATACCCTAGAGGTTGTTAACGTGGAGTGCATTCATTAGCTTCATCTGGGACTAGGAATTCTTTACACAATACTTTGTTGGATAAGAGATTTGTAGCGCATTTTCACTTCAAGGAAAAGATACAGTACTTATTGCTATACAGAATCTAGAAACTGTATAGTGAATTTACATGTGTTAATAAGTTTTGGATTCAATGATCGATTATATGATATTGTCTCTAACAAACGGGTGCAATCGTTGTTGTTCATTTAGTTGTTATAGATTATTTGATTTGGACTTGGATATGGACTGTTAGCTTTCATATTCATTGTTTTACTTTCTAAGTTTCTAATGTTTTTGTGTATTTAGGGATTCAATAGCCTCCGATGATGGTGGCAGAGATTACATTGTCACAGGAGGGGTTGACGATCTGGTCAAAGTATGGGAGTTAGAAGATGACATCTTGAAAATGAAACATGAATTGGAAGGCCATTCTTTGGGCGTCATATCAGTAGCTGTTAGTAATAATGGGAAATGTATGTATTTTACATAAATTGCTTGTTACGCGACTGAAGTGTGTGGTTTTATTAATGTTAATTTGGAATTTTTTAAACATGGTAAAACCGTAATATTTTTAGAATGGAGAACATTAATTGTGTTTTGTTGTACAGTCATTATTACTTGAGTTATTACTTATTATAAATTGGTGTACAGATGGAATAGGTTTCAAGTTTTTGAGAGAATTTTAAGGTTTTGTTTTTTTTCTGTACATTAAATAGGAAGGAATCTTATGGGAGGGCATTTAGATGGGCTAAATAAACGATTTGATTCTAAATAAAAATATAAATTCACGGAAAATTCACGCAAATATTAGATTGCACTTTTCATTGTAAATGCGTTAAGAAGTTCAGTAGGTTTTAAGGTTTTAGAATATTATTTTTAGAAGATTCACAATTTAAAATTTTTGTAATCTTAAATGTAAGTTCTTTCTTTTAGGAATCGTCTATGAATTTTGTTTTAATATCTCTAGAATCTTGTTCGTATCTATTTTTAAAATCTTTTTAGAATCGTTTGAATTCTTATCAAAGGTTTCATAGTTCTTCGTAGGACTATCTTAGCACGTTCATAAAATCTTATTTATTTTTATTTTATTAGTCTTTATATTTAAGTGGGCGGGGTTTCAGCCATGACTACTCTACTAACCCACTACTACTACCCACTATACATTTACAAATATCCATGCCCGAACCCGGATTTGCACCAGGGACACAGGGTGAGCTTCAACTCCATTGCGCCAACTTCTTAGAACCTCTGTTACTTCTGTTAGAATATTTTTATATTTTTAGAATCATCACAACCACCTCAATCTTTTAACTTTTTTGAAATTTCTTAGAATTACCAAACAATCTTCTGGAGTTTTTGCAGAATTCTCTTAAGATCGAGTTGGAATCTTCAACATTTTCTTAGAATTTTTGTTATCATACCTAGACTTTAATCGAATGGAGCGTGTTTTTATTGCAAAAAATACCCAAAGGTATGGCTTATTTTTTATGTCAAACTGTTAACTTTGCAAAATACTGACTCCTTTAGAATCTGTTTGGTATTTTTATAACTGCAGTCTACAGTCTACAGAACTTTCACAACTCTTAGAATTGTTTTAAAACCTTACAGTAATCTACCTTAGTCTTAATTCGTAATGTTTGTGTCCGAAAGATCCCATTTTGGTATTCCCCGGACGAATGCGTGAGCGTGTCATCCTGGGTAAAGTCACTAGATTTCTAAAAACTCAAAACATTTCGCTGCTTCTGAAATATCGGCACAATCCACGTAGGTACACACTTTCGATTTCCATGAGCAAAAGGTTCTCACTTTATGGCTATCAAGCAATTGTTATCTTGTTCCCTTTAATACAAAGCACTGCGAAGAAGCAATTACATACACTGTTGTAAAAAAAAATTGGTTATAGGTATCTACACCTCATGTAAAGATTACAACACTTACATATAGGTACAATAAGCTGTAGGCATTATTGTTTACAGCACAGTTTTTAACCATTCTTGGAAGTAGTCAGGATAATGTTTATTTTGTGCTTGTTTCATTGCACAGCCCCGAGACAAAATATTTTTATTGATCGATTGATATTTCGTATATATTTTTATAAAACATAAAGCCAGCCCCACATTACATGGCAAACTACACGAACGTTGGTGATGCGTCGAGTTTGCCATATAATGTGGGGCCGGCTTAAGAGTACAATGCAAAGTTAGGTTATAAAAGAATAACAGCTGTTCAGATTTTAGTTGACAATTTTTTAAGTTGACAACAAATTTTGCCCAAAAATGGCGGATGATTACGGTACTTTCTATATCTAGCGACTTTAATCCTGGGATAGAAAGAAAGCCACTTTGTTAACATTCTTTACAATATTAGAATGGGTATTGCTGGGAGTCGTTCTCTAATTGAGGCATCTTTGTGGAAACCAATGAACCATCTATTTTTTAATGCGTTCCTTTTAAATTAGCTATAATAAAAATATATAATCAAATTAACAAAAGCGAACAAAAACAATTACAAGTGAGTACATTGCGAGAGCAATAGCAACTAAAAGGGCGAAGTTCAGATAGTAGTTACCCAAGCTATTACTTCTGCTCTTACACTTAACCCATTTTATATAAATATAATATATAATTATATTGTTTTATCATTTTCCTCCTTTTTCTAACACATTTGGAATTTTTAGTATGTGCTTCGAGTTCACTAGATTCCAGCATGAGACTATGGGATTTACAGAAAGGAGAAAAAATTACAACAATTGACTGCGGTCCGGTAGATTTATGGACGTTAGCTTTTAGTCCAGATGATAAACATATTATCTCAGGGTCCCAAGCTGGTATAGTGTCTGTATACAGTGTCGAAACTGCCAAACTGGAAAAATCTTTGGATACAACTAGAGGAAAATTTACTCTCAGCATAGCATATGTGAGTATTTTATCTGCAAATTTTACTACTAGAGAAATTAAAATTTTCAGAGTCCAGATGGAAAGTATATAGCAAGTGGAGCAATTGACGGATTTATAAATATATTTGATGTTGATTCAAATAAACTTTGTCGAACACTAAACGGACATGCAATGCCCATACGGTCACTGTGTTTTTCGCCTGACTCTCAACTTTTGTTGACTGCTTCGGACGATGGACATATGAAACTTTATGATGTGTAAGTGTATTTATTAGTCGGTATTTAGTATTTCATAAACAATAACAAAGATGATTTCAGCCAACACGCAAATGTGGTCGGTACTCTATCGGGACATGCATCATGGGTTTTAAGCGTTTCTTTTTCACCAGATGGAAAATACTTTGTGTCAGGCAGTTCCGATAAAACAGTGAAGGTGTGGGAGGTGGCTACAAAACAGTGCATTCATACTTTTAATGAACATAACGACCAGGTACTAAATAGTGGTTGTGTCAATGTTAAATTATACACTTTATTTTAGGTGTGGGGAGTTAAATTTAACCCTGACAATAACAAGATTTTATCTGTATCGGAAGATAAATCTATGAATGTTTATAATTGTCCTGCAGAATAAAGTAATGAAAACGTTTTTATTTAATTGTATACACTTACCTATATTTTTAATTGTTTTAAAGCCTTTAGATTAACATAAAACAAACAAAAATATGAATATGAATTTTATCTGTTTTATTTTTTGTGAAGTGGCGAGTGAGCTAGGGAAATGGAAATTCTAAAAGATTATTTTGTTATGAAAAGTCTAGGATTTAGACACTTATAATTTTTTTATTATGTAAATATCAGAAAAAAAGCAAACCTAAAAGCGCCACTTGTAATCGAAAACTACTTGTTTGAAGGAAAATCGCAGGTGAAAACACACTATGAATAAAATCTAATGAACAAATAATTGACAATATCGCTTAAATTAGAAAGGCGTAAACCAGAAAATATATAGGTGCATTTATACATACAGGGTGTTTTGTTTAAGATGGGCCATACGACAATGTAAAGGCGTTGAGTTATTTAAAATGGGCCATAGGGAAATTTACCTACATTGCATCAATTGTTTCAGTCAGCTTCCTTGCGAATCATCTACCACAGACAGTACTGCAGAAATTGTTTCTAAATCAAATTTATTCAAATCAGATATAAACGTATAAGATTACAATCGGTACTCGAATTGTTTTCCATCGGCAGCCAAACAATACCCGATACTCGGCATTGAATAGCTCGCATACCAATCAGCTACTATGCCCACTCTTGTAAAAATTGTACTACATGAACACCTTTTCGAGCGGCGGAATACATGTTGCTGCTTCGTTAATGCAGTTTGAAGGATCAGATTGAGAACTGTCAGTGAAATAACTAAGCGCAAGGCCAAGATTTGAGAACAATTGGCGTAATGTAAATTTCCCTATGGCCCATTTTAAATAACTCAACGCCATTACATTGTCTGTTGTCACACACCTACGGTTATGATCATTGTATAAATATACAATGGTTATGATGTATGCTAGGTATGTGCTTTCTATGGCCCATCAAAAACACCCTGTATACCCATTTAGATCAGGTTAAAATCGAGCTTTAAACAATCGCGTATGCCCAGAAGTAGTATGGAACAATTTTTTACTACGTAGAAGAGGAACCTGTCTATCGAACGAGAGAGATTATCACCAGTTATACGAGCGAAGGGGCAAAATGTTTATATAATTATATGTATAGCATATGCTCATTTTTATAAAAAAGAGGGTGTTAAAACTTGCGTGCTTCTTACAACATTTTTGCCTGTTTTGATCCTTTTGTTTTTTGCAATTTCATGTCTTTGAATTTGATGATCAGCATCTATCCCGATTAAAATGTTATTAACGAGGCCGGGACATTTCGCCGAATGCCCACAACGCCGACACGATTTTTTGAAGGTCCATATCGCCGACTAGGTACACTACGCCGACCGTGCCCACATCGTCGACAAGTGTGCAAGGGACACAACGCCGACCATGCCCACTTCGCCGACCGTGCCCACATCGCCGACAAGTGAACAAGGGACACTAAGCCGAACGTGACCATAACGTCGACTCATACAACACTTCTTAATCAAGCTGGACGGTGTGCAACACCAAGTAGCTTTTGACGTTAGGTTATTGTAGGTTCAGAATATTTTTTTAACTTTTTCCGAACTACAGACTCATACGAAAATTCTTAATCAAACTGGACGGAGTGTGAAGCAAAGCAGCTTTGGATATTAGGTTATTTGTAGGTTTAGGACATGTTTTTTAAACTTTTTAAAATGCAAACTCATACACTGGACAGAGTATGAGGGGCCTGGATTTTCGAACCGTCGGCGTTGTTGGTCACGTTCGGCTTAGTGTCCCTTGCACACGTTTCGGCAATGTGGGCACGATCGGCGTAGTGTCCGTCGGCGAAGTGGGCATGGTCGGCGTTGTGTCCCTTGCATACTTGTCGACGATGTGGGCACGGTCGGCGTAGTGTCCGTCGGCGTAGTGTCCCTAGTCGGCGATATGGACCTTCAAAAAATCGTGTCGGCGTTGTGGGCATTCGGCGAAGTGTCCTAGACCCTTATTAACACACAAACCATGTACTTACAGAAGACATACGGTTAGGCAACACACCTTACCTAAACAAGATAGCACGACGAAAAGATAGGATAAGGACCCTGTATACAGCCAAAGTGTAACTATGGGCAAAGAGTAAGGGTACTCTTTGCTATGGGTACTCGTTGATACAGCACAGCCAGGGGTGGTTTTATACATCTACTCGGGAAGGGGGGGGGGGGGGGGGGAAAAAAAGCTACAGAATTGCAGATGCAGAGGTGCGCGGGAATTTTTTTTAAGTATCTTTGACCCAATTTCAGCCGAAGCCGAGCAAATCGCGAATAAATAATAATACAGACAAAGAGAGAATCTAAAGTTCGAATGCGATCATCCGGATCATCGTCGAACTGTCGAACTGCTGATTAGGGTTGTTTTACATTGCAGCAGATGAGCAGACGTGTTATTAATATGCATTTATTGAAGTAAGCAGCGCGGTGGTAATCAGTGCTGAGTGCAGTCGTGAGTCGCAGTCTGGACAATACACGATTCCGCCCCCGCCGGCATTATTTTGTATTTTATTCAATTTTACTTTTCCGTCAGGTGGTTTGTGGTTAGGTCTATTTAATTCGATTATTATGTAAACCTAATGAAATAAAAAAACAATTGAGCAGTATGTTTAGGGGGGGGGGGGGGTATTCGTGAGTCTGCTCGTTGATCAGAAAGAAACTGTAAAATAACTTGTAACTTGTTTAAATACATACAAATAAATGATTGCTCGATTCCAATTGTCAACGAAAACCAATTCACATTTTATGGAATTTTAATACACTATCAAATGTTCGCGCTTTTTTTCAATATTTTTTTAAGAGCTATTATCAACGTTTTCATTTGGTGTATAACTTATTTTTTCGAAAAACAACCTTTTAGAATTCGTACCGCAACTCGCAAGAAGTACCCGCAGCGCCTAGGTAATATGACCTGAGGCGGCAGACGGTCGATTTTAGCATACTCGGATAATGCAAAATGGAACTCCGCATCGGTTAAAATTAAAATACTATGCTTAGGCGTGAAGTAAATCCGGCACTGCAGTGAATCCCATAAAGTTGCTTGACATCAAAAGATTGGAAATGAATGGATTAACTAAAACTTTTGTTACCTTTGTGTATTTGTAGGTAGGTACATATAATTTCACGTATAAAGTGATCTACCTACTATTTACAATTTACATACCTAAATAATAAATAGAACGGAGAAATGTAGCTTACACTTGCACGCATATATATATATATATAACAGTCCAATTTATTTCTAGGTACTTCACCTTCTTCTACTTTTTACGTAGTTACTATCTTCGTGTGTATAATTCATGCTCCAAAACTTTACCTTTACATAGCTGTTCAGTAACATTCTCCTTTTTTTTGGTCTTCAAAAAATTGGCAACAACTGCAAGATGCTCTTCTGCCAAAGCGTGCAATACGTGATAAATTTCTTCGTCTTTTTGAATGCAGTATTCTAAATCAACCCAGTCTATCTTATACATTTCGCATATTTCCAAAGTAATTACAGTTGCGATATAATGCTCATTATGCAAAACCAATCCCAGTAAACCCAAAGCAAATCCGTCTTGCATATGTGAAGCTTCGGACCCATCTGCCAAAATGAACGCAATGGTTCCATACAAAATGAAACGTACTGCGTCATAAGGTTGTCCGTGTTTGAACACGATATCGTTTTTGAGAAAAACTTCTCGCTTAAAGTGGCTTATCAGCAGACCTACAGTGCTCTTAGAAAATGCTTGGAACATTTTTACTTTTTCTACTAGTCTTTTACAATCATGGAGAAATAGTTCAGCTTTCAGATGACCAGACAAAGTGTTTAGAATAATTTTTTCGTGAAAATACCGCTTCTGGTAATTGTGCTCCAAACATTGAATCATCCTGTTTTTCATTTTCACTGGCATTTTCTTTCTATTGCCATACTCAAGGAACTGGTGAAGTAAGTCTTCGTATTCCGTTTCAGACGCGTAAGAGGTCTTTACAATCAAAAATATTCTCGCCGTTATGAAAGCAACAAGGAAAAACCCAATCACCATTGTAAGTGAAAAAATTATATGATCCAAGGGTTCGTTCTCGACCACTCCTTCAAGCGAAATCCCATAGACGTGACAGAAAGCAGCGCGTAGTGATTTTGAGTACGCACTCGGTGCATCAAGGGTCTTTGAATGGATGCTGATGTTATTGCGGTATATCCACCACGATTTATCGAATTCGTAGTTAACATAATGGAAAATCACTTTGGGTATAAGATATACATAGCACGCGCACCAGTGCACCACGAATAACGATTTAAGTGCTAAACAGATAAACTCGTGCATTAAAAAAGTAATACCAAGTTTCGAAGTAATGCGTTGAAAATATTGAATTGCGGATTTAAGCCTTATGAATCGAACCATGTGGATAAAATATGAAGTAATGCAAATAACTGGATACTTTTTCTCACGATTTCGAAACATTATCATTGCCGCAGCAAACGGAAGACTTCCAACGCAATCAAAAATGAAGAAAGTCGACAAATATTTTTTTGCAATCTTTTTCCATTCCAGTTCGACTTTCTTCGTTTGTTCCTCCATTACTCCAATGAAGAAACACATCACAACATTCAGCATTAGAAATACTTGACATACCAAATCCAAAGTATGCCAAAAATTGTAAAAGAAGTTCAACGGTTCTTTATTAAATGCCGAGAAGAGTGGGCTGAAGTAAAAGTCAAAAAACCATATTATGCTCATTATGACTTCTCGATAAAGCGCAACTTTACTAAAGGGGTGAATTGTGTATGGTGGATAGCGCATTTGCCTTCTCGTTTCTGACAATATCATCGCGTTACTTTTAAAGTAAAACTTACAATCGGGATGTTTAGCTGATATCACCAACTGCTTTAGTAACACTCTCTTCCATTTCGTAAATAAACTGGATCCTGGTCGTAGTTTTGGTAATCCACTGTCTAAGGTCTCCGTTAAACCACACTTATGGTAATTCGTCGAAACTCGTGTTGACATATTTATTTAACTGTCAAGCTGAAGCCTACTCTACTCATATACCTATCACTGGTTACTAAACCTTCAAAACACAAACAAAATAATCAATGAGAAATATAGGTAGGTACAGAGAGTATCTTCTGTTTGTGTAAGATGTAAAAGTGTGTTGCCTAACCATAGGGGTAGATTATAATATCATCAAAGGCTCTTCCTTATTTATTTAAATTTTTACTTTCCGGTAAATAGGTACTGAAATTATACTATCGCTACCTAGTTGACCATCTACTTTCTAACTTGTCTCTTATCTAACCAAAAAGGATTGTCACTAACCCTAATGTTCCATTTTTATACATAACTCACAATTTTCAAGTCTCTTGTCTTCTAGATGGGTTACATTATGATATTGATATGATTACCTCATATTGCGCAATCCCGCAGTAAGGAGAATGTCACTAAATATTCACGACAATCCCTTCACGATCCGGCAACAGCCTGATAATCCACAGGCTGATCAACCTCAAGGTTAATATACCAACCTTTGATCAACCTATAGCTTCTCGCGGTACTACGAACTCTTATAATTACCCTTTACGCAGTACATAGAGGGTGATTCCTATAGTACCTGCCACCGTTTGGGAGCGTATAGGGGGTGCCTAGGGGAGTATTTTGATATAGGACACTTGGGGTCGGAAATCTAAAATAAGGGCGCCCGAACCAAATTTATCTTCTGGAATTTCACGCCTGTATGTAGGCAACCCAACCGACCGACGTTTCGCGCGGAGCGATGCAGAGCGAGTTAGCGCGAGGAAGCGACATGGGAGGAAAGGAGGGAAAACGACAGTCAAAAGCAATAACGTTTATTTCATACTGTCCGGTAGATGTTCGATTACACTATCATTTTGAGTCCGGTAGGTGAGTTATTACAGCATCAGAGCCGGTAAGTGTCGCTAAGCAACACTTACCGGACCGTTATTTGTATACATCAAATTTGACATCTTCACACAATTAATTGAAAACCCCAACATAAATTTGACTGTAATTCTTTATTTCAAACATTAACATTGATTGTAATGAAACAATTTGTATTGCCTTCAACACTACGCCTGGGTTATTACTGGATGTCGAGTTAGTAATGTTTGATTCCTTCTGCTGTAGAACTTCAATGAAATGTTCGCCGCCTTGTATCAGTTGTATCATACGGGCAATCTTAACTTTTCCTTCTACCGAGCCTTCGATGTATTTTTCTGCCGTCGATGAGCTTTTCCATGCTCCATGACGCTTTTAACACCGAAACCCAGGCAAAAAAATCTCAATTCAAAAACTTACTGCGTCCAAAAAGTATGCCAACATGACTTTTTCCTCTACTTGTTTCGCCCCATGTTCGTTGCTCAATTGGCAAAACACTTAGTACTCTTTTTCATACCTTGCGGCCGACTTCTTAGGAACCAACTTTTCGGTTGCTTCATGAGATTTCGACAGGATTGTATCGGGAAGAGTGGAACATCCCACAACGTTTATAACGTCAATTTTTCAGTGAAAAAAATTCAATTGTCAACAAACTACAAACTATAGCAACGGCCGTTGCCACAGAAAAAAAGGTAATGCGATTTTTACAATATGATGAAATTTTGTAATCTTTGAAATGAAATAATGATACAAAACAGACTTACAGTATGAAATAAAATACTTTACGATATACGTCTGGTAGTACTTGTAACAGTACTCGTTTAAGACATTCTTGACTCGGCTCCTGACGTCGCCTCGTCCATAATGTCTAACTCGTACTGTTACAAGTAACCTACCGGACTTATAACGTAAATAACTATTACAAGTGTTCAACGTGGCCACCGTTGTTCTCAATGCACTTCCTACATCTAGCCAACTATTATTATACTATTGCCATAGTGTTTATTCACTTGATACGCGTCGTTGCAGACGGGATTTCGTGGGTTTAAACAAAATTCTGATCAAGTGTCAGCCACACATCGCCGACTGAGATCGCTCCGTGTGCACCGCCGGCCGGTTGGGTTGCCTACCTACAGGCGCGAAATTCCAGAAGGTAAATTTGGCTCTGGCACCCTTATTTTAGATTGCCGACCCCAAGTGTCCTATATCAAAATACTCCCCTACGCACCACCTACACGCTCCCAAACGGTGGCAGGTACTATAGGAATCACCCTGTATGTCCAACTGACGTGAATTTTCTGTCTTGAAATTCCGAATTTTTTTCCGGCACTGAAACGTAATTTCCCGTGGCTTAATGCGCGTTATATTCGTATTAACTTTTTTTGTGAATCCGGATGAATTTTTTATAAGAACTCTTCGACATGCGCTCTCTCGCCGCTCGACCCGTCATTTTCTACGGACCTCTTAGGGCGAACTAGTCCCTCATACAGTCATTTCTCACAAAAGTACGCCTATTGAACATATAGCTCTGCTCTATAAAATAGTATTCGTCTGTTTACTAATCATATCCCCATAAAATCCATTTTCCAGAAACCTCTACTCAAGAACATCGACTCAGTAGTTCCCATGTACGCAGTACCCTGATAACTAAACGCATCTGGTTCAACGGGACTATTTCTCATTAATTTTGCCTTACGCGCGACTTCCGGTCGCCACTAAGCTCTCATACGCAATTAATTCGACAACTCCCAAGTGATACATTTTGACACTCGATAAGTTTGAAAAAATTGGACTTTCCTTGAAACTTATACAAAAACTAAGCAACTTCAGACAAAATAAACCGATACAACGAAATATCGAAGGATCCTCAGTATTACCACAGACAACATATCTTCAGGTCAATCTTAAGGGGAAAAAGCACGCTAAGTTTTGTTTCAAATGTCCCCTTATTTAAAAACCTGCTATCCCTCTATTTTGCTCCATCTATTAGCGCATACAACAATGTGTTGGTTCTCTACAGATTTCTTTTATTGGAATGGCTTTGCAAATTGTCTAGGGAAAGAAGTATTGATACTTTATTGTTAGAAAGTTGTCCCACAAGAAATCCCCATATTTACATCTGGGCGAAGTGCTGATAATCTTTGCAGGTACACATACAAAGCAAATATCACTTCATATTCGCAATTACGTATTACTCGTTGTCTTTGGGTGCATAAGAAACGATATAACTTGCACCACTTTTCGAATTCTCGAAAAAAGTGTAATCTCCGTGTTTTTTTATATATGTACCTACTTGTCTCTCCGTTTGTGGAATAAATCTTGCAATCAGCAATTTAACTTCATTTAACTTGGATAAAGAAAACCTAAACGTAAACAATTTTCGAATGAATATTTGCCTCATATGTAATAAATCCCATTTGAGGTGTGCAATTATCGGTCAATTACAGCGGTAATTGCATTGTAGAAAACGAAAGAGCCCTGCGATAATTGCACATTTCATGGGAATACACTTAACAATTTGATAAGTAGGTAAGGTGAGTATGTAATGTTTATTCGGGAAATATTCCTCCGAATTACACTCGTGCATCAAAATAAACCTGATAATTTTTAGCACATTTTCTAACGAAATTGGGTGCGCTATTGCACTTTCTCTGTCCGTCCGTCTGTCCGAGGCCTTAACTACTCCTATAGTTTTCAAGATATTTAGTTCGTTCTTTTTGCATTCGGTAGCGTATCGCTCTGGCACCTGAGTCAAAGAAAATCTTGACCATTGAACTGCGCTTGCGCAGGCTGCGCAATGTTAACTTTTTTATTTATTAATATATTTTGTTGAAATTTTAATCACAGATACTTGTAGTAAAGGCAAATATATCACATATAGTAAAAATCGGATGTGCGCATGCGCAGACTGCGCAATGCAAACTTTCTTATTTATGGAGATATTTCTTTGAAATTTTAACCAAAGATACTTATAGTAAAAGCAAACGTATTGCATATCAGATTAATAAGCGCATGCGCAGGACGCGCAATATCAACTGCGCAGTAAAGTGTCAACTTCCTTATTTATGAAGATATTTCTTTAAAATTTTAACCATATATGCGTCTATATAGTAATGAAAAACGTAGTGCACATAGGTATGGCCTTTGGGGAAGTATTGATCAATTTATGGAAAATGCGCTGAAGTTACTCGCCTTAGGGCGAAAACCTTTTTACTTGTTTATTCAAGTATCTTATCAGTAAAAAACTGCGTTCGGTTATTTTCATAATTTGTTAAAAGAGCATTTTGATGCACTTGTGCAATTACCTACGAAAATTGTCACAAAGCAAAGTTTTAATAGCGATCCTCGAGATGGTTTATAGTTTTGTATCTATTACCTGTCTGCCGGTTTAGTGTGTTGTCACTTCACTCAACGAAACCATGTGTATTGTATGCAAAAAAATCCCCTGAATCGGTAAATGACAGTCTAGCTGACCGGAAACTCTGGGAACATATTGCTATACACAAGAAAACGAAGAAAAAATGGGAAAATATCGTTTTTTCGCATTTGACTTAATTAGGTATCTCGTTAACTATTCCTCTTACGGAAAAAATGAAGAGAACGATTTGTTTAGAATCGATTTTTCTATCAGATACAGTTGGTATGATTTTTATTAAACAGAGTGCCAAGGGCCTATTATAAAGTTACTTTCTTGTTCTATTTCTGGGGTTTCCACTAAACTAATTCCACAGTCCGTCGATTTGCAAAACTCATCGGGAGAACAGACAATTGTTGGAATAGGTTGTTTTACGGGTCCACCATCCATAAAAATATTGAAAACGCTCTGGGAGTCATCCAGTTTGAAAGACAAAGCATCGAGAAGGGCGTATCAACAAAAACAAATGTTAATTTTTGGGATTTTTTTTTGTATTTTTCCAGAAAAAACAATAACATTTAAAAATGAACGGTTCTGTACCAACTGAAAATTCTATTCGAAACAAATTCATTTCTATGAGCTCGAGCATTAGTTGACGAGATAATTGGAAGTCAAATGCGAAAAAAACTGCATTTTTCCATTTTTTCTTGGTTTTTTTGTGTATAGCAATATGTTCCGGGAGCTTCCGGGCAGGGAACTAC